CCTTCCAAGAAGGGTTCATCTTCAACCAGTTCAAATATTTGTTTAAATATTGATGATAATGTGTGTTTTGAAAAGAAACTTATTGCTGAATCAGTTAACAAATTTTATACAACAGTTGCATGTAAACTTGTTGAAAAGTTGCCAGAAAGTATGCATAAATTTGGTATGAATTTTGTTAATACTTTTTATGCAAACAAGGGTGTTTTTGCAAACAGTTTTTCTTTTTCCATTGTTTCTGAAAGTAAAGTTCTTAAATACTTAACTTCATTAGGTGTCAAAAAAGCTACTGGCTTAGATGGTATACCCTCACGTTTTATCAGAGATGGATCCCCAGTTATTGCTAGTCCATTAGCTCATATCATAAACTTATCCCTTATCCAAGGTCAAGTCCCTGATGACCTTAAATCTGCAAGAGTTGTTCCCCTCTATAAAAAGAACGACAAATTGTCTGTTGGTAATTACCGGCCTGTGTCCATTTTAAATGTTGTATCTAAAATCTTTGAAAAGGTGGTTTATGACCAGGTTGAAGCTTATTTTAAGGATAAAGATCTGCTGTATAAATTTCAATCAGGTTTCAGGAGTGGCTTCTCTACTGATACTTGTCTGATTCACCTTACAGACTTTATCAGGTATGAAAATGATAAAGGTAATGTTGTTGGTATGGTGCTGCTGGATTTGCAGAAAGCGTTTGACACAGTCAACCATTCCATTCTTTTAATGAAACTGCAAGCATCAGGTCTTAGTATTGACGTCCTAAATTGGTTCAAATCATATTTATCAGATAGACAGCAGCTTGTAGATGTCTCTGGTACTTATTCTTCCAATTCCAAAATAACATGTGGTGTTCCTCAGGGCTCAATCCTTGGACCCCTTCTCTTTTTAATTTATGTAAATGATATGTCAGCTGTGGTCAAAAATAAATTGCTTTTGTATGCTGATGATTCTGGTATCCTTGTATCTGGTAAAAGTTTATCTGTTGTTGAAAAGGCATTGTCAGATGATATGGAATTGGTCAGCCAATGGTTAGTGGACAATAAGTTGTCATTGCATTTGGGTAAAACCGAGTCAATTTTATTTGGGTCCAGGCAAAAACTTAGGTCACAATCTAACCTGCATATAACCTGTTCTGGTACATCCATTGAATCAACTTCATCTATCAAGTATCTTGGGATTACTATAGACCAAAATCTGTCATTTTGCGCCATGGCCGAGTCTGTTCTTAAGAAGGCCAACTCTCGGTTAAAATTTCTTTACCGCAAGAAAGAGTTTCTTACTCAGCATACCAAGAAACTTCTGGTTATGTCTCTTATTCAGTGTCACTATGATTACACATGCTCTGTTTGGTATAATAGCTTGACACAGTCTTTAAAAAATAAGTTACAAACTTGTCAAAACAAAATAATGAGATTTGTACTTGACTTGGACTCTAGAGCCCACATTGACCCATCCCACTTTAAGTCCCTTAACTGGTTACCGGTCCACAAAAGAGTTGAACAGATAATGTTGTGTCATGTTTTTAAGATAAAAAATGGCCTATCTCCGGATTACATGTCTGAACACTTTATTTCACAAGATTCCATTCATAATTATAGTACAAGACTTAGTCAAAAGGGTTGATATTGTCTACCTAAGGTCAAAGGCCAGGGTTCTAAATCATTTGCTTTCTCTGGTATTAAATTATGGAATGATTTACCTGTAAAGTTAACGGAGATCAACAGGTTACAAAGTTTTAAGGTTGCCATCAAAAGTCATCTTATGAACAGTATTTAAAAAAATTTTTTAAACATGTTTTTACATATTTCGGCTCAGGATTTTAAATTGTCTGCCATTTATCTTATTACAATTTTAGTAATGTGTTTTAAATCCTAGCTGTAAACAGGAGTATCATTAACTCAAGATTTGACTGTGATATACATTTTTATGATTTATTAGTATTCTTAAACATGATTATTTTAAGGTTTGCCTCTCTATGTCATGCCGCCAATACAAAGGACCACAATGGAAATAAGAGCTTTTTTGCCCTTTTTTGTGTTATCCTTGGTTTTGGTGAGCATGTCATAGTTTTACTCGTATGTGATATAGTATTTAATAATGCTCATTATTTTATCCTATGTTATATTGTCAACTATGTATATGCTTCCTTTGCCGAAATAAATCTATCTATTTATCTTTGTCATTTACAGACATTTGGACATTGATGACCATTTCAGACGTAGTATTGAGTACTGATATCAGTTACCCAGAGTCTGACCAAGTACATGAAATGTACTTGCTTTTATTTGTAATATTAATGCTATCTACCCTTGTCATGTGGAGCCTTAATAGGCAGGTGGGCGATATAAGGCCACCATGACCTTTTTGCTTTGTTGAATTATAAAATTACATTGTTCAATTATAAAATTACATTATGGCATTCAAACAAAACGCTTACATTACGATATTTCAAAATATGCTTTATTTTTTATCAATAGAACACATTGAACTTCTTTTTTACCATTTCCTATGCGGAAGAATTTTTGTTATAATATACTCTATTACATATTATCTATGTAACTTATAGGCGAAATGTTTTGTTCTTAAGGCGATAAAATAATACGGTTTTAGTAAAGGGACGGACTTTCCGACTAACCTATAGATTAAATCATTTTTCAAAGTTATATTTTATGACAATTTCAAACTTGCATTTACTAGATTTGTAGTTCAAAATATTTGAGCTGCGTCAAGCAGAAATAAGCACTATCGTCATTTTTTTCCACATATTGATGATGTTCAAAAATTACAATCTCATCTTTGAAAAAATATTTTAAAAGTTACAGGGTTAGTTACTGACCCGATACGGGGATACGCGGTTCTGTAGGAAACCATAACGGGACTCAACCCACAGAACCGTATATTACGGTATCTAACCCTTAACGATTCTATCACGCCGAAAACCTTCCTCATCGTATTTTAGCATAACCAGGGAAACCATACCATGTGACAATATGTTAATATACAGCAAGTAACAAGAAATATCTTTAAAAAAGATAAACGGCGTTGATGGAAAAGATTTTCATGTATAAGAAAGAAAGAAATATAGAGCGGCAAAGCGGATGCAGTTAAGTAATTATATTTTACTTGTTATATCTGTTGCCAAACCATCACTGCCTTCTTAGCATGGCCTAAGGATTAAGCAACCGAGTCATGGAAACCCCATAACTTCATTCAAGTGTCTGTCCAAAAATGTTGAAGCTGTTGCAACATTTTCGTCTGGTGATAATACGTCGATCAAAGAAGCACTGTCTTACATTAAGTCGTAATCTACATTTATTCAATTTCAATGCAATACCTCTAGTGGAATAATAATTCAAGATGAATAAATGTCCTTGAAGTATTCGTAAATATATTTTACTACAGAAATTGTGGACGATATGCGGCGCAAATACACACTCTCGCCGCAAAACGTACCAAGTACGATATGCACCGCAAAACGTCCACATGTGTACGATATGCGACGCAAAACGTCCACACGCGAACGTTTTGCGGTACGGACGTTTTGCGGTGTTACAAAGCACATATAGTAAAAACAACATTTTTAAAAATGTTCGATAACGCATATACATGTACACATGTATATGATAATAAACAAGACATACAAAAATTTACTAAAAGAAATTGCATGCACAACCTAATGGATGGAAAAAAATAAGTTTGACTTAAAAAACAAACAAATAAACTGAGACGGCAAGGGTAACTCCGCATCAAACCAATACAGAATTTAAAGGTTAAACTTAATATACAGCATTATAAACAAAGCTAAAAACACAAAAACGCATCTTCATTAAACAAAAACTAGAGATTAAACACACATAGCACAATTACAGCTTGTGCCAACCCAGGGCTGCGGTTCAAGAGTATCCTAAGTCCTAGGACATAAAACCAACTTGAGGACTAACTTAAGACCTTTATCTTGAGTCAAATACTCTTTGTAATTTTCAACTTTGCAGATGTCATTAGGGAGTTTTTTTCCAGATCTGCGCGCCCTCACACTTAAATGAATTCTTTCCATAATATATTATGCTACTTTTAACTCTTGGTAAATCTACACTCTTTGGTATCTGATTGTAATTGGAAATTCTTAATAGAACTAAATCATTTCTCTATAGTGTTTTTTTTTTCATGATGGTACCTAAAGACATTTTGGCTATAGTTTTAATTCTTCATAACTGTAGAGTAAATATCGCATATAGGCTGATTAAGTTGCTGCAGTCAGGCTATGAGTAAAGTACTTATCAATGACATTGACTGAAAGCGACAGACATGCTTGACTTACAAAATTAATGAAAGCAAATACCCCTTAAATGAATTTGTTTAAAATTGACATGAAACACAACAAACGACCTAGCATTTTATAATTAACACTCAATATCAACATTGGCATATAAAACATTTGGAAAAAATCAGAACCACAAAGTTTACGCTATTTAAAGGGATAACAGTTGTCATGGGAAAGGCGACATTTTCATTATACATGCATGAAAATGAATTCCGCCAATCTCTTTGATTACTAGCGAAATTATATTACGACAAAGACCCGTATGCAATCAGTAAACGTTGTAAAGGGAGGCAATAATAATGACTTAATAATCAAGGGAAATAATACACGTAACATCAGTATGGGAACCCTCCAAGCCACTGAATGCTGTCTGGCCAGTTACCACAATGCCCAAATATTTGCTCCCTCAATATGAAAATGGTCACTAAGCAAGACTTAGTTTAAAATAGCATACACTACAATACTTTTGGGGGTTGGGTTTTACTTCGCACAAACACAGTATGGGTTATACTTTCCAGGTTTACTGGTGGAGGAATACCTCAGGTGCCCCTCTGTGAATTATTTGAGACACAAACGGGCACCTGAGTTGAACCATTGACGTTCCGTTATTTAGCTGGCAAACTTTCTCATATAAGAATGCGAAGACATTTGCGCGGCTCGAAAACCAACGGCGGTGAAAGGCAAGTGGCCCGAAGTCAACGACCCAAATCACTCGGCCACGAACTCATAGAAGGAATGCATAAATACAATTGAAGCGTGTCAATTTTCAACAGTTTTTGAAAAATCTATTATTAATATATCGGAACAAATAAATACAGTGTATCTAAATAGGATTCCATAGGTACTTAGAAAATAAGGTAAATAAGGTACCTTAAAGAGCCAGAAAAAAACTTTTCAGGGCTAGAAAACTCAAAAAGTCGATTTTTTTTCAACATGAAATTACGCAAAGTTTATGAAAATTATCTTCATTACCTTTGTAAAATAAAATATTTTGTAATTTTATATAAAAGATTTGAATGCCACGTTCTTTGTATTGTCTCATCATGTTTCGCTAAATTTCAGACACAATCGCATCTTCTCGGCCTTTTCCGTCAAACTTCGGTTATTATAATTAATAGCCGATGAGTTTAAGGCATTGTCTCAAACTTTATTACCACCATTGTCATTACATATACCGGAATCAAATCCCTATTAAAATCCACGTGTAAAGAGGTCTAATTTCAAGTTTTATCCTTTTATAAGTTAAATTACTTATTCCATCTGAAACATATCTATCCTCCCTTGTTTTGTACAACTCGGAACTGAAATTGAAAAAATATGTCTTTTAAAAGTGACATCACTACTATACATACAATATTCATCAAGTTTTATTTATTTTTTGGGTTGGGATTTACGTCGCACCAACTAATTAGAGGTCATATGGCGAATATCCAGCTTTACTGGTGGAAGAAGACTTCAGGTACCCTAGCTTCTCTATATTATTTCAGGCACAGACAAGCACCTTAGAAGAACCACTGATATCTAGATAGCTTCCTCACACGAAGGAATCCAAAGTCCCAGTCGGGATTCGAACACACATCAGTGAGGAGCAAGCGGTTTGAGGTCAACTTCCTAAACCATTTGACATCCAAGAACGCCCCCACCCCTACCAAACTTCAAAAACACCATGATGTGTAAAAGTAATACACGTAAGTACACATGATCACCTATGATAATTAAAATTTAGTAGACCGGCAGTATGACTCTCATAAACGAATACTTCTTCACTTCTTTTTGAAATGACAAATATGAGTTTTATATCATTTATACTAATGGTTTAAAGGCATGTTGGGTGCTTATCACAGGATAAAAAGTAGTGGTAAATGTGAAATTATTTGTCATGAAAGTGGAACAATGAGTTAACTTTTGGAAACAAAGACAGGATATAAAAACATTTAAAAACTTTTTGGGAACAAAAATAGATGCATTTCTGGGGCATAATGATCCTATCGTCTGATTATCGTTTGCGAGTCAGTAAATATTTTGTATATTTTGAAAATTTCCCTTAAAATGATAAATGGTTTTGTCCAGATTGAAAGATGGACAAGTCCATTTAAGATCTGAAGGAAGTTAACGGTTAAGAGCTCTAAAAACCAAAAACCTCTCAAACAGTTTTGTATATTAAAAAATAAAGTACTTTCTTTCCGCGAGAGTTGCCCTCGGGTGAGTCAAATTCTTGTAACGTCCAATTCTCACTGGCAACCTTTGCATAGTTAAATTTGCGTGCAAACACCTGTAACAATAATTATGTAAATCTTACAAAAATATCCCAATGATCAACGAAAATTTAGAAAGAATATAATTAAGTCAAAATAAATTTTCTATACCATGCAATTATTATACATATACATGGTACCCATATCGATTGAATCATGCATTTAGTTACATAAACAATGTACATATACAGTATAAATGATATTCAAAACTTTTATAATAACAGGGTTGAGTATTTATACGAACTTTACTCAAATCAGCAGTTAACTTTATTGCTCGTACAAATAAACTTTTGTAAATTTCATTCATAACAAAAAGCATGTCCTACTTGACAGATATATAGAAAAAGAGAGGAAGAATGTTTTATAGTAATTTATACAGAATAGGCCTCGTAACGAACAATCAGGACTGTAATAAAAGTCGTGGAACAACTCAAAAAGCATGCTTTGTTATGATGAAATTTCAACTTTTCAGCTTTAAAATTATATATAAAATAATATACATTTGATGCAATTCATCGTATTATGCATTAAATATACATATACAACAAGTATGCATTTTCAAAGTGATTCACCATACATACATATTATATTACAAAATCATAACATCTCGGCTTACTCTGGCAACCACATAAGGGGGCATCATGGGACATATTCCAACTATGGCCCCGTTCGAATGTATTAATAACACAGACATGGTGTTTTGAAGGTACTGAAAATTTTTGATATCTCTTTTCCATTGTAATTCTTTCTTGCTTGTAATATAGGAAATAATCAGTATTTTTGGGTATTTACAAAACAGCTTTGGATGTTTTTGTTACTCTCCGAATGGAGGTTAAAAAGTTAAAAATCAAGCATTGACAGATGGCGCCAAACAAGTAAGAATTTTGTGAAAAATCTAAACGTATGACTGACAGTTAATCAATAGGACATTTTTGAAAATGCCATTGATTGCACTGTGTGTAAGTGTGTAAGCGATATTTTTAAAGAAATCGGGAAAATTCTGGTGTACCCTGTACAATCACAAAAATTGTCCATATTGATATATTAAAGGAGTGATTTTTTTGTGTGGGTGGGGTATATAAAAATTGCTTTAAGTCTTTATTTTTAGGAGCAATCCAGTCAGCTATAATTTTCTTCAATGTATGTCATACATCCTTGAATAATGCTGTGCAACTGATTATCTTTCTGTGTAAAAGATTTTGATATATTTAGAAGTGTTTTCGCTATCACATGGAACTATAAAATTGCTCATTTTCAAATGAGCAATTTTGAAGTTCTTTTTCACTTCATTTCCCTGCCCCCTATAAGAAAGACTTGTTGAGTTGCTCGAGATGTTCCGAGTATATCATGGTCACGTGATTATGTACGTCACAATCTAGTTTATACGTACCTTATTTATGATGTCATAGATACAAACATACCTTTGATACAGATCGTCATCTTCCCTGCCCCAACCAAAGTAAACGGTTGAAAACCCATTGACCCGTATAAACTGTTCTCTTGTAAATGCATTAACTCCACCGAAGGAGTGTTTGTAGTAAACTCTGGGAAAATAAATAAAATATGTTGTTACAAATGTACATTGTTCCAGCCACAAATAACCCTAAATATAATGCATTTGTTTGATGGAGTTGCCTTGTTGTTTTTTTAATTTGCAGAAGTTCATTCACATTTAAACACTTATTTTGCAGTGTAAACGATGTTTTCCTTCTTTAAAAAGGTAGATAGATAGGTAGGTAGGTAGGTAGGTAGGTAGGTAGGTAGGTAGGTAGGTAGGTAGGTAGGTAGGTAGGTAGGTAGGTAGGTAGGTAGGTAGGTAGGTAGGTAGGTAGGTAGGTAGGTAGGTAGGTAGGTAGGTAGGTAGTGGTAGGTAGGTAGGTAGGTAGGTAGGTAGGTAGGTAGGTAGGTAGGTAGGTAGGTAGGTAGGTAGGTAGGTAGGTAGGTAGGTAGGTAGGTAGGTAGGTAGGTAGGTAGGTAGGTAGGTAGGTAGGTAGGTAGGTAGGTAGGTAGTAGGTAGGTAGGTAGGTAGGTAGGTAGGTAGGTAGGTAGGTAGGTAGGTAGGTAGGTAGGTAGGTAGGTAGGTAGGTAGGTAGGTAGGTAGGTAGGTAGGTAGGTAGGTAGGTAGGTAGGTAGGTAGGTAGGTAGGTAGGTAGGTAGGTAGGTAGGTAGGTAGGTAGGTAGGTAGGTAGGTAGGTAGGTAGGTAGGTAGGTAGGTAGGTAGGTAGGTAAGTAGGTAGGTAGGTAGGTAGGTAGGTAGGTAGGTAGGTAGGTAGGTAGGTAGGTAGGTAGGTAGGTAGGTAGGTAGGTAGGTAGGTAGGTAGGTAGGTAGGTAGGTAGGTAGGTAGGGTAGATAGATAGATAGATAGATGATAGATAGATAGATAGATAGATAGATAGCAAAATGTAAACTATTAGTTTCATGACTTCCATACAGAATAACTTTTACTGTACTAGATCTAATTGCCAAAAGGCAATTGAATATAAGGATGGTTCAAGTTATTGGCAAATGAGAAAGTTTTTGGATACTACTCATATAACATGACTCCAAGAATAGAAAGCTTTTGAGAAAAAAAAAGCATTTAAGGGGACATAACTTGATTTTTAAAAGCGAGTCTAATATCAAAGTACAAGAGTTAAGCTATGTAACACCGCACTTTGGGGTCAAACGCACTTTGGGGTCCGACCCCAAAGTGCGTTAAACTTCGCACCGCACTTTGGGGTCAAACGCACGTTGGGGTCAAAATCGAGAAATTGACCCCAAAGTGCGTTAATATGCTACATATCAACGCACTTTGGGTTCCAGAGGTCTAAAGGTGTAATCTGAGTTCTGCTTAAATACTGAGAACTGACTTAGTTTCGATCTTCGACATTGAAATATTTGAGGTGGAGTTCAAGATGGCGGTCAATACTTTGATGATGCTTAAGTGATAAAAGTTTCATTAATTTTACCACTTAAAATATCCAATAATAATAATAATTTGTTCATATAACAGAATTACGGTGGCATAAAAGTGACATTTGCATTTATTTTTATTTAAGTTTTGCATACATATTTTTATTTAAGTTTTGCATACATATTTTTTTTCAGTTTTGCATTCATATTTTTTTTTTTTTGAGCTTTGCATTCATATTTTATTAAAGTTTTTCGTACATTTTTTATTTTGGTTTTTCGTACATATTTTAGCCAATCAAAACAGCCTTCACATCTCATAACAGCCCATAGTTGAGTATAAAACTAGCACAGTAGTTTGGTCAAATTTCGGCCCATTTTTTGGAATCGACCCAGTCGTTTTTGGCCGCGCAAGTCTGGTTTCGGCCGACCTTTTTCGGCCCATTTTTTAAATCATATGTATTTTATATAATCAGTGTATTTTTTAAAAATTATTATCTACTATTATATTAGTGTCTATTTGGAAAGGGCTGTTGATTGGTGAATGAATATGCACCACTCAACCGTATAGCGGGGGGAGGGGCATTGACTTTAAACCAAGCCGACCACTGGTAAAATCTTCGCCCTGCGGGGGATATTCAGATAATAACATTCCCGCCTTATGCCCCGGAACAGCGCAGACATCACACGATTCTTTTTTAACCCGCACTCCCCCGGGGGCAAGGGAGGTGGTTACAAATGACTGGTGTATTACAATAATGCACAATAAAAGATCTAAATAGGTCCTTATATTCCACTGATTTAGAAAAAAAAATATATATATACATGTATATACATGTACATGTATATATCAGAGACATAGATAATATCTATGTCTCTGTATATATATATACTAAAAAGTGTTATTATCTTTTTGATACCTCCAAAAATGAAAATGTTGGTATTTGCAAATGGCGTTTGCAAATGGGGTACTGTAATTTACAGATGGCGAAGTGTTTGAAAATGGTGTTTTACAAATGGCGTAATTATCCAAACCTCTACTTTGCAAATGGCGTCATGTAAAATTATGTACGAAAAAAAGTAAAAAAACAAAACAAAAATAAAATATGTACCAAAAACTCAAATAAAATATGTATGCAAAACTCAAATAAAATATGTATGCAAAGCTTAAAAAGAATATGTATGCAAAACTTAAAAAGAATATGTATGCAAAACTAAAAAAAGTATGAATTCAAAACTAAAAAAAAATGTATGACAAACAAAAAAAACAACAAAAAATATGTACGAAAAAAAAACAAAAAAAAAGTATCAAAAACAAAAAAAAAGTTGCAAATGTCACTTTTTTGCCACCGTTCAAAATATTTTAGTACAGAAATCGTGTATTCCTAAAGTTTAAAGATGCTGCGAAAAATATCCCGTTCTGTCAGTCATTTACTTGATAACTTTTGGTGCCATGTTGAGCTCCATTTTAAATATGTAAGGAATGAATTAAAATGCAGTTAATATTTTTCCCCCTCCGTAACAACCGTTAGCCAGATGCTTTTTTAATGGGAAATCTTACATACTTCTTTAGAAAGATGAATTTTATAATGTTAAAATAATGGTATCAGAGAAATGTAAGATGCTTGTTACCTGAATAAAGTAGCGATAAAAGATGAAATTATTTGTCATAAAAGTAGTCAAAACAATGTAGTATTTGACTTTCATATAAAACATGTAAACTACTTATCACTATAACAGTACTGTACTCATCATTGTCAAAAAGCAACAGATTAAAAAGATGGTTCAGGTAATTGGCCAATGTGTACTTTTTTGATAATAAGAACATCAAAATAAAAAAGCTGAAGAAAAACAAATAAAAGCATAATGGGCCTTTAAAATGTTATTTTTAAACCTCGGGGAGATCGATACCCCACAATCCCCTCTATACCCCCAGTGAGAATTTTACATTATTCTGAAGCTCGCTCTTAATGTGCGACTACTTAAATAGTTGATATTTTTTGACTGCCTGTACGGACTACTACTTAAAGCCGCATCTTCACCTAGTCAAGTTTCAAATGTGTCACATTTAGCTAAATGAATGGCTATTTTAACATATTATCAGGCAATTTTTTACTGAAATGTCTTACTAAGATTACCCAGAATTTATACCTTTGTCTATGCAAAGACTATCATAGTTCTGTAAAATGTGTAAATAACAAACGGGAAAATGATGCATTTAGCTAAAAATAATGGAGTTAATGAAAGGTGTACATTCTTTTAAAATAAATGGAAAATTTTAGAAAAACATATTTTAAGCTTAAAGCTGCATGCCTCCAGATGAGTCAAAATATTTCAATAAAATCAAACTTGAGAAATATGTACTACGATTATAGGAAATGTAAAATGATTCAAGATTCAAGTAATATTTTACATGTTATGTGCGGTCAATGACTGAGTTTTCAATATTATTTTACAACTATATTCCTACTGCGTTACTAACGCATTAAGGGCTATTTATGCATATTTTGGTAATTTATGTAAGTTATAAGTGCCATTGATAATGTGCAAATTGCTTCCTTTTGGTTATTCCACAATATTATACATTCAAATAAATTTTCATGAAAATTAGCGTGAATCTGGAGGCGTGCTGCATTGATACAAATTCTTTTTTTGGTGATTTATTTTGTGAAAGTTCTTACTTACTAATCAAGACCATTTAAATCCCTATTGATTCAGGGCACATGTTTTGTGTCCATTTAATACCTTGATTTTTGTTTACCATTGGCTTTGACTACACTATATTATTTAAAACATAATGAACATAAATTTTCTCTGACCCCAAAGTGCGGTCGTTTGCCTGATGTTGAAAAATGCATATGTACCTGTTTAACGCACTTTGGGGTCGAAATTGGACCCCAAAGTGCGTAACGCACTATGGGGTCCGACCCCAAAGTGCGTAACGCACTTTGGGGTTCGACCCCAAAGTGCGTTTGACCCCAAAGTGCGGTGTTACAAAGCTACCAACATTATACAGTCGAGCCCAGTCAGACTACACGGATGTACTTGTTGAACTGGTCTATAAGTTTTAAACAAGCCTTTCTAATTTGCAAACTCAGAAATAGAAATATTCCTTTAAAAAGATTTAAAAGCGCACAACAATACCTGATGATTTTAAACATGTATTTCTACATTAAAGAATAGTATAACTCATACTTATAGTTTCTTGTGTCAATTGCAGATGCCATATGTTTGGGAAAATCACCACATTTGTAAATGTTGCCAATGTGTTCTGGTAGAAGATCAACGTCGTGGAAAATAAAACAGTTGTAGTTATGTATCCTGCTCGATTCTTTAAACCCGACATTCATTAATAGACCTCTGTTAAAAGCAAGTCCAGGAGGCTGAAGTTAAACCAATATAACTATAACAATCTTGATAAAACAATAGAAGGCAAGATTCACAAAAAATCTTTACTAAAGAAAATCGGCAATGGTAAACGTGGTTCAGTCATTGATATCATTGTTACTGTCCGACAAGTATGGCAAATACTCCCTTCCTTATGTTACCGGAAGTCTTAGTGAAAACATACAGCCAACGGCCGAAAATCTGAAACAGTTAGGGACTGACAGATCTTTTTCTTCTTCAAATTTTCTGATGTGGAATTATATTTTACCATTTCTACGGTGAACATGTTTCCTTACCATTTCTATTACGAATATTCCATAATAAATCTGTTGTTGTTGTAGAAACGGGTGCATATTTTTAACAAACATTTTCAGATGATTTTCCCTGTCTCTATAGGGAACTATAATAGCAACTTTCCATTGAGATGTGCAGCCACCGGGCATGTAACGTCCACCTGGAGCAACATTTTTAATGGTCTTCTCCAGATTTGTCCATGTCATCACTTCCGTAGTTACTCTATAAGACCCTCCTGATTGAAAAAAGTAAGTGCTTAACTATGTTATTGTTACACGTAAATGGTAATTAAATAAGTTATATTCAATTGCAACAGCCAACTATCTAATGCAAACCATTATGTTTTGGAGATGGGAAAAGGGCTTTCTTTAAGTTTAAATGTTATTATTTAATTATAAACTCAAAAGTATTCGACAGAGAGTCAACAATTGGCCATGTTTTCTCATTTAAGAGGACTCAAATGTGGTTCAAACAAACTCAAAGTTATGTACATAAGCAAGCTAACATAAATACCTTTCAATCAAATATTATGTATGTTCTGTGGTTCTTTTTATCTTATTAAATCAATATTAAAGTGATTAATGTGTTAAGATATAACAAATTGACCAAACAAGAGACAGACACTTAGAAAATATAACAAAACATTTTATCGAACAACGCTATGTCGAACAATGTTATGTCGAACAATGTTATGTCGAACAAAGACCATTTCCAGAATGAGAAATGTGTTTTTATAACTGAGCTTATCAAAACACAAAATATTTCTATAAATGTTTATATCGTTATAAAAATAAACTGTAAGAGAAAATAATGACAAGTTTAACAAATTTGTAAACATCTTTCTTTATACATGTACTAAATACAAGGGGGAGCATAAGTTCATATTGTGTTTAATTGTTAGCATGAAGTGGAGCAATAACTTTGAACGTTTCGAACTAAATGAATTTATTTTATTGGTTAGTACTTGATACTTTCGGGAACTGATCGAAAGTGTTCCTATAAGTTTATTGTTTCCTACAAATTCGATCTTGGCCATATGGCGACTTTCAAGCTTTACTGGTGAAGGGAGACCTCGGGTGCCCTTTCATGCTTTATTTCAGGCGTGAACTTGCACCTAAGTAGAACCACCAACGTTCTGTAAGCTAGCTGGATAGCTTCCTCATATAAAAGAATCCAAAGCCACTATCGGGATTCGAACCCACTGCGGTGATGGACAAGTGGTTTGAAGTCAACGACCTTAACCACACGGTCTCGGAAGCCTCTTACAGACAAAGTCGAACTGAAATAAGTTCTGTATAAACTATATTTATATTTGACGAGACTATATCCGGGTGTTATATAAGTATCGTAGTTGAGTACGAGTAGGAATAATACTCGTATTGTATTGAACAATGTTAAATGATCCCTTTATTTCGCACATTTTCACAGAACCTTGCTATTTCGAGACCAATGTAGATATTTGTTATTTGAAATAGACGGAGCACAATAGTGATTTTTTTACTGGGAAAATGAAAACGAGGCTTAACTGATTTGATCTAATAATAAATTTTATTTGGAGGAAACATTATGCACAAACTGTTAGTTACATTTATAAGTTACGAAATAAAACTCATACATTTGCACAAATGTTGGATGGAAAGAAAATGATGCATTCATATCTTTATATCTACTTAAACTTACCTAATTTCTTCGGCTTGCAGAGTTTTTTACGGTTTAGACTGTCGAGAAGTGATAAGGTGTGTTTTCCAAACCAATGCATCCAGGATATAGTCAAAGTAAACACACATAGTATAAATACTATATCTAATTTGTTTCTTCGCATTATCACCTATGACTGTATTTATCATACTTTATACACAACAGAGACAGCCATTGGCTGAAAATGAACAATTAAGTAGACTAGTAAATACGAAAGACCGGTGAGGACATTTCAACTTCAAAACATCACTATTTCAGCTGCATAAATTCACGATTTTAACTTCACGAATTCACGATTTCAACTTTATGAATTCACGATTTCAACAATTCACGACTTCAACTTCATGAATTCACGATTTCAACTACATGTCCCCACCGGTCTTTCGTAACTATAAAGTTCATTACTAAAGGAAATAAATCATGAAAGTAAACTATCTTGTTTTTCCCCAAGAATTCAAGCGTCCATTGTTTCTAATGGCGGTTATCGCTGTTATCTCAAACACATGGATAATTTGTTGAAGAATCTTTTAGTAGATGATTCCCTTAATAATTTTCAGGGTACCATAACTGCAATGTAACATTAAATATCATTTTCATTTTAAAGCAGCATGCCTCCAGATTCATGCTTATTTCTATGAAAGAATTTTGTCAAGAAAGTAATTTACACACAGCAAACGGCTCTTAAAATCTACTTAATGTAACAAAAATAGGTCAGAATATGCAAAAATAGTCCTAATTACGTTTGTCACGCAATAAAAATATGATTATAAAATACTTCAAATTCAGTCATTCATTACATTAAACATGTATAGTTATCTCTTGAATAGTAAATATACATGTATATATATATTTTTACATTTCCTAAAACCTTAGTAAATTTTCCTTCAGTCTGATTTTCTTGAAAATATGTTGGTTGGCTTATCTGGAGGCATGCAGCTTTAAAAAGAAAACAAAGGTGAGAAATTACTACCCTTTTCGGAGACTCGATATAAAGGCATTAGCCTTTGGTAAAAGTCAACATATTGATGTAAAGTTTGTGTAATAAATTACAGTAAAGCTGTTTAATAATCCATTTTTCGGCTTATTAAAAATGGTACTTGAGCTTAAATATCTGCAAAATTGCTAGCGTGTATCGAAACTTGTATCTATTCAATTGTCACATTATTTCGTCATTTGTTTGGTTTTTACGTGGGATTTTTTACATTTGGAGCTATTAATGACTAATTTAAATATTTCAAAATTATCGTCTGCTTGTTTGGCTACGACAACACGGAAGTGGATGCTGATCTGTTTCTATATTGGTAGCATTGACGTGTCAAAATGTCGTCTGCTGTTCAGGAAGTTAACTATTACAATCAAGATGTACAAATGTATTCATTATTAAAATAACTTCCACATTCTTTAACATTCTGTACTAAAATATTTACTTTTTTTGGCAAAATCCTCGCTCCAACGAATATGTTTGAAAATTACATTACCTTATTATGGTTGTTTTAAGTATTCAACCATTTGTAAAATCCAGTGTTATAAAAATGTATTACATTCTTATCCCAACTATTTTCTCCTTTTTACAACAAAAACTATTTTACTATTAACATCATATACTGTCAAATAATAAAATCTATATGTACCACATAAATGAGGGTAAAACTATTTTAACTCGTTTCAGTGCATCAAAATATCTTGATTATGAATTTATGATAAAACTTTATTCACACATCAACAGACAAGCTTCAATAAAAAGCCCTATATCTAGAGTAAGAGGACAACATGCACAAAGAAACGCTATAGAAACAACAATAACAACACTTGATATCTTTTAATTTTATTTAATTTTTTATGGATATATTTTCTCACCACTAAACTACAATGGATGAACAACTGTTTGATACCTTATTGTAAAATACATGTAGGTAGTCAAAGAGATTTTTTAAGTACGCTCGACACAGCAAAATTTAAAATGTTGCAAGCCTAATATTCAAGTATGGTGACTGATTTGTGCCATTACTTTGTCGTAGTTACGCTCCGCGTGACGCAAGGCGATAAAACGAAAATTGACAAAGTCATCTATGTTACGCGGCATCGAGAGACATGTTTCTTTAAACAGCGCCCTTATATGCATTGTGTTGCCGTAACGTGGAGGCATGAAGCTACTGCTTTGGCTAACTTGAAATAAAATCTAAACAATGTGTAAGTCGCAGTGGGCTCCGGAAAAAGTAGAAATCAATTGCTTCATCGGGAAACAACTGATACGCGGACATCAAGACTCCACACCGTGTGTATATGGTATTAGGCTAGAGTCCTATTCTAAATTTCGTAGAGTTGATAATGGGAAAGAACAGCATTGCTGCACCGGAAAATGCCTTTGTTGCGCGTGCATCCAAAGTTCATGTTTACTGGACTAGCGTCTCTGGGCTGTGATAAACGGTGCTTGTTTTGAAGTTACGTTGATGTTGTATAGTACATAAACACCATTGGCACACATGGAAACGCAAATGCTTCACTCAATATTAGGCTAAAGACTCAACCAAATAAGCATGCACTTTTGATGCCTGCGTAGCACAGGCGTTTTCGGTGCGGCGACGGAACAATCAAGTCCAGATGGGCTGTGGAAATTTATGGTGGCATATTTCTGCCAACAGTTAACCATATAATTATCTCAGATATTTAGCCGACTAACAAAAGACTATTTTTTCTTATTCAGAAATAATAGGGAACGTAGTTGGTCATTTTCAAAAGATATATTGTTATTACTTGGAAGTTATTCTGAAAAGTTGGTTACGTGGACTTTGAAGCATTGATACCTTAGTTACTAAAATAAATAAATTTGTTGATCCGTAAACTCTTGCAACTAGTTTGCAGTTTGCCTTTGAAAACATTTTAGTTAAAACAGTCGTGGTTAAAGAAAAATGATGCCTGAATTAATTGAACAAAAAAATAGAAATTATTTGAAAAAATAGTTTAAAATTCCAACAGTTACAATGTGGGTTATAAATTAATAAATTTCAATGGTAGTTTTAATATTTTATTGATTTTAATTAATTTAATATAAGAAAATTGAATGAATGCAATCGTATAGACAGTTTGATATATATTTATTTACACAGTCTTCTTTTCAAAAGAGAGATCAATATTTATGCGAAACTAGTCTATCTGCAAATTTATATTACAACAGCGCTATACTAAATGGCAATACTACAATAATATTGTAATAATATTATAATATATGTACTAGATTCTTGTTGTCCCCTCGATTTAAAGTGTAACCTTATTTGCCTTGAACAGTATTCCTACCAAATAAAATAAACCAGGGCTTTTCCTTCTCCAGTTATCGTAAGGACAAGGTTAACAGGCCGTTAGTACATACGTACTGATCAACCATATCACAGGATGATCCCCACTTTTCAGGTTGGGGGCATAAAAAGGGGGCCATAAATTAGTCAAAATTAATGTCTAATTTGTTGGCCTTGCAAGTGTATAAAGTTTCAAGTGAACTTCAGTTGTTTCAAAGATTAATGTTGCATGTAGCCAGGATATTCAAACAATTCATTTAAATAGTAATCTGATTTGTTAATTATCTCGCGTGCACAACTTAATTATGTCGTTCGCTACACATACTTACTCGTGTCCACGACTTTATTATCTCGTGCACACACATGTCTGTGCCAACGTAGATAACTCCTCAGTAGGAGATAAAAAAGCCTAATATTCACAATCCGAATATTAAGGAAATTACCCATGACATGTAACCCTGGTTCTTAATAATCTTTTCATTATAAAGACAATTAATTCACATTGCTCTGTAACCCTGCGAAATTCGAGGACGAATTTCAATAAAGCAGGGGAGTATGTCACGGTTCAGAACTGTTCACTTTTTTAGGGGAAATGATGAGTAAGCGGCGGGTAGAGCCGCGGTACGGTATTCCGAGGGTCCCAGGTTCGAGTCCGGGTCAGGCTGCACATTTTTCTCACCCTGTGACAATATTGAATAAATATTTTTTTCCTTTTATAGAATATAAATGTGTATTTTTCCAAAAAAAAATATTGCAGAGCGAAAGCTAGATAAAGTAACCACACGCTATAATGAATAAGTACCATTTTTTAAATGTTTTTATTCTTTTTTTTCCATTCCACAGTGTTCCAGATCTTGATTGTGTTTGTGTCGTCATGCGGCACCTATATTTACAACAATATGTTGGTTATCTGTGCATATAGGACAGATTATTATGATATTTTTCAAGTTTATTTCTATACCAGTCACGTATACCTTTAAAACTCTTACTTAAATTTCACGTCTTTGTTTGATTTTTACCCTATGCGAATACAAAATCGTTATTAAGTTACATATAATTGACAAATGCGATCACTTGATCTGCTAATCACGTGGTTTCCTCCGTCGTTTTGGAAACCAGGTCGTCTGCTGTTTAAGGGCGCAGAGAAGGACATTATTGGTTCGGGGTCCGCACTCTCAGTGCTAGGTAGGGCGGATGGGCCCTTATTAAACTAAGAACACACACTTATTTAAAAAGCGCGCAGACGGATTAAGCCATTAACAATCATGTCAATAGGCTTTATTTTGATAGCAGGATTCACACTGTATCTCAATCTATGGTAATATTGTTTGTTTCATTCTCTTTTTTTCAGTGTGTCTACTGGCATGCATGTGTACGTATGCGCGTTCGTACGTGTTATTAAATATGTTTAAATTATCATTAATTTAAAAACGAAAATCAACCAAGGTGAAACACCTTATCATATTTATGCTTCTTTTGCTTAATTAACTTGAAGGATTGCAAGCAGTGCACGCATAAGGCACATTATGAAGAGTACCATGTATAATAACATAGCAGGATCTTGTCATCTTGAAAAAGATAATATTCTGATATAAATACAGGTGAATAAGAATATATTTTAGGCGAATGAGATAATTTTCGGACAAAAAATAAGATAATTTTCTAGAACCATTTCAGGTGAATAATTTAATTTTCTGTTATAATGTCAGCTGAATAATGTTATTTTCTGATTTTGTGTCAAGCGAAAGAGATAATTTTCTGGTAAAATATCAATTGAATAAGATAATTTTCTGGTACAATATATCAGGTGAATCAATTAATTTTCTGATATAAATACAGATGAATAAGAAGATATTTTAGGCGGATGAGATATTTTTCGGACAAAAAAGATGATTTTCGGATACAAAAGAAGAAGAAGAAGAAAAGAGAGAAGTATTTTGTTCCGAGAATTGTAATATTTGCAACTTGACTTAAATACATGTTCAAACGACATTCGCAAATTAGACAATACGGGAATAACATGGGTTAATGTAAAATATAACTTTGGTAATGGAATTATAAATTAGTTAGAGACGGGAATGGCATTTAAAAAGACATATCCTCTATTATTTTACCTCAACATGTATTTCCAGTGAAAAAGAAAATGTTAGGAAAAAGTAAAACCTATCGGCGTTTGCTTTGCGAAAAAAACATTTGTGTCGAAGTGTTCTAAAAAACTACTAAAGTCTAGTATTGACAACTCACATAAAATGGAAGCTTAATTTACGCCGTGTCCTACGGTTTAGGTCTTTATTTTGTGGATGCTGTAGAAAAAAGATGTCTTCAAATAATTACCTGAAATTGGGTTTAATCGGCGTTTGCATTTGTGGTCACGTGACAAAACTTGTTCATTCAGGGGGATAAAACAGGCTGAATAAGAAGACATTTTAGGCGAATGAGATAATTTTCTTATACAATTTCAGGTGAATAAATTAATTTTCTAATAAACTGTCAGCTGAATAAGATAATTCTCTGATTTTATGTCAAGCGATTGAAATCATTTTAATGATTTAATTTCAGGGTAATGAGATAATTTTCTGATATTATTCCAGTTGAATGATTTTTCAAAATTACACCACAGCAATATTTTCTGATATAATTGGAGGTACATCAATGGCAAACATTTTCTGATATAATTTCAGGTACATGAATAGCGGCGATAGTTTTCTGATACAATTTCATGTACATCAAAAGCGTTGAAGTATGAGATTTGCAAGTATCATGAGATATGCAAGTTCCGTTTCCGGTTTCGAAATGACTTCATTCATTCATGAGAACTTTATCGTGCTTTCGCTCGACAAGTTCACTGTTAATGATAAAATTGCAGACATAAAATTATCAATTAATAACAAAGATTATTATATGATGTTATGAGCTACTTCTGTGATTTCTTCATTTTAACATATTTGATAAAAAATAAGAAAAATATTGGTGGACAGGTGGGTGGGGATTGGATATAGCGACCAATGTGAATCAAAGGGCTGCAAGCTCTGTGGTATTTTCTGATCTTTGCAATCTAAATCATACTGACTATCTGTACGTATTTTCCTATATAAGTTTATTTTAATATACTATAATTCATCTTACGCAGCGACTGCGTTAAGATTTTTTTCTATAACAGTTTGAGATTGATACATATGGAATTTTGCATGACTAGAGTTGCATCAAAAATCATTTTTTATGACAGCCACACTTTATCCTTGCATACCGTGGCTACTTCCTTAAAAAAGACACTTAAAAAAGTTGCCTCGACTATGATTTGAACCTCAGGCCTCTCACACCCTAAACGAGCGCGATACGAGCACCACGGGGAGTAATACGTAATATGTAGCCTGAATAAAAACAACTACATTGTTATTCTAAATTGAGAATTTCCATTTCGTGTTTGTAATCCTTATCAATTTCGATGTATTTTGTTCACGATAAACCTGTTTAACACTGATAAAAATAATTTAGCGAAAATCTTTTCGCCAAAACAGTCCGACATGTATATATTCCACTACTTGGCAGTCAGATTTATTTGTGTACTACGCCCTGGAGTTTTCAGTAATCGACATAGCTAAAAATAGCGTTTTCATTGATTAAAATGATATTCATCCGCGAAATTTGTGATTGTAACCTCATATTTCTATTGACTAATCTGAACTTTCAATGAACAGTAATTCGTTAAATGCCTACATTAAAAATTATTCTGTCTTTTAAATTGCTTGTTTTTAAGCAGTTTTGAGTGAGAACTACATTGCGTTGTTAGGTCTGTTAGGAAATTTTGTGTTAGACCGTGGATGTTAGCTATGTATTTACTGATCTTGCGATCAGAAAATACAAAAATGTCAACATTATATTCTTTAATAGGTTTGTTTCATCAAAAGAATTTACACTTTATATACTTCAAAATATTTTTTGTAAAAATATCATTTAAAAGTTAACTAAACAATCTATATCCTAATTGTACTTAATTAAAATAACTTGATAAGGATAAAGGGTCAACTCGGCCCAATTCCAACTCGGCACTGGTCAACTCGGCACGGGTCAACTCGGTCCTCTTCACTATATTATTAAAGATATTGATCAAAGTTAAAAACAAGGTTAAGTTCCAAAATTTCAATAATTAAAAATAACTCAAAAAATGTATTAGCCAATGACCGTAACTTATGATATCATGATAATGCTTTTCCCTTTGTTTTTGTTTGACCATAGCTATTCTGTATTCATGATTACTCAAAAATAATGCGCAAGTTAAACAGAATTATTCTTCATTTATCAGACAGTATTATCCAATTAAGATCATACATAAAATGAACTTCTTTAACTTCTATGCAATAATTTCTAACTTTACTTAAACAGGCATTACAGTTAATTAGCAGCTTTTTCTTAATTTTTGGCTTACTTTGTTTGTTTTTATTGGGTTTTAATAATTTTCTGATATAATTTCAGGTACATCAATAGTGGCGATAATTATCTGATATAATTTCATGTACATCAAAAGCGGCGGTTATTTGCTGATATAATTTCAGGTACATCAAAAACGAACATTTTCTGATATAATTTCATACATGAATAACGATAATTTTCTTATATAATTTCAGTGATATTATTTCAGGTACATCAATAGCGGTGATAATTTTCTGACATAATTTCAGGAAAAGCGATGGCGATGATTTTCTGATATAATTTCAAGCGCATAAATAACGATTATTTTCTGATATAATTTCAGGTTCATCAATGGCGATAATTTTCTAATATAATTTCAGGTACGTCAATAATTTTCTGATATATCTTCAGGTATACATCAATGGCGAAAATTTTCTGATATAATTTCAGGTACATCAATAGCGGCGATAATTTTCTGATATAATTTCAGGTACATCAATAACGATAATTTTCTGATATAATTTCAGGTACATAAATAACGATAATTTTCTGATATAATTTCAGGTACATTAATGGTGATATATGTAAATTAGAGAAGACATGTACAGAGACTTGCTATCGAATCTCACGTTATTATGAAAAGTGTGGAGTTTTTGGGTGGGCCCGATGCAGTAAGTACAGGTAAGGAATCATCAATATACAGTGTACAGAATATGATGAAAATTAAAAAAAAAATGTGCCTTTTATCCCTTTTGCATGTGCATATTTATATGACTTGGGCATATTGTAGTATTATCAGCTGTTAACTATATCATAAATAAACGCATATTGCGCATTCTCATGCCGTAACTTGTCTAGCTGGGATTTTAGGAGAATAAATTTGCATCTTGTAGAATATATACTAGTTCGTGTTAATCATTATTTTGTGAAGTCTACTTGATTATTATAACTGCTCCCAACAACAAAACACATATCTCTACGTTTGATTCAAACATCTTCCTTAAATTTTTATACGACGGTCTTGTAGCTGTAAATCAAAAATGCCCAACTTCATAGAACCACTCCACTCCTACACAGAAGCCCCTTGTGACTGGGTTGCCTTTAAATTGTTGAGGCATAAGAATTGCAGCCACCGTTTAACCTATGTCTATGTATCTCATAGCTCCAGCAGTGGGGGTAGTTTTGACCCCATGTGTTGCTTTGAAGTTTATAACACCCATGTTAGCCATAACCATCTTTCCTGTTTCGGCGCAAAAAAAAATCCCTGAGTTGACATTGACCTTAAAATGAAATTGACTGTCAAGGTCAAGTTAATGAATTTAACATAAATTGTAATAAAATTGTTATTTATTAATGTATCCATTTTTGCGCCATAAAACCAAATAAAGAAAATTTACAGAGCTATTGTACCGTATCTACAAGAACCACCACAGGGCGGGGGCAAGACTCGACGTTTTTACTTTTTTTAAAGCAAATATTAATGGTTTAAACAAGTCTTTAAGTTTTTCCTTTTTAAAATGAAATAGATCTGTCTAGTACACTTGTTGTTTTTTACAATAATGAATCCTTTCCATAAATAAATGACAATGTTAATAAAACATAATCAAAATTTAATCATTTGACGGTCAAGGTCATTTAATTAAAGATGAAAGTCATATCTAAATTAGTTCACATGTCTGGTTCGTCACAAGTGTTTTTTTGTCCAAATATGAATCAAATCCGTACATAAATAATAAAATAATGATAACTTAACCGAAATTTGATACTTTGACATTGACGGTCAATGTCAGTTAAACCTTTAAGAATGTTTTGTCCCAAAGGTTGTTTTGTCTAAGTATGAAAGTAATCCATTGATTAATTACAAAGTTGCAGCCAATTATAGCGATACTCCTAAAAAAAGAAAAGAAAAGAAAAACAAGAGAATTTTATTAATTTTACATTGACAGTAAAGGTCAATTTAAGATTATTGTCACTTTAAGGTCAAGGTCACCAATGTCAGTTCAAACTTAAAGAAGTTCTTGTCCAAAATGTTGTTTTGTCAAAGTACGAAGATTATCCATTTGGTAATTACGAAGTTACAGTCAGTTATCGCAAAAATCAATGAAAATTCTCAACAATTTAACCTTCAATGTCAAGGTCATATGAGAGCCAATGTCATTTTAAGTTTGATATACCTTACAAGATGTACTGTTATAATATGAAAACAATCCATTAAATAATAACGAAGTTGTATAGCCAGTTATAACAAAAACATGAACATTTCAATGATTTAACTTTCAAAGTCATGGTCATTTATGAGCACAGATCAAGGTCTGCTTGGTCAATTTGAAGGTATTTCCAAAAAAGTAATATGTTTAGATTTGAAGACCTTCCATTCAAAAATAACAAAGTTCCAACCACTAATAGCAAAAAAATCAGCAAAATAAAAAAAAAACAGGCAAAAATAAGAGACATTTGACATTGAAAGTCAAGGTCATTTATGAATGAAGGTCAATGTTACTCTAGTCTACTTAAAGGCATTGTCCAAAGGGTTGTTGTGGCCAAGTATGCAAGAACTTACTTTCAAAGTAACGATCAGGGTCGTACCTCGGCCTATTTTGAGTGTACGCCGAGTGCAGGGTCGCCAGAGATATATATATATATAATATATAACAAGATGTGCAAAATGAGGGATTTAGGGGACATCTAAGCTAATTGCACTACTGTTGTCTGTATCTGTAGTTATGAAAATAACATCTAACATTGACAATGTTTTAAAAAGTTCAAAAGTTATTTACTATTAGAAAAACAACATAGTCAGGTGTCTCTCTATTGTAATAAAAAATGTTTCACAAGTTTTTTTCTTTGTTATTGTTATTTTGTTTCATCATAACTTAACATGAGATACAATCAACGAAAAATGTGCTTTAAAATGATCTGTATGACTTAAATACAAGCACAACGGCTTTAATGTTTTAGTGTAACGAAATGTTATCGTATTTATTACCTAAGATGTTGTATCGCACGATCATTTAGGTCCCTTAACATATTTTTAAATGCGTATTATGTCAATGTTGAAGAAATAGATATTGTCTTTAACAGTTTTTATTCTCAATTCTACTCTTATAGTTTTAATTCGAAATATTTAAGATATTTCATCACGAAGTTAAATGCCTCACGCACATAAGAGGATGCTCGCCAACTCGTTATCTAAAGTTGGTGAAAATAAAAGAATTTGGACGTACATGACGTGTCTAATATGGCTATACATTGTTTTCGTTGTATATTTGTTTTTGTTTTAAGTATGTATAGATGAGATTACGTATAATAAAAAATATATATGTCATTGTTTGCAGAAATATTTCTATTTCTATACACAATAAAATAATACAGTAGAAACATCTTTCTGTAGTGATATATATTGTAAATACATGTATTCATTTTTACGGTCATATAAACAGAAGTTGAGTCCGAGTTGTAACCATACATTGTGTACGTCACTCCTAGTTCTGTGGAAAGGCATAATATTTTGTTTTCTATGTTTAAAAGTCTCATCTTTCGCATAGGGTGGTATAAACTGAAATTTTAAAGATATTTCAAACCATACCTCCTTAAAAAACACTGATTTCTCGTACTCGAGACTGACACAACAATAGAATAATTCTCTCTAACATGGCTTCTCGTTGATATACCCAAGCAATTGTTGCATTTATACCCCCGCACAACAAAGTTGTAAGGTGGGTATACTGGAATCAGCTTGTCCGGCTGTCCGGCCGTCTGGCGTCAGTCGGTTTTTTCTTGTCCGCCCAATAACTTAAGAATCCTTTGACACACAGTCTTCATATTTGGCATGGAGGCTAGTCATGATTAGTAGATGACCCCTTTTGATTTTGAGGTCACCATGTCAAAGGTCAAGGTCACAGGGGCCTTGACTTAAAAAGCTTGTCCGCCCAATAACTTAAGAATTCTTTGACCCACAGTCTTCATATTTGGCATAGAGGTTAGTCACGATTAGTAGATGACCCCTATTGATTTTGAAGTCACTTAGTCAAAGGTCAAGGTCACAGGGGCCTTGACCAAAAAGCTAGTCCGCTCAAATGTTTAAGAAGGCCTCGGTCAACATTCTTCATACTTAGTATTGAGGTTGTTAATGACTTTTATATGACCCCTTTTGATTTTTAGGTGAGTGTGTCAAAGGTCAAGGTCACAGGGATTTTACTACAATAAGCTTGTCTGCTCAAATGCTTAAGAATGCCTGCCTGCAGTGTATTGATTTTGACATTTTCAAATTTGAAGCATGTAGAATAAAATAACTTGCAATGCACTGGCTTAGTAACCTCAGATTTTGCAGGGAGGTTGTCTTTGAGCTCTCAATGGTCACTGTTGATTCTGACAAAGTGGTATGCAGGGGTATTCACGCCATGACAGTGGCAGTTCTAGTTTAATTTTCTCATATATGCTTACTCCCTTTTCTTATAATTTATTTCTTGATTGTTAAGGCATATTCGAATAAGGGAATATCCTAAGCATAACTGTGACCTTGATTTCATTTTTGATATTTCAATTTTTCGAAACTCTCTTCTTTTTATACGCCCGTGCGTATTGGCGTATCGGTAGGTACGGCACTGGAAAAAACCGACATGATGTTTAATTCAAATGTGATAATGACCTTTCATTGACCATACTCGTCAAGATCAAATATAAAAACTGCATTTTGTTTGTTATCAAAAAATTACGTATTATAAGAGGATCTCTTTACTATAATATTCTTTCTCTGATGTGTTTAACTTGTGTAATCTAAATGTTTTATGTGCATTTTCATGTTTATGTTTTGAATGTTGTGTTATGTTTTAATAGACGTGTGTCATACATTTGTGCGAAATCCTGCGAAGAAGAGGTCTGTTGTACCGGCTACACTGGGGATGACTGCAATACTCGTATGTATATTAAGACAAAGTAATTTTAAGGGAGGCTACTGACACTATTTTTGCAAGCGGAGATTTTCATATTTGTCTTTAAAAAAATAGATGACAATTTAATGTGCATTGTTGTAGATTTGAGTTCAAATGTGCAGGAATATAATCACGAAGAACGATAGACCCGATTGATTGATTATAAAGCATTGAACGACAAACGGGGAATTAAATAGTGTTTGTGTATGAATGTTCATTCTAACACGACTCACATTTTTCCCTACTGAACATAGAAGCCAATATGATATATATTTACTTAATATGGTAAACTAACACAATTTAGGGTTTCTCGATGCCATTATGGCAAGATCTAAATCATTATGCAGTATTCACCGCCTAGCTATTCGGCATTATTTTTTCCATTATGGGCGAGAGAATGTGCGCACGTGCAAAGTGCGTAATCAACTCTCAACGACTTTCAAGAGGGCCGCTGACGTTGAATGAACTGTGTCACTTGCACAAAATATAAAAGGTTATGATGACACAATAAAGCTCTAACAACAAAGCTTAACATTGAAGATTTTAAAAATTCGAGAAATAAATGCATTAACTCTGCCAAAACCAAATTGAGACCCTGAAAAAATCCTTAATGACTATATATTTTGACGATAGATTACAGTATTGCCATAAAGAATTCTTCATGCATAAGCTACCTTTAAGAAATAATCAATGTGTAAGAAAGAACTAGAACATTTTGATTTTCTACGAGTGTTTTTTGTTTTTTTTTGTTTTTTGTTTTTTGTTTTATTGTACACCGATATTTTATATACCTTCGTGAACTCTTACGCGACCCGCATTTATTCCTATTGAAATACTACGTGAAAATATGCCAAACGATCGGAATATCTCACGGCTATTATTCAATATACACAATAGCATACATTTGTAAGAAAAAAAAGTAATGCATGAATACGGTATTTCGGTTTAACCTAAGCTATTTAAAGAAACTTAATATGTTAACAAGTAGTTATTTAATGATAAGCTTATTTTATCGAGTGAAGGTCTACCTAAATTAAGAAAATGTATAGATATAAAAGTAAACAATACATTCTTTTTCTACATGTATTTAATATTATTGTTGTAGAAACCGATTTTTTAAAAAAAGAACTTCTTTTAGTGAGGTTATAATTAAGCTGAGATATTTCGATTGATCATATGACAGAAAGAGACAATGATAATCGGAACGTGATTACCAATGACCGAAGACAGGCGGAAAGGGCCGAAAAGTTGCGATTGATAAAATGTGACGTAACCAAAAATAAGTACGGAACTATAATATGAATAAGGCAAAGTCTCAAAGCGAGCTCTTTAACAGAAATTATATAACATTATAATTTAAATCCATTGGCAGCTTTCATTACACTAATAACTGCAAATTTTCGGTCGCACTCAACACAACTACACACTATATACGGTTATTTCATGTTTTATATGATATCTAAATTGAATCTACCCGTCAGAGAACATAGAAAAGAACCATAATAGGACAGAAATGCAAATTATAGTTCTGGTAATATGAAATTAAGCAAAATAAAATAATCTTTCATTTTTATTTACATTTTCCGTTTTTAAAGTGCCATTCGGTATTACATGCGCTGCTTTCGTTTATTCTGGTTCCCTGTCCTATATATCTTCTCATAAAAGTGCACAGGAAACCCTCTCAAGCAATTATCAATAATTTCTCGATTTGGGCTCGAACACATGGTCCATGTGTTGAGAGGCAGACACCTTAACCACAAGGCTACCACTCCCCTTAAATTATTTGGAAAGAAGGCCACTGATGTGAAATTTTGGTATTTAAATACGAGGAATTTTATAATATGATATTATGTGCTGACCACGGCGAGGAAAGCTCTTATGATATTTTATCAAACATAACATGTTCAGTATACAATATAGTGATTTCAGTTATTTTATTCGTGTCATATCTAAGAGTGTTTCATGTTCACGTATAAAATCATGTATCAGTAAGCTTAAAGCTTTATTTTGAGTGATTTGCTCCTGGAAACGACTTAAAAGAGTAAAAACCCTCTTTTTTTAAGGGGCAGATAACTACAAAAGGAAGGATGGTGACCCTAACTTTTTCATCATTTTTGTTTCAATTATGATTCTGTCTATTCATGCAAACTTGAAGAAAATTTTCTGCGTTTGTTTAAATTTTCCTTCTTTGCCTTTGTAAAAGAAATGCTGAAACTTTACAGGGCATTTTAACGCCGTTCAAGTCAATAAAATGATAAAAATGAAGGTTTTGACATACAAATAAAAATTTATTTCGTATTTCCCCAGCAATATGTTTTAATTCGACAACCTGTGCGAACTGGGGAACATGCGTTAGTCCCGACAATTGTACATGCATCAAAGGGTATTCAGAACCGGCATGTGACGGTAAGGTATATTTTTTATTCAATAAAGTAATTTGTTTCATGTTCGGATAATTCAAAAGTTAGACTACTTCCTTACAATTAGACTTCCATTAACATTTACTGGGAAGAACTGAATATAATCAGAATTTTAATTGCTCATTTTAAAATTACAAAATGAAATTTCGGAATCTTATTAGTTATTCTAGAACAAAGGGGTTTGTAACGGTGCCTGGAGGCTGGACTGTATAATGGGGTTATTTTTTCCAGACCAAAAAACGGGAGACAATCCTTATACATGTATATAGACATATATATATATATATATATATATATATATATATATATATATATATATATATATATATATATATATATATATATATATATATATATATATATATATATATAAATAACCCCAATATAGAGTCCAGGCACTGTTACAACCCCATTTGTTCTAAAATAAAATGTAATGGATAGTTCTTGTCATTTTAAAATAAAATTTTAAGGATAGTTCTAAAAAATGTAAAGGATAGTTCTTGCCATTATAAAATAAAATGTAAAGGATTGTTCTAAAAGATGCTTGCACAATTAATGTGGTGTGGGTTATAATATAAGCAAGTTAACGAATTTTACTTCGGCCGATTATCATTTTTAAAGATATTTCTTATTATAAGAACATTGATGACGACTTTTACTCATTGGAAATGAAGGATTGTGACTTTATTCTTTTTATGCATCTTTTCCAAATATTGTTTTCACTTACCGCATAACCAGTATTAAAGATTTCTTTAACCACATTAGGCTCTTTTCAGGGATTTAAGTATAACACTAACATCTTGTACATCAATTAACGCAGGAATGTGGAAATAACGCAGGATTCGTGCAACAATAACGCCGAATCCGTGCAGAGGTATGCTAGAAATGAGGAACAAGTTAAGTAAACGAACCTAACTTTTTACAGTAAATCAAATAAAAAGAAATGATTAAAAGCATATACGGCTGCTACAAATTTATACTTTTACCAGTATTCCGAATTTATCCAGGGTTACGTGTACTTTAAGTACTTCATTTTTAATTTTTCTTCCATATAAATTACTTTAATAGCGCTTTTAAACATAACATTAGACATTTCCCAAACTGACTCAGATACTACTTATGAAGAAACCAAAGTTGGTTCAGTGCATCATTCATGAAGTCGGCGTTACCTCTTAAAATGTTCTCAATCATATTTTATTTACCAATTTCAGAAAAGTTTGTACGGCGTTCATAGGCGATGGCCCTAAAGCTATAACCGAAATATTGTTAATTAATAAGTTTTAAATATAATGTCTCAGCAGCCGTATGCGTTAATTCATTTCTTTCATAAAATATATTGGTTCGTTTTATATATCTCATCACTCGTTTCGGCCATAGAAATGCACAGGTCTGCGCTATCTTTGCACATTTACAGCGTTATTTGCACATCCCTGCGTGACTTGACATATATAGTGACTTAGCATTGTATGTATTCAGATATTGACGAATGTGGAAGTGACCAACATATGTGTAAACATATATGTGTTAACACAATAGGAACATATAAATGCGCGTGTAATGCTGGATACATGTTACAGACAGACCTTCTATCATGTTCAGGTAACGTACGTTTTTAATCATAAAGAAGTACGCCTCAAGAGTCCTGCTAATTTTCATGGTTATTTTGAAAATATATTAAAAAGTTTAAGAAAAAGAAATTGATTTACACATTGCAAAATGGCACTTATAATCCACGTAAAATACCATGAAGTGGTAGAAATATGCAAAAGTGACTCTTACTGTATCAGTCACGTAGTGGAAATATGGTGATAGATACTGCAAAATCGGTCAATAATCGTACATAACATGTAAATCATTACTCAAATCTTTAATTTTTGTTACGTTTCTTAAAATCTTAGAACACTTTTCTCATGTTTGATTTTCTTGAACATGTTTGGCTCATCTGGGGGTTTGCAGTTTGAAGCCTACTGGCGGCAAAAGATTTTACCTATGCGACCAGTACAGATCAAGACTAGCTGGCGCATCCTTGTCGTCTGGTCATGGCCTGCACTGTCCACTTGTCTGACAGAAAGTACGTCATGTTTAGGTTAAACATTTTCATGTTTTTTTATTAGATGTTGATGAATGCATGATAGACAATGGAAGATGTAATCAAGGTTGTGTTAACACTGAAGGTTCGTACATCTGTGTTTGTAATGAAGGATACCATCTGAGTGCAGACGGATTGACTTGTACAGGTACATCTTTATAAGATTGATTATTATGTTATTATGATGTATGTCACTTAAAGATATGCTATGCTTAAATTTGATATTAGAAAAAAATGATCATTGCAACACAGTCTCTTTATAAATTTAGAATAAACATGCTTGGACTAGATATGTATAAAATTCTATAGGTGGTCAAAATATGAATAAATATTTGTATTGTGTCATTAAGAAAAAAACTGACAGTTGTTTTTTTAACGAAAGACCAACTTTACTTGACCCGTAATAGGAAATGCAGCTTAATCCCAAACATAGTTTATTCATTTTTTAAATACAAATTAGACATTCGGTAAGAACAGATTTCAATAAATTTCTAAGTATTTTACTCAAGGATGAGGATAGGATATGTTTAAAGTTACAGTGACATCAAACAAGATTTGCTATTTAGTTTAAAAGAACCACCGCTTGTGTGAATTCCTTATTCTTTTTTGCTTTATGATAAAAAACTTTTATAATCAGCTACAAAAAGACGTACCTTTAGACATTCGTATGAGCTGAAGCATTTAACCGCCATTGAACTTATTTTTAACAAACAAAAAAATAAAATAAATAAAAAGATGAATTGACTATTAGATGTAAAAGTTATGCCGTTTTAAGTGACTTAATATGCTTCAAAAATCAAATTTTAAAAATCATTAAATGAAATATTTTCTATTTTCAGACGAAAATGAGTGTGTCAACAGTACGCATGACTGTGAGCATGGTTGTACAAATACTCCGGGCTCCTTTGAGTGTTATTGCCACACTGGATATGACCTTGATACTGATGGAAAGTCATGTATTGGTATGAATGTTACATACAGATAAATCTGGTGTTAAAAATATCAAATAAAAAGTTATAAAAAAAACAAAATAAAAATGCTACGAAATATGTATTAACCAAAAGTTACACGTTTGATATAAAAATAAAGTTTAAGTAATGTGGTAACAATTGTGATAATAATTATTAATATTCATAACTATGAAACAAACATAAAAAAGCAACAACAACAATTAAACCAATCATTTTAGTAACGATAACAGTGGTTTCATTAATGTGCATTTTTTTGTCTTTTGTTTAAATATTTTTATACAATGTGCAAACACGGATTGCAGTATGCATTATAATACTGCACGTTTGTATCATTGCTCATGACGTTTATATATACTATATACATGGCTGCTGTCAATTTATTAAGTAAAATAATTTTTGTCTATATTCGTTTTAAACATTCTTCACAGATAATTTTATATGACCGTATATCAACGGTTGTTTGCAATATAACATACCGGTAGCAGCTTGTTTGTATTTACCGTTCTTTGTTATACCGGGTGGGTTAGGGGGAAGTAATAAGAAAGACGTTAGCTTCTTTCTTTATTTCTCTCTCTCTTCCTCTCCTTCTTTCTTAAATAATAAATAAGAAAGTTATTTTTGAATCACAGACGTAGACGAGTGTGTTTTAAGAACGGCTGAATGTGCTCAACAATGTGTAAACACAGAAGGATCTTACATATGTAGTTGTGATACAGGGTATATGCTACAACCAGACAGAATAACGTGTACTGGTAAGTCAACATTATCCTCTATGTTACTAACTCAAACCGCATTTGATTAGTCGAGACGCGGTCACATGGAAGACAATAGAAAGTGACAGTGACATTCGGCCAGGTTAGCTCAATAGGTAGAGCGTTGGCCTGTGAACCGAATCGGACGATGCAGCTTACTTTCATTGCGATTGATCATGGAATCAATTCTACTTCAATTCTACGGTCATTCCTACTGTACCTCTGCTCTGATATGTACAAAATTAATCAGTTCCTTGGGATAGTGAAGGTAACTAGTAGTACTGGTAACTGCTGGACAGCTTGCCAAAGAACGATGCGGTGGCTGAATTGTGCTCTGGTTAATTTAATGTGGCTTACTGACGTGATCCGAAGTTAAAACTTCCAACACCACCACCACCATCGGCCTCGGCGAATATCACATTAGTCAGGTTAATCGTCGTGGACATTCACCTCAACATCATACAATGACAATAAATATACATGTATGTGTTATATGTGTTTCATTCATTTTTGAGGGGTTCACTAATGATGACGAGTTTTTTCGTAACCAAGCAAACCCTGATGATATTTTATAGTCCGACACAATTGCTGGTAAACTTGGAAGGATTGTTTGTTTGTTTCATTTTACGCCTTTTTCAACAGTATTTCAGTCATATAGGCGGGTAGTTTCCTAACCATCGTTCCTGGAGAGTTACACCAGTACTAGACTACCTTCCTCCGCGCTAAACTACCAAAGCATCTCCCGGGGATCGAACCCACGCCAGAGAGGTGACTAGATTAGAAGTCATTGACTCTAACCCCTCGACCATGGAGGCGGTGCTTGGAAGGAAATCTAAACTTTTTTCAGAGGAATCTATTTGCCGATCACATGGTAACGAATTTAAGCAAACTCAAAGCGAATGGAAAATTGAGTATTATATCTACGAGCAGTGTTCAAAAAAGTAGTGTCATTTTACTTTCTTCTTCGCGTGAAAATATCTTACTGAAACCATATTGACACGTTAAAATGATCAGTGAACCGTAATCAAGACTTAGCAAAAAGACTTTTGATAATTTAGCACACATTGTGACCCAGTATTTGATCACATCCCCGTTTTCTCCAGATTTAGCCCCATGCAGCTTCTGTCTGTCGCCCAAACTTAAACCCAACCTATCTGGAGAAAAACACGACCTCTTGCATTAATATTTTTAAACAGCAAACTTGTTTGTATATATTGGAACAGATGTGGACGAATGTTTGGTCAACAATGGAGGATGCGACACAGACTGCACCAATCAGCCTGGAGGATATTACTGCTCGTGTGGAGATGGTTACGGTCTAATAAATGAACATGAATGTGGAGGTATTGCTTGTTGTTGTTGTTGTTGTTGTTCACTAAACGCTTTATTTTACATAATTTATCTAATGAATAAATGGAGAACTAACCTCATATATAGATTCTTTTTGTAATAGAAGATAATAGTCAAATATCTTTACTTTGTGACGATGATACACTACTTTAATAAATACCTTCATCAAAAATGGCAGGCATTAGTTAGGATGAAAGTTTTTTTTTTATTCAAAAATATTAATATTGAAAAACTTAAAGCTTAACAAATGACATATATGCAATTTAAGCGTTTCAAAGGTTAAATATGTGTGAGGTTTTGCTATGCAGATATTGATGAATGCAAGAACGCAATCCTGTGTGACCAAACCTGCACAAACACGGTCGGTTCGTTCTTTTGTACTTGTCAGGAAGGTTATATCCTTGGAACTGATGGAAAAAGTTGTGAAAGTAAGAACTGTGTCTAAATCTTTATATAGAAACATATAAGCAGACAAAGATGTAAACTCTTCATTTTAAACGTTTAATTATGTGAAATGGGTAACTATATGGTCGCAAAGAACGGCAAATATCTGACTTGCTATTGCATGTTAAAGGAGCAAAATTAATCTATGTATGATAACCGATTTGATCTTTTGAACTGATATTGTAATGCTATGATACCATGCATATTTATTCTTAAGAGTTGATCGAAACTCTTAAAAATTCAATTCTTATTCGACAGTATGCCCTTGTCTTGTAAAAATTGGGAAAAGAAAGTGAAAAATTAGATACACACAACTGCATATTTAGTTTCATTGATGCATTTCATTTGCCTTTGCTAGTTTTTATCAAGTGATTTCCTTAAATGAATTAAATTATAAACTCATTAAGATAACCGTTTACATTTAATTGGCATCACATGCATACTTGTACTTTTCATAGACGTAGATGACTGCGCCGGTGTAAGCTGCCAAAATAATGCAACTTGTATTGATAAGGTGTTGTCATTCACATGCGCTTGTTCCCGGGGATACACGGGAGTGTTTTGCGAACAAGGTTTGTTAATACATACTACTATTTAATATACTTATATCACCAATACAACAAAAAATAAGGGGTTTTACGTGACTTTTGTCGGTTGTCTGACTGAACGACAGGTCGTCAGGTATTCTTACCTCGGAAACTTTGCATCAAAATAAAATTTCGTAATAAATAATTGTATACCTTAATAACAATGTAGTACATTGGACACAAATGTGCGTCATTTTCAGACTTACCAGTTTCATAAATGTCAATTTTCCAGTTTTAGTTCCTCATAAAGTTGCATGCAAGGGCATTTAGCTACGGCTATGACAGTTCTTAAAATATGATGACTACAGACAAACAAATGAAAATCTGTGCCAATCATTGATTTTAGGTAAAACAAGCATTCTTTCAATGATTTTTATCATCTTGCAAATTAGTTAGTATCCTGGCAATATTGAAAGGTATTCTTACTAGGGAAGTAATTCCCTAAATTGACGCGTACTTTAATTATATTAATTATATATATATATATATTTATATATCTAGATGTAAATGAGTGTTCCATGCTCAATGGTGGTTGTTCTGACATCTGTGAAAACACATTTGCCTCATTTATATGTAGTTGTAAGGAGAACAGAACTCTTGGAACTGATAAACGCACGTGTGAAGGTGAATACAGAAAAGAATGTTTATGAATTCTTAATGGACGTTTGAGCATTTTTTTTGTTATTCTACGTCGCCTTCATTATCATTTAGCAAACGTTTTTAAAGTAAATGAATTATACTTCATTATAATTTTTCCTTATGATAGCAAATAGTTACATACTGGATATCATTAGAGATATTAAAAACTATAAAATAATGACTTTTGAATAGGTTTGATAAAAAAATGATTTTTTGGTAAACGTAATAAAATGTAATGCTCTGTTGCTAATGTAATTTTGTTTTAGCTAAGATTATATTTTTAGCTTATTCACTCCATTTGAGACGTCATCTATGTGTGAAACATAAACTGTTTGATGTATTTGTATCATTTTCCGTACAGGCGATGTTCCTAACATAGACGTGTTCGAACGGCTTCGAATTCCTAGGAAGCTATTACCAGTAGGATGCTTTTCGTTTGTTGTATCCAATACGCAAAGATTAATTTCGACACTCCCATGGTTCTGCCACAATAAGGATCCATCTATTTGCTTTACAAGTGGAATAGTACATATTGAAATTAAAAAAAGATTGCATCCTGTATCTATCCAAGGAGTAAAAATTACGAACAAAAACTTGAAGTCTATTTCAGTGAATGGTTACAAAAAGTCACAAGGATCCGTAATTGAACAAGAGAGAGAATGCAAAGAAATTGTTCTATCACCCATTGACATCCAACAGTTTATAAAGGAAGGGTCGTTTATACGCAATTTTTTCACACTTTTAAGAGGTAGCTTTCCAAGTTGGTTAAGTTTATCTCCTGTTCAGCCCTATACCTTATCTATACCAGATATGAAGTCAGAGGTAAAAATAGGTGGTCAAATATCGGATATAGAGTGGTGCTCCAAAGCTCCAGTTATGCATGACAGGATGTACCTTATTTTCCGATTCACAACCGCATTCAAATTAGAAATTTATAACAAAAGCGTTTTTCTACCAGAAGCCACAAATGGGGAAAGATTTTGCGTTGTAGCCGATATAAGTCAGTACTCTAATGGGACAGTTTTCATATTGATTCCGAAACGTGTAAGCGAAACAGTTGGTCCCCTGACGGAATATCTGAAAACATCGCAAAATGTAAGAGGATTAGGTGTAAGTTTGGATGCGGCAATTAACGTCGATTATTCCTCGCTCAAATTTTGGAACGGATACGATAAATTCACACCGTAAGAAATATTCTTTGGCAGCATTATAAAACATCATCCTTACTAACATATAAGGATATATTTTCTGCAACCATTTTTATGGAAATTAGACCATTCTTTTGTATTTTTTTTCGCAGGTGTTTCTTTTTAAGTAAAAAAAAACTCAAGTTTATTGCTAAAGGAAACAATTTCAAAGTATGAATGAATGAATGATGCAATATACATTTATGTTTTAACAAATTGTTAATTTGAGTGACTGACGAAAGTATATAAATGAGTCATTCATTATGATAATTTAGTTAAATAAACAAATTGAGCTAACTTATTCTAAATATATATATATTACCCATGTTTAATTCATTTTTGTCCCTATATGCATGTCCTGTTGTTCTTTTTTTCAGACAGTCATATGGAAATAAGAAATGTGTGATGACATTGTTTATTCTTATTGTGTTACCTTCTCTTTATGAAAATATCATCATTATAATTTTTTATTATTGACAAAATAGTGGTTTTGATCACATTAACGTTTATTTGATACGCATAGATACTATTCTGTATTTAAATTTTAAAAATATTTGTCTCATAACATTCTCGTATTTACTCCCATGCTGGTAGATCTCTTCCAAGTCCGAGGTTATGGGTTGGTTCACATACTGTTCTTCCCCTGTTCATCATTGAATTTGAAGGCAATGGAAACTATTTCAAATCAACAAGCAATCTTGAGACGGTGAGTTTATTTCTGATAAGTCTATTTTGTAGCAAAGACTTTTATACAGAGGTTCGTTTTCTTTATACATTTTTCTAAAATGACAGATTTGCTATGTTAATGATTTTCTGACAAATTGTGAGATAGAAAATTAATTTGAACCAAACAACGGACCAAGGTTCACATTTAATTTAAATTATTAAATATTTTGAATTTATGTGTGGCGAACATTAATTCTGAAAATCTTAAACCATTTTTTCTTTCCTTTCTATAAAATAGGTATTTGGCTCCGTTGATCCTTACAGTAGCCTATCCACCCTCCATATCACAGTTGCTCCAACATTCGAAATACGTGTTCTAGGCAAGTCATATAATGAAACGTTAGCCGAAACGATATCACTAGACCTAGATATATACAAGAATATGGAAGGTATAGGTTTCTGCTTCCAATAAATAACTTTAAGTATATAGCAAAGTAGAGGGTTGAGTTCATTATACCAGAAAAAAATGTGGATTAAGTTGTTATTATTTGGGATCTCTACTTCTCAACCGCGATCTTAAAACATAAAAACATAAATTTAAAGTTTTTAGATAGATGAACTGGTGGAAAATAGGCAAAAGTAATGAAGAATAGTAAAGAAAGATACTCTGAATTGAATTAAAAATAGATTTTTTTGTGCGATTTTTAGCCCAAATTAAGTTAAAAGCTTTAACACTTGTTTCCTTTTAGTGTTATTTTTTACTGTGAAAATTCGTGTTTGGGACAAATGGATTGAGATAAAATGATCTTATATTTTGTACACAAGTTATTGGTCAAGACCTATATCAAACGGTAAAAACGGTACAAAATCTCTGAAAATATATAGAAATAATTGTCCCGTTATGTCAATAAAAACTCTGTGGAGTCTCTTTAATTCCAACGAAAACGAAATTCTGATCTTTTTACAGGTGTAAGTCATTGTGATGAAAATGATGTTCCAGATGGTATTTACACTGCTTTGAAACTAACGATAAACCCTTTAAAGAATGTCCCGATTATAAGACATTGGAGTCCATATCAAGATCCGCTTGCGGGAGCCTTTGTTCTGGTAGGATGTCAGTTGACTGAACCTTTCCCTGTTGACTTCTCGCAAGACATTCAGGACTTAAACAAAACATTAAGCAATCTCTTTGCGTACGAGAAGGTACTTACAGAATTCAGTAACATGTCTTCACGACTTTTTGATAAACTTAAATCCTTCCAATCCCTTATTCAGCGATACAATAACAATTCTTTAGACGAAAAAGCTCAACGAAATTTTCCTCAAAATGCATGGATTTCATTTACTGAAGTACAAAATCAAGCCACACAATTAGGCGACTTACTTGAATTTACGGTTTCGATAACAACTGACAATTTCCTATCATTCTTAGATGACCAAATAATCAAAATCAAAATGATCTTAGATAAAATGGTTTTTCTAACGAAATCAGCTCCCAGATGCAACTCTTTAGGATTTAAGTTCGAAGCAGAAGTCTCATTTAACGTAACCAATAAGAAACTCGATATAGGCTATTTCAATGTTGAAATCATATATTCGGAAGAACCATTAAAATGCAGTAGGTTTGATGCAGTCTCTAAACTACTAGCCGACCAGCCATCCATAAGAGTCATTGGCCAAGCTACTACATCTCTGGCTATTGGAGTGTTTTTAGATATAAATATTGGTGGTGGAATAGGAATGGTAATGTCACGTGATATAAACAAGGCAGTATTGCAAGTAAACGTTATCCTGAAGATTTTGGGAGTACATTATACTGTTGACATATTCTATACCTTTGAAAAAGTTTATGCATATTATGAAGTAAACATTTGGAACCTGTTTTTCGCTCATATTGACGTTGAAATTCATTATGAAACGTATGGCTTTAAATGTTTTGAGTCAATGGACGTTTGACGTTTTTGCAAAAGGGAGGAAAAGGCAAACCCAAACGAGGGTGATTTTACTGATCATATTTCGGATGGACTAAGAAATTTAAAAAATTGCAAGTGAAGAAATACGAGAATTACCGCTTTTACAGAGTCTGCAACAGTACGAACAGGAAAAGCTTGACGAAAAACAAGATTACTTCAAAAAACAGAAGGCTATTTTTCTAATAAAAAAAGCGTTTGAATGAAGCAAAGTCATTTGTAGCCAAAAACCCTTGCAGTTGTAGGACGAAAGCTAGGGGCAATTATTGAACGGTGCAGTAGTAAAAAAAAATTGAAATAATAATTGATAACCTCTGTAAAATAAGGAAGTGCAGTTCATTGTGTATTCCCGGGATACGTTGTAAAATATGTTCAAAAAAGGTTTGGTTTGTACAAATATATTACCCTTGTTGTTTTTGGTCTAGGTGCATGTTTCGGATCAAAGATCCAATATGTATTTTAAAGAATATAGCATGTAAAGTAATACAATCCTTAGCTTTTGCTGCATTAGAAGCTGCAAAAATTGTAGAAAAGGCTATGTTTATTCCATATGTTGCCGCTGAAGTGGCGTTGGATGCTGCTGAAATCATTGCTGACAAGACACAATGGGCCTTTGAAAATTGCTGCACACCGTTTTGATTTAGCTACTTTGGCCTTGGAAGCTGGTCAATCAGCTGCTGGAATTGAGTAAAAAGGCATTAGATGCCAGTTAAACTAATTTTGAGTGCAGCTGTTAAAGTGTTTAATATGATGATAGAGTTATGGTTTGAAAAATATTGTAGATGTGCGTGACTGTAGATTTCAAGTACAGATCAGTGTTAAGGGATCTCCCGATTATTTTGATGTCCTTTGTGACATTAATCTCTTCAAACTTGGTTGGAAGACGTACATGTTTCCGATTAATTTCTTACATCCTCATTTATCTATATACAATGCAGCACGAGCAGTCATACACAACGGACTGCAAATGTTGCAACTATTTGGTCGTAAGAAGAGAGAAGTATTTCAAGTAAGTTCTGTAATCTATAGTCATCTCCGTAAATCTAGAGATATATATGATGGAATTATCAATCTCAATGAAACGATAGGGTTTGAATCGAATCCAAACACTGATTATGAATATAGGAAAACGGTTTATGCTAAAAAAGTGCACCGAGATACAAAACATTGAAAAATTCATGCAAACATATTTTTCACTTCTATACACACTTACAAACGATTCAAACAATATTTACAATGTTAAACAAGAATTTGAAGATGATATGTCATCAATGGAAGAGAGTAATATCAATAATATCATGGAAGACTTGTCTTTCGAAAACTTAGACGTTAGTAGAGATCATGCACGAGCTGATTATAACCTGACAGATGAGGAAATAAATTTGGCTGAGGAACAATCACGGAATGAGATCTTAAATAGCTCAATTTTAAGTGACTTCAATGCAATAGTTAACATATCAAGGAACAATACAGATGCTGAGCTTAATAACATTGAATCTTTTAACTTCATAAGCTATTGGCTGGCAAGCATGGATAATGGAACAGACGAATATTTCCCTCCAGACATATGCTGGGGTTTCAAGGATTGTGTCCTTCATTGTTTGTCGTCGCTTTACAATCTTTTTGCAGAGGAACAAGTGCCCGATCTAGATATGATTCAAAACATCATTATGAGTTTAGACGACATTGCAACGAACCTATTTCTAAATCAAAACATCACTTTGAAGGAATTAGTTTCAGTCATGGAAAATTTCAACTTCACAGTGACAGACCTTATGAAGCTAAATCCTTTCTGCTCTACAGCACCTGTTTTTCGTCATGATGTACGCAATATAACTGCTGTTAATGGGTCGAAAGTTTCATTTTCCTGCGATGCTGTTGGTGATCCGCAGCCAGATGTTTGGTGGTTTAAGGACGGGAAGATAATTGCGGGTGAAGACAAGGCCTACTTAGAAATTTCCAACATAGGACCTGAAGATGAAGCTGCTTATCACTGCGTAGTTGGCAATGTTGTTGCAAATCTATCTTCAAATGAAGCATGGCTAACTGTCGTGGGAAATATAGGTACTTTTAAAGAATTATTAAAGAGATATTTTTTTAGGTTTTCTTTTTACATTGTATCTACTTGTATTTTAAATTGTTTTAAGGAATCAATTCAATTGGTCTAAAGTACTATTTACGTACCATTATTTTGTCATTCATTTATTTATTGCATCAATTTAAAAATTAGACGTCCTAAGTCGAGTGGTTAAGGTCTTTCAAACCACTTGCCCCTCACCGCTGTAGGGTCGAGCCGTGCAAGCTTCGTCGGATTCATTGAACGCCGCCTTTCCTTGTTGATCTTGTTTATCATATTTTCTACCTGAAAAAGCTATCCAGCTAGCTTACGGAACGACAGTGGTTCTACTCAGATGCCTGTTTGTGCCTGAAGGCTGAGGTCTGCCTGCACCAGTTAAGCTTATATACGGTGTTGGTGCGATGAAATACCCAATAAAAATGAGTTTGTAAAAGGTGTGCAATTTTGATACCGTATCTTCAAGTTTATGGTTCTACTTAGCTCCCTAATATTATAGCAACGAGGTCGAAATGAATAATTCAATATACCAATACTAGTATAGTATCTAGAACCAAAAGTTTGTTGTAGTTTCAGACTCTGACAAAAGTAACGGAACAGAAAATTACTTACGTAACGTTCTCATTGGTTTGGCAGCCACGGTTTTCATTGGATTTGGAATTGCAGTTTTATATATCATACAACGAAAGAACAGACACAATTGCATAACACCCGTTGACACGAAGGATGATGATAAAATGGCAGCGAAGTCAAGTGAATGCCCAGATATATTTGAATTACAAAATAAACCAAACTACTGATGATCAAAAGAAAGTTAGACATAACTGATGGAAATTTTGAGTAGTGTTAGTATTATGTGAAAGAAAGTAATTGAGTATCCGAATGTTATGTTCTTTATCTAAAGAAGTAGTTCTTTGTTGCTCATCTAATGAAAGTTTATGTCTATAGGAGGGTAATTAAGCCTCAAAAATGCTTATATTTTTTCAAAAGCTTTGTATTGTTAGTGTCCTGTAACAGTTTCCAAATATTGACTCATTGGCAATATAACTGAGCTTTCTTTTGCTTCATTTTAGTGTCGCCAATTAGGACAGTTATGATGACTAAGTATTTTTAATGGAAGTTCCCATATTCAACATATTGTTATCCTTTATAACAAATGAGTTGTCATTAGGCAAATTTTTTTAAGGCTTTAAGAATCTTTAACGTTTTTTAAAACATCTTTCTGAAAACATTTCAAAGCATGTTTTTGCACTTTCTAAAGATAAAATAATTTATACATTTTTTAAGCTTTATGCTACCGAAAGTGATGGACCTTTGCCACCATTTCGAGCAAGGCCAGTTTGCAAACTCCTACAGTTTGGTCAGTCTAGATTTATTATCATTCAAAATAACATAATATCTTATGAGATTTTCTTAATTAGCACTTTAAACTACGTTATATAATTGTATAATGTAAACAATTACATATATCGATTACAATTTAAGTCCTATTTATTTTTTTCTGCTATACATGTTCATGTTACATGTAATGGTCAATAGTATTAGGAGTGAGAATTTAGTCAAGTATATTGGTCTGTATATCTATAGTGATTTATCTGGGGAAACAATTGTAAATAGCATTATTTCTTAAGTGAATGTCAAGCTCAAATTTCTGTACAGGCAGAGCAGACACTTGAGTTACTAAAACAAAACAGCTTTTATGTTCAGTCCGATTTCAGTGCCATTTTGACTACTCTTGTTTCTCTTGGTATGAAGGTATATCAAAACATTTGAAAAAGTTTCAAATTACTCAGAACAAGGTATTAAGATTTATTCAGAATTTAACACCTATGACTTCTGTAACAGTGTATGATTTTGAAAAATTAAATTGCTTAAATGTAGAAAACATAGTCAAACAATTCTCAAACACATGTAAAAGATTTTTTACAAAAAAAAGAGTACATAATAAATGTGTTGTGCTGACGTAAGATTTAAAATACTAGATCAAACATTTTTAATTTTATTGTCCCCCAATGAAATTCTGTAATGAAACAGACCTTTTTTATAATGGAATTAAAGATTGGAATTATCTGCCAGAATATATAAAATAAATTAATAATTTTGAACAATATAAAAAATCTGCGAAAGAGTACTTACTAGACAGCTAAAAAAGTTAAGCAGATGCTGTATATGTGTACTAGTGATGTTTTAGGCACTGTGATCAAATATTGTCTGTGATAGTGATTTTAGATTTAATTAAGAAAAGTGCATACTTTTATAAATATATTTCTATTTTTCAACCATTATCTTGACCAAAGTTACTTAGATTAGTTTTATTTGTTTTTTAGGGGGAAAGAGTTGTAGTTCTTTATTTTTTAGTTCTATGGACCCCATTTGAAATAAGCTTTTAGCTTAATGGGATATCCATATGGGCATCGTACATTTTATTATTTTATATATATTTTTTATTATAAAAGTGTGCTCTTTTATGCTGTTTAATGATTTCATTTTATATACAGATATAGATATATGTTTTTTTCTTAACTGTATGATATCATTATTGTATCATGTGTTATGTTCCTAAATGTATAAATATAAAAAACATGATATAGAACTATGCCGAGAACCAATAATTCTGGATGATCAGGTTTTATGTATTTAATTTTTGAAATGTACAATGATTGTTTAAATGTATTAATCAGTTGTATCAAAACAAATAGAATGGTCTATCGGCTTTTTGGACGGATATTTTTGTAAATATTTTGTAAAGGCACCAAAAATTGCAATTGTTCGCATGTTTTCGATTCTTTCTAATTATATTTGATACTCTATTTTTATATGTTTTTAAGTAATGTTGTACAAATATGTATAATGTTATTGTTCTGTTATGTCTACAAATCTTTCACAGTGTATCCGCTATTATTCTGGAATGTTATATACTATTATATGCCCGTGTTGAGATTTGTTTTTCATTTTATTTTATCCCCGCTTGCAGTTTCCAATTTGTTTTTGTATTTCATTACCAAGTACCTGTATATTGTTTCAGCTTTTTGTAATTTTCGGAAGATTTTTCATGTTTCCAAAGAGACTCTGATTTCAATTTTTTTTAAAGGTAACAAATCATCAATTATGAAGATTTTTTTCTGAAAAATAAATGTTAGCAACAATGTTCGGATGTTTTTTTTAATAGCGCACCAGCACAGTTTCGGTCATATGGCACCGAATCAGGAAAGATGATATTAGCTAACCTTTAATTAAAAACACCTCAACTACTGGAGTACAGATATATATAGACTTCAATAATTCGAATCCATTTAGTCGCCTTTTACGACTACGCAGGGTTAAACAGTGGATACAATTCTTATGCTTCACCCTTAAAGGCAACCCCTAAGCCACAATGGACAGCAAAGGAAACATGACATGACTGAATAACTAGCGTTTCCTATTTTGTCCATACAAGGTAACTGCGACATCACAGTGCACCAACGAAATCAGTATACCTATACAATTCACTGTACCATGTCTTGCGATACTTTTATAATCGTAACTCATATATTCTGGCGAAAACTTTTGGATACAGTGTACAAAGCTATATATCTGATGCACAGGTGTTCGTGTTTTTTTTTTTAATTTTTATTTTCGTTCATAATTTCCTTGAGAGCGATTGGTGCATGCAGTAGCTCAACAGTTAAGCCTCAACTCATTTTTACACCATAATATTGTGTTCACATACAATATCCATGTGTGTTGAATAAAAGAAACATTTCATGCAACAACATCTTTTGAGAATCGACCATAAGATTATGGAAACAGCGTAATATCACTGTTAAATATCCTGTATGCTTTGTGATTGATATTTTTACAGTGTGTATACCACACTTGCAAAAAGTTATATATGTATATAATTATGCAAATAAAACATTTTTCAAATATCGAAGAATATGTAAAGTGTGTACTGCAATTATTGTTGCATATTATATTTAATCAATAACTTATATGCATTCATTTCTTATTGGAAAATTTGACTGAGAATTTATAGAAAATGAATTTCTAATTACCTCCCTTTAATTACATAAAATGTTAAATTCGGTAATATTTTAATAAATAATGCTGATTGGAACTTAAAATTTTGACAATTATTTAATTTTACCCATGAAATATGGTGCTATATCAGTCAAATATATTTCATATTTTTTAAAAATAAATATGTAATATAAATATGAAAGTGGGCGGAGTCAAAACTCATATTTATTTTAAGGGACTTCTTTCGCCGTTTTGTTTGAAAAATCTAATAAATGCAAAACAACTTTTTCTTGAATATTGTTTTGAAAACTATCCAGCTTGATAGAAAATGGTCTAACTAAGAAAATTAATCCGAACACCAATATCGTTAATTCAGTAATTAACGCTGTGCAGACGTTTGAAGAGTCGTTTACATGACGTCACAATGTAGCGCCAAACAGCGCGTGCTTACGCATAAATTACTGCGCGCTGTACAATTGCTGTTGGTAGCAAGCAAGGGGATTCGTTACCATTTTCTTTGATAATGAAATTAAATAAAAAGGTTATTTTTTCGTTTTTCGTGAAATATGGTATATAGTTTCACTCAACATGATAAAATGCCACATATTTTCACTCGCCGTACCGGCTCGTGAAAATATGTGGCATTTTATCATGTTTCGTGAAAATATATTCCATATTTCACGAAACGAAAAAATATCCTCTTAATCTTAATTTGATATTCATATTTATGAAATAAAAACCATGAAAAAAATGTGTTACAGGATCTTTAATAAAACAAGCATTAGATATAGCTTAACACACTTTAAATTAAGAACGACTGCTTGAATTGAAAATTCAAAAACTTACACCCATAATCAGTTATACTTAATAACAGTTTTATTTAAAGAACAATAAAAATATTCAAAATAGTGCACAATGTATAAATGAAGAGATATACATGAAATAACAATATATAAGAAGATCTCGATTCTATCAAGAAACTAAGTTTTGTTTGTAGACATGCTGTTTAAAATAGCCTTAAGAACTTCTGAATTTATTTCAATAATCAAAGTAACCTTTTACAATAGCATCCTAGTGAGCCAATCATCACGCATTCAGTGGAAATTCGTGCTTCTGAATGAAGGAAATTCGTGTTTCTGAAAAATTGAATTTTGTGCCTCTGAATAATGGAAATTCGTGCCACTGAATAATGGAAATTCGTTCCTCTGAATAATGGAATTTCGTGCCTCTGAAAATGAAAATTCCTGCCTCTGTGTTATGGAAATACGTACTTCTGAATAAAGGAATTTTGTGCCTCCGAATAATGGAAATTCTTTCCTCTAAGTAATGGAATTTCGTGCCTTTGAATATGAAAATTCCAGCCTCTGTGTAATGGTTATTCGTGCTTCTGAATAAAGAAAATTCGTTCCTCTGAATAATGGAATGTCGTGCCTCTTAATAATATAAATTTCTGCCTCTTTAAAATGGAAATTCGTGCCTCTGAATTACTGATTTGTTTAAGTCCCAATTTCTACTGAATCTTTTAAATAAACAACACAAGCTGGGAATGAAATCACAAATATTTATGTTAATTTGTGAAGACTAGTAAGTATACTGAAAGAAATAAAGGTTGGGTATATTTTTTTGTTGTACTTTATTTTTTCCTTCACTTGATGCTTAAAACTAAATGTCTTCGACCATCAATATACGGCTATACTATTAAATGAAAACAAAAAAAAATATGATGCCCATGAAATTGAAATAACAATCGAGTTTACATTGCTTTATTGTTGTTGAGCTTATCACCTAAATTTTTTGTTTTTATTTTTTTATAAACATGTCACATATAAATCATTTTGTTAAACATAATATTATGCTTGATTGCTTTTTTCACAGATCTATTTCAAGTATTGCACTTTTTATTGCACTTCTACTTAACAATGAGGTATATGTTCTACAGTTTCACGTTCTTTGTCAGATTTGGCATTCACACATTCTTCATTAGTTCTTGTTTGTTCTAGTTTCTTCGCTTCCTTGGCTGCCAGAACACTTTCTAACTGTTTTGTTGTGGGAAGTGCTTCTGTAAACAAAATGTGAAACATTCATTTCGCTTTTGTCACAATGCTATCATAACCTGTCGCCCCTGCTTCAATAATATGTCTACTTGTTGTCACCTTAGTGTAGTTACGGGTTAACTCTTATGAAATTGAATAGAGGTTAACCTATTACTGCACTCAGGTTTAATCGAAAAAAATGTAATTTTGTCTGTAGGTTCGAATCCCACGAGACTTTGTATTCATTTATGTGAGGAAGCTATCCAGCTTGCTTACGGAACGTCGTTGATTCTACACAGGTGCCCACTCGTGCATGAAATAATGATGGAAAATCGTCATATGACTTTTACTTTGTTGGTGCGACGTAATACATAACCAAAAAAGTACATGAACCTGACAAATTCAAACAAAATAAATTTATACTTCACCTCTGTATTTCAATGCGCTCCAGTACTTCTTTTGTACATCAAGTACTTTCATGATATCGGCAACACCCCTGCAAAGATTCAGTTGTTAACAAAAGCAATCTGTTTTGGCAAGGACCCAATCAATCATTTATTAAAATTTGGATTGGTCGTAACTTTCCGAGTCCTCTGGAAATCCTATAAACGCCCATCTAACCAAGAGCGACAATAAAAGTAGCATTAAACGCTTGTGAACAATATATTAGACATTTAAAGTGATTCATACACGTGTATACTGTGGTAGGACATTCCTTAGATAAAAAAAAACAATCACAAAGCGCCAACCTAATCTATCAAACTTCATCTAATAAAATAAATTCAGTACAAAGTAAAGACTTACATTTGGTTTCATGTCTACTTTTTCCGCGATAATAAGTAGTACCAAAACGCCATACCGTTTTTCTTTTTTTGTTCAAAAGCCGGTCAATACCGCTGATAGATCTATCGATATATTTTCAAAAGTATAAATAAAACGTGTTTTACATACTGGTTGCATGGCACAACTGATGCTACAGAAGGAACCGCGTCACCAAGGAGAACAGAAACACATATACTCATAGCATTTGCTGTACATTCTATGTTGTATCCACCCTATAAGATAAACAAAACCCACTATATTTCAGCTGCATTAAAATGTATTAAAGTGAAAGATTTTCAATTTCAAATGAATTGAAACATCTTTACTTTAGTCTGAAAAAATTTGGGACCTTATTAACGTCCATCTGTACAATTCCACGATTCCTCTATCTTATTCAAAGCTTACGGAAACAAGAAGTAATGTACATCTATATTTAACCTTATATGTATTATAAAACCGTGAAATGCAACATAAATGTTAGAAACGGAAACAAAAAAAAATGAATGAACAAGATTGAAATTGCAGGTTAACACAATTTTTTGAAATCTTAAAAGACCTTGCAGATGTAAAAGCGTCATATTCTTTTCACAAATGATCTTTATTTTATCGGCAAAAATGCATTTCAGTTCTTGAAAGTACAATGCAAAATGAAAGAAAGGATCTGTGAAGGCGCTAAAGTTTTTGTATTTGGAAGACCATAACACACATTGTTATATATTAAATATTTAGTACCATTGAATGTTATATTGTTATCATTCTGCCAATTAATAGATAGTTACCTCTAATGCCATTATAAGATTTCCATTCGCTAGAGTTTTCAACATCGCAGTCAGGTGTGCGTAACACGCAGGTGTCACTTCATAATGTCCCTAATTACAAAATATGATGCACATCTTTATAGTTATAATAGTTTAAATATTCAAAAAAGTAATACTGGTTTGGTCTTCAAGTTAGGAAACTGAAATTTTTGACAAAATTTCATTAAGTCAAATTCAGTATTCTTAGCTAGATGCGTCAACTAGTTCAGACAATCCGACATTTAAAAATCAAACTATAGCACAAGCTCGCCATAATCACACAAAACTTTCAACTGCCTCGTTTGCAACTTGCCGTACATTTGTTGTGCGAGGGTCATCAAATGAATTACAAATCATGTACATGTTGTTAATATATATAGATGGTTATAGATGGACCGACGAACCAACATAAAAGCGACTTTCCGAATTCGCTTTGTCTTAAATTTACAAAAACACTAGTTCGTATAAAATTTAAAAATGTTCATTACCAACATATCTCCAACACATGCATCGAATCCTGCCGAGACCAAGACAATATCCGGACCAAACTACAATTAGAATACGTATTATGGGGTAACTGAGCAAATGAAATTTCATATGAAGTTCTTAACACATGACTTTAAGTAACCGTAATGAAATAATCAGTATTTAACAATATAAATGGTTCAATTTTCGCGTATATTCCAGGGTAAAAATATAGTTGCATTATTGTAAAGTTGGACTAGAAATATTTAACTTGAACGGAAGCAAGTACATGTTACATAAAAAAATCATAGTCAGCACTTTCCTGTAGTAAACTGCACCCTTCTCTCTACCAGAGGCGGAAAACATTAATTATTTTTACAAAAAGTGTTAATAAAAGGGAAAAACAATTTACATATGACCTTCCGACAAAACCAGTACGGTAAAAATAAAATCAAAGTACGGATGACAAAAGGTTCCCACATAAATCATATACCTGGTATGCAATTGGCATCACAATTTGGTTAAAAGCTGCGATATAGTCGCCGTCACCTCGTGTCCCCTGCGATAAAAAACATATTAGCATGAACATAAGACAAATTTAAAACGAATGATTCATTATTTTGTGTTAAAAATTCTACGGATAAAGAATTCCTATCACCTTTTAACCCACATTGGGGTGAATTTTCGTGTTTTTCCTTTTTTTGCGCATTATTGTAGTTACCATTATATCACTATCAAACAAGGCGTAATTTTAGCTTTCATGAATTCACATACTCACAACAGCGGATGTTGTGTGGTGGTAGTTAAAAGTTACATTGTCCTGCTTTAAGTTGTTAAAATAATGTAGTCTGATGGCAACGTTTATTTGTTGTTTTTTTCCGTCCATGTCCTGTGGCCACGAAGACACCGGGTGCCCCTCCGTGTATTATTCCAGGCACGAACGGACAACTGAGTAGAACCACTGAGGTTTCATAAGCTTAGCTGGATAGCTTCCCCACATGAAAGAATCTGAAGTCCCTGTCAGGGATTCAAACCCAGTATGCTGAAGGACAAGTGGTTTGAAGTCAACGATCTTAACTGCTCTGCCACGAGAGCCCCATAACATTGATAAATAAATCGAATACAGGTTGAGATGGTTCTTCAGATACTTTTTTACAAATTGAAATTGAAATTTATCTTACAGTATTTGAATTTTTCATCTCCCTCGTTCAGAATATTAACTTACGTTGTTCCATGGAATGTTAACGTTGTAACCTCTACCTTGACCTCTACCCACGTGAGAACTTGAACCATAACAACCACAAGGAAAGTATTTTCCACAGTCATGTCGGTGAATTGATATGAACAAAACACTAACAAATAGAGAAATATGTTCAAAAATATTTCTAAAATAATGTAATGTGATAGATTTTGTTTTGTTTGGTTTTACGGTGCACCAATTCAATTTAAACAAAATAAAACATGAAAATGATTTTGGCAAATCTCGGGTGTTACAAACTTAAAGCAACACCATGGTCCAGGGGTCATAACCGTCTCAACTGCTGCAGCTAAGAGATGCACAGACTCACATTATTTAAACCCATTTAATCGCCTTTTGCGATCAAGCAGGGATTAACAGTTTTTACCTACTGTTGGTACCAGGTGATAAACAACATCATAAAACGGTTACAATCAATGTTAAGTAAACAAAACATGAACAGCTTACCTAGGGTCATCATAGAACATCAGTTGTGTCCCATTTCCATGATGAAGATCCCAATCAACAATGAGGACCCTGATTTTTTTCATTAAAAATAGAGATAAATCTCATAGCAATTGAAATTATTCTTTCAATGTCAATTCTATTTAAGGAGCAACTGGCACATATAATCAAAGAGCTTTTTTTAATTGTTGTAACTTTATTTAGATTTGTGAAAAAATTACACTTACAAGATGCCTTTCAAAACAGCCGAAACTAAGGATTCAAGAACAGAAAGAATTGTATACAATAAAAAAAGAGATAATAAACCTTTATATTGTGCTAATTTATAAAACATTATGCCTTTGCAATGTACATGTATATGCAGAGAGTTATGCAAACACTTGCTTTTCGTGTGTATCGTATAGTTTCAAAAACTGAACTGTAACTTTATTTAAGTAGAAAAAATTGAACGACTTTGACCTTTTATGCACATTATAACTTATATATACAGTACATTGTTTATGTAATGTAAATATATATTTTCAATTTTCAAAATAATCATATACCGTAACATATTAAGACAACAATTTAAATGTCCTACCGTTTTGTAGGCGTTTGCTGTCGTATATATTTGGCTGCAATGGCAACGTTGTTAAATATACAAAATCCGCATGCTGCGTTCGGCTCCGCATGGTGGCCTGGTGGTCTAAAATCGATACATAACAGACAGGTTATACTGTTGTAAAATAATGATGTGGTTCTATAAAATTAGGATCATTACCAGAAGGTGTCTATAGAGGATGGTTAAAAAATATATTAAAGCATACAGTTCTAGAGAATGCATATCTTTAAACATTTTATTTTTGACTTAACGTGTCCGTTTTCACAAAGATTTCAAGATTACGATCTATAATTCAATTGTTCAAATGTAAAATCTCAAAAATCTAATGGTCAATATTAACTAAAAAGAGTTCTTGAAATTTCACAAGTTTACAAAATGTTGCAGGCTCGGTTCATAGATGGTACTGAAAAGTACAAATTACAGACTACGCCCACTAGTACCGGCTTAAGCAGAATTCAACATTTAACATATGGTAAAATGTGGAAATTAGAAACATCAACAGATGTGTTCATACGGCGTTTATCATGGAGTTCAACGTGACACGTAACTGCAATGCTATGGCAAGCAGCGTATGGTTCCTAGGTAATAAAATTCATATGCCAAAAAAAACAAGAAAAAAATGGGCGGAACGAAATAAAAGTTTGATAAGGGAGTTTGTATCGTTATTATTAATAAATTTTCATCAAAATTAGCTTTTTTTTTGGCAAATCGGCATTTTATTTCTATTTTGTGTATGCAAATTGTGAACACGTGGCCGGATGTATATTGTAAGTCACACTTTCAATAAAAAAACAACAAATCAACATCGATTGTCTCAACAATCTAAAATGAGCCCCGGTTAGTTAAAGCCTAAAAGAAAATAAGATTTACCACACAGAAATTACATACCTTATCACTGCAACACTGGCCTGTGACTGTAATATAAGACCAAATAAACACTTAACAAATGTGGTTGCGAAGTAAGTTTATACCTTTTTCAATAAATTGTATCTGTCTGAATATTGATAGTTAATGAATTTGATTTGAAGAACTTTTGCAATCTACATAGTGCATACATAATCTACACAGTGCATACATAATCTACATAGTGCGTATATACATGATTTGATCTCGATATTAATAAAATTGACGATCTACTTATTATTTCATAAACCACCATCCATTTGTATTTAATTATTTTATACCAGATATGATGCGATTATTTATCATGGACATGCATGTTTTTTTTTAAATAAACCTTAAACTTTGTCCAAATACTGATACCATATGTGTCAAATAATTATGTGAAAATAAAATATCAAAATCAAAATTATTCATAAATATGGAATATGGAGGAGAAATACCTTGCCTATAAGTACATTATCCACAGCACTTAATAAACATCCTACTGCAGACGTGGCCGCTAAATATGTGTCCTGTAAAACAGAAAAGTTGACTCAGAAGTTTAAAACATGAACAGTTATACGTAGATGTGGGCTATATAGTGAATATTAACAGTAAATAATCACGATTTTGTTAAATCGTACAATTTATTCTTCTGTCAGAAAATAATTTAGAAAAAAAGAGTTTAAAACGGTATTTGACCCATCTTGCATAACGAAACACCCTTAGCAACGGAAACAATATTTAGCGCATGCAGGACAGAGAAGCAAGGTCTGTGTAATTTATAATGAGTGGAAAATAAATGTCATTAGCATTTTAACAGCGATGATATTAATAAATATCATAAAATACGTAGCTTAAAATTTACAATATCAATACCGTTGTCAAATAATATAAAGACTCTTATTTCTATGTAAAGTCAATCAGTTTAGACTTTATTACATAAAGGCACATCATGCCTTTTTTACCTTCTTTAGAAGAGAAAACATGAGAAATGAAAATGCAAGCATTTGTGGGGCATAATAGGCCTTTAGAAAGAAGACATTATATCTCTATCAAATTAAGAATTTCAAAGGATTTAAGATAATGAATCATTGATTATTTTTTTTATTTGTTTTCTTTCTTCTGTGCATTTTTAACAAATAGCATATTTCCAACCCCATCTAAGCATTGCAGTTGTCTTTGTTTTTACTAACCAAAGAACCAAAAAACATCAACAACATTTATTAACAAAGTCCAACAGACGAATATCAAGAAATGTCAAACATTTTATCGATTGTTTAAAAGGTTTATTGTAAGTTTACTTTTCCTCATGCCTCGCCAAAGCATTGTGGATGCACTTTAACTTCATAGAAAAAAATGGCATTTAAAATAGTCAGTAAATGTCAAAATCATTGTCACAAAAGTATTTTCGGACAAGGGTGATGATTGAAATTGTTTTTGTCTATTTAATTTGAATGCTATTTTGCCGACTGAATGGCCCATGCGTTGCAGTGGTTTTTGTCTCTCTTACTTAAAATTGAAAAATAAAAACATTTTAGGACATGGATAATTGTAGATCGTTAATGATTTTGTCTATTCAAATTGTTTTCGAAGTAAATAAAATGTGTCTCATTAACTTGGTAGTAAAATCAACAACAAAATGACATTAACAAAAGAAAATAAATGTCTAATTTTTTAAGTTGTCACAAAGAATTTTAAAAAATGAAGATGATATATTGAAATTGTTTTCGGTAAGTTTTACAATTAATGACGCCATTCACACTGACTCTTTAGAGCACTACGGTAGAAATATACATGTATAAATGTACGAAATAATAACAAAATCATTTTTTTTATTTATTTACAATCAATTGCGTCATCAAAACTGCCTCCTAAAATAATAGAAAACAACAATAACAAAGTACCCCTCTGTATAAGTTCACTTAATGCTGAAGTAGCTTGACAGTTTATAAGTACATGCATTAATAAAACAAATTGTAATAAAATATCGACTTCTTTCGTAAATTCAAAATTAATGACATCATTCAAACTGCCTCCTCAAAGCATTGTTAAAGAAAACAACAAATAACAAAGTGCCCCCTCAAAAGTTCAGTAAATGCCAAAAATATTAGTATGTATGTATGTACAAGTAAGAAATTATAACAAAAAATTTTTTTTTTGGAAATTTCCAATAAATGACGGCATCCAAACTGTCTCCTGCAAAGCACTGTCATATAAAAAAAAGTACAAATATTTATGCAAGGACTAATGAAAAATCGTTTTTGTAAAGCCAGTAAATGTCAAAATAGCCTGTTTGATAATATTAATGTAAAAATAACATATTCCCAGTAAATGATTTTTTATTTTCAATCTACTTACACTATTGAAAGAAAAAAATGACTTCTGCAATAACTAAACCTTAATACTTCATTAAATGAGCCGCGTCATGACAAAACCAACATAATGGGTTCGCAAACAGCATGGATCCAGACCAGCTTGCGCATCCGCGCAGTCTGATCTGGATTCATGTTGTTCGCATACAAACCATATAGCAAGTAGAGATACTGATAGCGAGTAGCTTGGATCCTGATCAGACTGCGCGGAAGCGCAGGCTGGTCTGGATCCATGCTGGTCGCAAACGCACTATGTTGGTTTTGGCATGACGCGCCTCATTTGGTCACTTTTACATACTTTTCCCGTTTTGTAGATTTAGTAAAAATATAATTAGTTTTTGAAAACCATACCTTACAAAGATAAACTGACTGGAATGTTGACTGATACTTTTCTATACTTTCTTCTGACAAGCCTGACGTTTTCCTGATTAATTTAATATAATCAGGTCTGAAACAAAGGGTGTACTACTTTCAATTTCAGAGTCGGTATCAAATAGTTTTAATACCATCAATGAAGAACAATGAAATGATCGCGGATTAAAAAACAACCATTTTTACTAAATATTCATCAGTGAGGCACTGGTGAATATTTATTAGAAATGGTTGTTTTCCTAAAAAGGACTGCGAAATGCATTTCAAATATGGCTGAAAAGACTGAAGTTGTGTGTTTTTCACAAAGGAGAGTACATTTGTACTTTGAAGGAAATAAACAAAAATGAAGTTTCCTTGTACTGTTTTTTTTTTATCTATAATAGGACAAAATATATAGCGCATCCCTCGTAATAGTTTCACTTCAGTCCAGAATGGATGTGATGTGATGCCACAATAGTTTTGTCTACTGTTACCTATACAATGTAAAATGACCACGAGCATGTATTATGTGTTTTGACATATACATGTGTATATAGCATTATCATAAAAAGGATTACTCACGTATGTGCCACCGACAGTTCTTCTGTTGTTGCCTGTCTTTCCTACAGAAAAAAATATGAAAAAAAATTCGCTTTTACCGAAAATACTTGCATTATAAAGCGTCTATACATTTAAAAAATGAATAAAAGTTTTTCATGCAATCTGTATATAAAAATTGTGTGGTATTTTTACTGAGAATAAGTTAATAGTCTAAAACTCAAAATAACCCTTAGCAGTAAACATTTTGAGTATGTACCACCGGACTTAATCGAACTCAACAATAATTGTTTCTTGTATATGCAATCCATTTACAAGTGAGAGTGAATATAGTTATGGGTTATCCTCTAACACACAATGGTTTTCATAACAATAGTAACATAATATTATCTTTCTTTATAACACTAACCGGAATTGTTTGGCATCGTTTCCAAAATCCTTTAGACCGCAAAGTATCACAGCATACTGATAGACGTCTGTCCGTTTCTTCGCATAAACTTCAAAAAAGTATATTCATTTCACTATATAGTACATTTGCATAACTCGATCTAAAACAGCTTTATTTTGTGCATCGTCGGATACCAACGGCCGAACTATTTACATTTATCAGTTATGTTACATGTTTATCAATCATGGGTATCCGACGATGCATTTTGTGTACACATAATCGTTCTTTAACATGACTAGGCATCGTAAGCATGACATATTTTGTATTTGAATTGATGGTTTATGTACCTTTTTTCCAGCATTATTATTTGCAAAGACACGAGCCCGATCCCTATTAAGGTGGAGGCAACGTATTTACGCATGATTTAATTTAGCCTGGTTCCACGATATTAAGTCTCGTTAAACTACCCTCTATACACGAAATCAGACAGTTGCACAGCCAATTCTTTGCATGTGAAGGTAAGAAAAAACATTGTTTTTCCATTTAAAGAAAATGTAACTAAAATGTTTTGCAACGAAGCAAGAAATTTAAAATATGTCCTGAAGTGTAAAGCTGATGTATATGTTGTTTTAATGTAGTTGTATGTTTATTGTCGACTTGCAAAATAAATAGTGTCATTCCGCAGTAAATCATGCGTCTTATTCAAAATCATATGTCATTGCATTAAGCTGTATTTCAATGCGCCCCGAGTCACGCCAATTAGTCTGAAATGTTGATTTCGCGAAATTTTGTCCTCATACAAATATTTGACTTCAGGTATATCCAAACTTTAGAAAAGAAAGACAGAGAAAGAGCACAAAATATATGTTTTCACAGAAAATATTTCCCTCTCAATGTAAGCACAAATGCTAACATAAATTTGTATGAAATAGAAATCGGAAAATTTGTTCAATATCAACATTAAATAATACAACTATTGCTTACAGTAAAATAAAATATACTATTTATAAAATACATTCATCATAATGACATTATGCCAAGTATTATATACGCACCCACTGGGATCTCTATGAAGAAGCATATTAGAATCGGTAACAATTCCAACACTGTAAAAAGAAAAATCATACACAATATTCTCAGTTAAATAAGAAAAAAATATTTTAGTAAAAAAATATGCAACCATATTAAGAAGCGGATATATTGCATGTATGTGCAATTTAGAATGCTGATCATAAAATTTTTGCAAAAAAAAGATATAAACAAATACGCACAAAATACAAAAATTATTAAAAATATTTGCAAAGCGTTTTACTACTGGGCGCCTTATGCACCACTCTTTAAAACAGGGTACAAACATTTAAATTTAACATCATAGATTCCTATTTATCATATTATTCACATCATATAAACATTGCAGATTGCCTAAAATATCATTGAATAAATTCGAAATTGACTTTAAGTTTAAAAGTAAAGTGCAAGTCAAATTTCAGAGTTAAATTCTTTTTGTATTATTATAGGGTGAGAAATATGTGCAGCCTGACTAGGACTCGGACTGGGAACCTCGGAATATCGTTCCGCTGCCATACTGCATAAGCTACACATTTCCACCCCTAATTAGTGAACAGTTCTATACCGTGACATAGGCATGATAGGGAATCGCGGTACAAGCAAGGACTGTCCTATAATCATGTTCAATACCAGCTTTAAAAAAATAAAACACATCAATGTAAGCGAAAACACAAACTAATAAATGGGGTACATTTATTTAACATTCTCCTGTTTTGCCCGTCTACGATGGGCAATGTAACAAGGTCAAATCAGTATAAACCCGCATCCCCCAACCCTAAATAGTGAAGGCAACGTTCCCCTTGTGGCTGAGGGTTACCTTTAAGAGCTTAGGCATTAGAATTGCAGCAACCGTTCATCCCTGCGTGATCGTAAGAGGCGACGAATTACTGGAATCTATGCATCTTTTAGCTTCAGCAGGTGAGGTGGTTTTGACACTTGTGGTTAGCCAAAGTCATCTTTCCTGTTTCAGCGCCAGATGACCTTAATTGTGATGGTGCGCCGTAATACCAACACAAACAAACACAAAAAGAACATAACAACGTACCTATTAGGAGCACAATGTAAGTTTGTATTCCTAATGAGAGCATCAATTTTCTCATACAGCTCGTGCCTCTGGTCCTCATAATCTTCTTCGTAACAAGGTTGATACAAATCAAAACTCTCCGGCATACAATCCGTGTAAAATTCAACACCTTCTCTAAATCAAATAAAGAGAAAACACAACACCCATTAACTAGAAAATGTTCGCGTTTTTTAGCTTGTATGTAAAAATGTTATAAGACAGAGCAATTTCAACATATTTTTAAGGCCGATCGTGAAACAAGTTCTTGCAGCTTATACTATTCTATCCCTCTTCATGGACTAGCAATAGTGTTAACTTCTTCCAAAATAAAATATGAAACAAGATAAAATATGGATCTTTAGGAAATCGAGTCTGAACTAAGGTTATCCACTAAAGCGAGTCTGAAATAAAGAACTTGGCTAAAATTGGTCTAACAGAATTTTCACTAAAGCGAGTATGAAATAAGGATTTTGACTAACTATAAATCGAGTCTGAAATAACTATCTTTACTAAATCGAGTCTGAAATAGGGATTTTGACTAAATCGAGTCTGAAATAAGTATCCTATCAAAAGCCAGTCTGAAATGAGGATTTTGACTAAAACGGGTCTAATCTCAGGAGCCTCACTAAATTGAGTCTGAAATATGGATCTAGACTAAATTTTATTTCTTTTAAATCGCTTTTCATAACTTATCTGCTCTTATGCTGTAAATAAAACTTTAAACTTATACTTTGGAGGTAGATCTAGATATCCGTTTTGTTCCGAATCTTTCAGAGTATCTTGAAACTGTAGACACTTCCAGTAAGGCCTCAATAATTTGATCACATTGAGGATTGACTCCACAACGCTGAAATGTCATCAAGATAAATCAATAAATGGTTTCTTCTTTTTTTATAGACTAAAATGTTTATGCTGTCACATTACTACCAAACATTTTGTTAGCTTGTGTAGATTGCCTGCCGTGTTTTCTCAAATCCGGTCAGGGTCAAGCTGTTTCTTCTTTGAGCAAAAACACTTTACACTAATTACTTACTGGATGGTTCCAGAAAAAGTATTCGAGTGCCTGTCTATTATATTATAGCTTCCAACACAATTATTTTTTTAATCTGAATAAAGTTAGATAAACATGCCAATCAATTTCGAAATAGCTTCTTTGTTAGTTAAATATGTACGTAGAACATGTATTTTAAAAACGAAAAAGATCATTTATTTCTTTACTACCTGTCGAAATTGAGTAATGGATTTAACGTGCTTTGACTTTGGAACAGCCTATTCGAAGTTTGTTCGAAAAAAAACCATACTACAAAATACATAAATTGAACTACTAACAGTTTTCAACACAATCGAACTAAAATAAATTTGTATAAACTGACACATCCTAACGAGAAAAGAATGGTATATTACCTGTCATCAGACGCTTTAAAGTCTTGAACCATTGGTGCTGGATCCCCGAGCAATGCTCTAAGAGATAGGGCGATACTTTCAGACAAGGATTTTAAACAATAACCCCCCTAAAGCATAATTAAAATACAAATTTTATTTTGAAATAAAGCATCTTCTTAAATATTAAAAAGAATTACATAACACCGCGTTGGATCAACCTTGTATGCATCAAAAATGAAATACGAGTTTCCGCGAATATTGGTTTAACATACCTAAACCTATGGCAATATCTAAATTCATTCTAAATTGGAAATCAAAACTTAACATTAATTTTCACGAAAATATGCTCTGCATATGGATTTATTCTCCACGTATGGATGTTTAAATCTCACACATTTTAACAGAAACTCAAATCATACATTTCCGTGATTCGTTTAAAGTCGGTCCCTGTGTAACGCTCATTATCAAAACAGTCTGTAGATTTTTTAAGAAAAAAAGTCCTAATTTATGTTTTATAATAAATAAAAATTCACTTTTAAAATTGATTTCATTATACATTACCAAACTTCATATTTTTAATCATAGAACATTTGACAGTATTAATTTTAACGCAAAGCAATCAACTTACCTCTTGAATCAAACATATTTTTCCAGTAGCTAATGATGAAAGAAGACTAATAAAATGCGCATACATAGCCGGTGTTACTTCCATAAGTCCCTTGAAATAAAAACAAGGTTTCCCATGGCAAATGAAGAATTAACATTGATAGAATGGTATAACTCGGCCATGTGTTATATCTTTAATATAATAATTATATTATAAACAATTAAATTTTTAAAGTATTATTTTTATTTAATTTCTAAAAATAGATCTAATTGTTTAAAATAATATTCATGCAATAATAAAAATATAAATATATTTTGCACATTGTTCAACAAGTTCACAAATGATAAAACGCAATCACAAGTCTTTCGTTATACATGTACATGAACATGGTGCACCGGTAAATACTCAACTTAGTTACACAAGATAGTTTTTTTTACAATAATTCTTAACATTTAGACAAAATGACGTTTTCGAGAAAACATATTTTTTATTTGACCAAATGTCTTCCGACGAATTGTCGTGCAAGTAAACAAGGATATAACCAGGGTAACCTATGTTACCCTCTGTTAACTCGAACTACCGATATCTCGAACAGCATTTCGATGGGACCTTTCACCTCTAGCGGAAAAAAGAAATACTGTTAACATTATTTTTTTTTTCAAAATCGGCGTCACATCGGTAATTTCTTGTCTTTGCCTGGCCTTATCAACCCTTGTCGCCAATGTTATTCTTTCCCGTTAAAATATTTAACAGAAATTTATTGAAAGTTGATGTATAATACCTCAGGACAGCCAATGGCCGAGTCGTATCCCGCTGACACTAGAATAAGTTCTGGGCTGAACTGAAAATAAAATGTGTACATTTTGACATATGAACTGAACTTACATGAACGTGTTTAGATTTTGAGTATAAAGTTATAACAATTAACATATAAAGTTACAACAGAAAACATATACCAGTGTAATTAATTATTTTTACGAATAAAAGACAATTGTATATTATTTAACATAACAATGGCAGCATAACTTACTTTTGTTTTATTTCATGGCGACTATTCAGTTTTAACGTTAGAGTAAACCTTCAGGTTCCCCTAAGTGCAATATTTCAAGAACTACCAGTCTTAAAGTAGGATTTGAACCATCGACTTACAAATGTACGTAAGCTGGCTGGACGCAACTTCATTACATGAAATAATCCAGAATTAAGCAGTTTCTGAATGAATACCGAGTTTTAAGCGGGATTCAAACGCACAGTGTGGGACCAAGTGATTTTAATTAAGTCAGTAGTCTTAACCACTTTGTCCCGGTAGCCAGATTATTATTACAACTCGACCGGCTTATTACTTAGAGAAATAAAGCGAAATATACTCACCTCATATGCTATAGGTAGAAGTATTTGTTGAAATATTGCCATATATTCTTCATTACCACATGCAGTCTGTTGTTAAGTGGAAAATTAACAATTTTAAGTACAATATTATAGCATGAACAATTTTCACATGAAAGTGCTTATTTTCTTTACATTAAAATGTAGGATATTATATACATTAATAATAACAATAACAATGAACACAGAAAATCGGTTTAAGCCAAAACAAATACATCACAAAAGATAACCTTTTCGAATTTCGGAATTTCAGACAAAGTGCGTAAAATCCCAATATATTGTTAAAGAAGTTGACAAACATTCTTCATCGGCAGCAAATATATGTTAACCATCTCTAAAAATATTGTTGTGATTCTAGTTCAAGCCGTTCCATAGAAATAGGCAACTTTCAGAACAAGAAAATAAGAATACATCCCGTGCTCTATAGAAAATAAGCATAGTTTACTATTGTATTAGAACTACACCTGTATCAAACAGTAATTTTACCTTGTTTAAAGGGACATTTATATTGTAACCTCTTCCTGGTCCAGTTCCTATATAATCATAATCCGACTCTCTTAAAAACGGCCACTCTCGGCCATAATCGTACGTGTGTATAGAAAAATATATAACCCTGCAAATACATAATTATACAAAACAAAAGATAAGATTTTTAAATTTTCAACACTGTTGCGATAAAATGTGGATTAATTATTAAATCTTCATGTCAAAATGTTAATTAATTCTTGCATTTGTTACTGAATTATGCTTAAACCGCCTGCTGCTAGAGGGAGGGATGTAGATGGTAACCTGCATTTACAATTACCGTCTATAAACGATAAAACGATAAAAGATGGATGTATTTTAATCATTACGCACACTGACGCAGATTTCACTTTTTTGTAACAAGATTGAATGGCAATATACAGTTTAAAGGGTGAAATGTTCCCTCATAAATCCACCGTATCCTCTAACAATCCAACAACAAATCATCAAATCAATATATTCTTATTTTGCTAAGAGCATTTAAGAAATTAAGATAAATGACCAAACTCAACATGGGATTCGTCAAGGCGACCAATGACGCAATTGTTAATATTTTTGACATAAAAATAAAATGGAATATATCGGTATATAGGCAAAAAGTGTTTTTATGGATAGAGATTGTGTTGAAGATCTTACCTGGGGTCATCATAAAACATGTACTGTGTTCCTTGACCATGATGGACATCCCAATCAACTATCAAAATTCTAAAACATTAAAAAAACGAATCCTGTATAACGTTTCAAATCCGATAGTGCTTGTTAATTTAAAAATAAAATTAAGACACAATTTCAAATGAATATAAAGCTGAAAAACATGTACTGTAGCTGTTGTATTTGCCACTAGCATACAGATATATGACAGTCTGGCGGTGTTGGTAGTTTTCACTCCAGATCACGACAATAAGCTATGTTGAATTCACCAGAGCAAAGTTCAGCCACCGAATATTTCCTAGGTAGGCTGTGTAAATCTAATCAGATTCTACAATTTATCAAGTTACCAAACTGGCCTGGCTGCAAAACAGGCTATTGTTTCAAGCCGTTTTAACCGAACTGTAACAACCTACATGACTCCTGCAATTAACAAATGATAATTTAAATGTACCTTTGCAGACCAAAATCATCGAGTGCAACTTGAGCTGCCGTGGCTACGTTGTTAAAGTAACAGTAACCACAGTAAGTGTTATGCTGAGCATGGTGACCAGGAGGTCGAATAATTGCCATCCCATTCCGGACCTACAATACCAGCAAAAATACATAATTTCAACACATGTATTTAATTTTAAAAATGTTGAAAATTAATCATACAGGTATACTAGAAATTACATTGTTATTTTCCTCAAAAAAAAAATGAAATTGGCACTTCGACAGATTTTAATTATCTAATAATGCAAAAACTAAAATTCAATTAATTCTTCTGAATGTAAAATCATAAAAAAATCATTTAGACAAGAAGTGTCTTTTAAAAACACTTCGTGGTAAAGTTAGTTTAAGGTTTAGTGTCAATATTCATCATAATTTCTAACCTTTGGTAATAACATTGTACACAAACAACCTGTCCGGCTATTACCGGAAACGGGATGGAGAATAGCCCGTAATTTAACCGGAAGTCAATGTGAAAACAAAAAAGCTTACGGCCAAAAACACAACAACATGAAAACAAATTACATTCAACGCTGCAGGAGGGTTTCTTTTTAATCATACAATCCTAAAATTTAAATTACCTCTGCTGGAGTCTTTATATAAATTAAAGTAAATCATGGTTGCAGACGATAACGGTATTATCACATGAATGTACATGTGTGTTAGTGCTAATTAAAAACGATTTTAAAATGCTGACATTTCTTTCTTTCCAAATATTGTTAACCATTTATACCTGCCAGAATCAAAGGTAATTAGCCTCTGCACCAGTAAAGAGTCAGGCCATCGTGCAACTCCGTAAAGTTTTACCAGGCAATAGGATCGTGTTTGTATATGAGGCACTAGAGACACTTTAGTAATTAAGGTATTATAAAGTTGTGAAATGCTGTCTGTTTAAAACATTCTTTTTATTATTATTATATTTATTTCCTAAAAAAGATCCAACAAAGAAACACATTTGACACTAAGAATTTAGTTACCTCATCTCTAAGTACCGATGTCACTAACTCTATGGTGCCACCTAAAGCGAGTTGAGCATTTTCAAATATACACTGAAATGGAAAAAGTGTACATTTTCACAAAAATTTGTGCAAAAGGTAAGGCAATAAAAAAATACCTCTTTTTTATATTGCCCTCCTCTATAGTAAAGGGCAGTTTTTCTTTTAGGGAGGCGTGGAATTTGGAAAGACCTCGTTCCCGCCTATAGCCGAAATTTACATGTATTCTAATATTTTCAATACAGTGTAGTTTATACAGATTTCTTATTTCTATTTCATTGGACGCTTAAAACTTATAAACACATTCTGGAAGTTCATTTTGGAAAACAGGAAAAGGCATTGTTGTTTCATTTATTAGTCAAGTCATTAACTCTGGTAACTTTAATGCACAGCCATTATACATTATTCAAATCTAAATGTAACATTGAACTGCAGAATGTATGTAATGAATTTGCCAATCACTGAAAAGGGTTGAAGCCCACTTAAAAGGATTGAAGCCCACTGAAAAGGGTTGAAGCCCACTGAAAAGGCTTGAAGCCCAATGAAAAGGCTTGAAGCCCCTTTCAATTTCAGGTAATTTTGCACAATAAAAATGATTAATCTGTTAAAAAAAAAGGTGAGGGAATGATCTGAAAATTTGCACACAAGTTATTGGTTCACAAGTACACAAATCTCGAAAAAATATTTTCAGGTCCGTCACGGCAAAAAAAAATGCAGAGATCTTTAACTTTTGAGCGACCACTCTAGGCATATCATATAATCAGGTAGGATGGTTATTTCCGAACCGGAAATACATGTATTTTGAATATATCAAATGTCAGACAGCAAGAGTCAAACGGGAAAAGTACAACGGATATAAGTACAATCCTCTTCAAGTGCTTTCCGGATAAATATCTGGAGGACTGGTTACAATAACAAAAATGCGCGGCACGTATACAATACATACTCACCGGATGGAAATAAATGTAATCATATTTTGTAGACATTTCTTTAAGGTCGTCTTCTGTCATGTCATGTGTTGACTTGAGTTTTTCTATCATTTCAGATGAATGTTTTAATACCATCTCTGCGTCGGAAGCCGGTCGGCACTAAAACATATTATAATTGAAACTTGAGTTTATACATAATTATAGTGTAACCTCTGCAAAACGGCTCTCTGTAGTGAAATAAAACCCATTTATAACAATGGTATCATTTTTTATCCAAAAGTAAGATTTCCCAACAGGTTCGACCTTTATAGAATATTAACCAAAATGTTACTATATAACACTTATTGCATCTGAAAGTCTAACACATCAGGTTCAACCGTGCAGTTAAAGTAGGCCCAACGTTACCGGCTATTCTTATTGGCAATAAAATCCTCGCGTTTTTTTAAAGGTTGTCACTTTCAAGTAATTCAAAATAATAAAGGTTTATTACAAAAGTTCAGCCTCATAAGATAAAAAAGTTTTCTAAGATAAAAACGTTTTTTAATCATATGCATGTTTACTTCATAAAACTCTTAGAAATCTCTTTTTAAATCCCTGCTATACGATCACATGTAATTTCCCGCCAGTATATGGTCACGTCGTCTTTCACGAAATCAATGAAATTAAAATTCAGCTTACCTCGATGCGCTTACATCTGTCAACCAAAAGATATTTTTCGCAGACGGCAAATGGATCCGTTACCCTTTCTGGAACCTCAACAAACTTTGGATTCCATGAATTGAAATGTCTGCTTAGTCTTTCATCGTACACAAGCCCTGTCCTAAATGAAGGTCATTTTTTTTTTAAATCGAGACAGATTTGAAATGATATTAATATTGAAACAATATTTAGTGAAAAAGCATATGAAAGGCTGGCTTTTGTTAATTTTCAAGAATGTCTGACAGGTTTACTCATGATATGTTTAACCCATGTCAATAGTCACGGAGATAAACTCATACAGTCACATTACAAGCGGGGGTTATTATTTTTGGTTAGGAATAGAGATTGCATATAGACAGTCACAGAGCCCATACTGAGATATACTCAGTCTGGGAGCCCATATTAACTGTGATGTACAGACAGTCGTGAATAAATTTTTGTGATTAGCCCACAATAACTGTCATATTCGAAGTCACGGGTGTATTTTGGTGAAAAACCGGACGAGCTAATATTTGTATACTTATGTGGCTAGAGGAACAATAGATAACTATACTTTCTCTTTGATGTCATTTACTCCTTAAGAAGGTGGCTATTTTCCTTTATGTGGCTAAAAGCTAAAAAGAGCAATAGAGAGAACAATAGAGTAGCCACAAAAATACTGTCTCGTATAGGAACACTTGAACCCATATTTACAGTCACAGACCTATGGCGTTGTTAACCGAAAGTTTCTGTGATTATGTGCAAGTATATTTATTCAATAACCTCCCTACATATTCACAGGTGATAGGTAAAATTAATGTTTTCAAATGAAGTCAACGTGACGTCAAACGTGGCGTCAAAAATCACAATGCGACATGCCGCCGGAATCTTGACAGCAGATCCGGCCGAAAAGATCAATAGTGACAAGTCGTGAATCGAGATTATGTTTCCGGTTTTAATAATGGTTAGGAATTTCTAAGCGTTTAAACGCATTGACAATGATATCGTGTTACTTTCTCAAGTTTATTACAGAATAAAATATTATATAAAAGCACTCGAGTGTTATTAGAAGAACAGCATGTTGTCCATTTTACTCGCAATTACGACAGCTGTTGTCGGAACCTGGGGCGATGGCCCCAACAGCCGTTTTTCCATTAGTTCTTATATAAATATAAATACCGAAATTTTAAAAAATCAGACAGGAAAAAAATTTGGAATTTGTTCATTTTTTATTTGTATGGATTTTTTTTTTTCCCAACCCACATTAGGGTTGAATAACCAAATTGAAGATTTCACCGTAGGGAACGTGTTACCCAGATCGCGTTTCCGGTTACAGTATTAGAATTTTCAAGATGGAGGATTATTTGTTGGGAGGACAGGTAAAGGTGATTTTTATTCCCGTTCCAGACTACAAGTAGCGTTTAGTTTCTAAAAAATGTTTTTGGCTTTGCTTTAAGGGAACAGAATTTCGGTATCTAGTCATATATTTCTTCGACCCTGCGCGCAGATTTAACGCTATATTGTCTCATAAATATGCCCCCCCCCCCCCCTTGATTTGAACAGTTTGAAAATTTGAATCGAGAGACCAACGCATTTTTCTGCAATTTCGACATTATTTATGCATGCCTAGAAAAAGTAAATCTACAAAACGTTAGTCCTTTATGTTAGGAAACGTTTATAAAAGTAAATGACCAGTTGAACCTATTTTCCTGTTCGTTAAAATGCGTTTGAAAAAATAAACAATTGTTACAGTATAGAGCGAGGTAATTTGTGCAGGGTTACAGCATAGACCTAGCGATTTGTATCCATTTTGTTACAGTTTTATACCCAGATTTCGGTTACAGTTTAGACTTCAATATTTTATATATATACTAGGTAAAATGTAATGAATGTTACATAGACTTTTAAATCTCTGTGAGCTTATTGGCCCGATGGCTATATTTTGGCCCGATGGCTATTTATTGGCCCGATGGCTATTTATTGGCCCGATGGCTATTCGTCCGTCTGACGTACACAAGTGTGTGCAATCTCAACCGCTCAGTAACTACTTGACTAAATGTGATGAAATTTACATGACTTTCTACCAATTAAGTTGGTTGCAATCGGGGATGCGAAAACCCAAAACATAGATTTTGAAAAAAGGCAATGTTTAAAAGGATCTTCTCTCATCTCGAACCAAAAGCATTCAAATCAAATCATGAATGATCGCGTCATTTCGAATGCTTCTTTGTTTAAGTTACGAGTATTTTGTCATTATTAAATTAAAAGTCGTTTTTTTTTATTTCAGACTTCCTGTTTAGCAATTTGTATGTTTCTGAAAAAGAAAATAATATTGAAAGTTTTAGAGTATAAATTAAGGTCAGACAATTACAATATCTTCTCTAGTGAGTCTGATGGAGGTACATAACAGTGACAGAGTCGGGATAAGACCGTCGACTTCAAATCATCTTTCATTTACTGCTGTAGTTGAAATCCAATCATGACTTTGGATTCTTGTATGTGAGGAATCTATCAAGCTAATTAACGGAAGATCGGTGGTTCTAGTCAGGTGCCCGCTCGTGTGTGAAATGTTTCACAAAGGGTATCTGGGGTCTTTCCTTACACTAAAGCAGGAATGTTTTCACATGACCTTAGTGTCGTCGAAACTTAAAATCCATGAAAGCCAAAACGTAACAAAATAGAGTTAAACAGAATCCCTAAAGAAATTCCAACACAACAAATTTGAAAATGTTTATAAACCCTTTTAAATACTTACAAAATACATTATGGTAGATATGGAAATTCCAACTTAAAAAATTAAGGTTGCAGTATTGCGCACTTATATACTGTTTAATCATTCTTAGTGTATTGCCTGGCTGTTAATTGTGTCTTTTGACAGTTTATCTATGGTATGCAGGCTTCATAACCTCCGATCCCCTCTCAAAATTTCATTTTGTTTAGTTTCACTCATTGTAATTCTCGTTTAGGGCACACGCAATGTTTTACCTGGGGGTAATATGCCACTTTTCATAGAATGGCAATAACGTGTCACATTGAAGGTTCCATGATAACCGCCATATGAACACATCCACAGATGTTAAAAAATCTTAAGTGTACCAGTTCATGTTTAATGTGAATGTGAAATTCTGCTGAAGCCGGTGCTAGGAGGCGTGGACGGTAGCTTGCAGTTACCACTACCGTCGATGACAGGTTTTAATCAAACTGAGTCTGCAACATTTTTCATGTTTTCCGTGTTGGATTTTCTGTTAAGGATTTTTTTTTCCCTATTTTATTACTAATAGGCATTATTATAATGTGTAATGAAATCAAGCAATAATTCTTTCTTCTCTCAATACATGTCCGATAAAAGTTACTGTTGTTTGTCGTGAAAACAGTCCTTACTTAGGACATTACTTATTCTGCAAAAAAGTCTCTCAATCTTGAAACTTAAAGTAAGAAAAATAGGAAACTATAACTTTTCTGCTGAAGAAAAAAAAAGTAATACAACCTTTCAAGAATGTATTAAATAGAAATGTATGAGTTATTCATAAAAATAAAGGATACACGTAACTTTGTTTTGAAATTTGGCAAGTATCTAAACTGTAACAGAAAATCTGGGTATAAAACTGTAACAACTTTGGATCAAAGTCGCAAGGTCTATGCTGTAACCCTGCAAAATTAACCTCGCTCCTATACTGTAACATTGTTTATTTTTTTCAAACGCATTTTACCAACAGGAAAATAGGTTCAACTGGTCATTTACTTTTATAAAACGTTTCTAAACATAATGGACTGGCGTTTTGTTAGATTTACTTTATCTAGGCATGCTTAAATAATGTCGGAATGGGGAGAAAAATGCGTTTTGGTCTCTCGATTCAAATTTTTAAACTGTCAAATCTGCACATTTATGAGACAATATAGAGATAAATCTGCGGTGCAGGGTCTGAAGAAATATACGACTAGATATCGGATTCTGTTCCTTACAAGCAAAGCACAAAAACATCTTTTAGAAACTAAACTACTAGTAGTATGGACAGGAATAAAAATCACCTACCTCTCTTCCCGTAAATAATCCTCCATCTTGAAAATTCTATACTGTAACCGGAAAACGCGATACTGTAACACGTTCCCTACGGTGGATTTATACCTTCCAAATATTCTTTTTCTCCTCGAAATAAAAGAGAGACGCAAATTCAAGGAAACGTCAAACTCGATGCGTGGCAAAATATAATTTGCATTTGTATTATCATTATTATTAATAATAATAATGTAAGGAATTAATTCAAATACTAAACAAAGAAATTCCCGACAAATACCACCCGAACAAATACCAGATATTAAAGAAAGGTTTTTCCTTGGCGACACTAGTTTGTATTTGTTTGTTTGTTGTTGTGTTTTTTTTTTTTCGTCTTGGATTATGTAAAGCAAATGTTCGCATATATATACCAGATTGCAGTTTTGCCAATAAACGAAAACGGCCAAAACTTTTTGCCAAAATGTTTCTCAATGTAAAACAGAACCATCCGTTCATACCGGCCGTCAAGTTTTAATTGTGGTCAAAAGCCTTATGTTTTCAAAATGGCCATACAATGCGACCTATCTGGTACGGAAAATGCATATCTTTCTATATGTCAGTGTCTAAATATCTTTCAAGTTCCACCACTGCCAATTTTGACGAGATAAAGCGAAGATAATCCGTAATTACACAAGCTACCCACGGATTGTTAAATATCTTATATATATACGGAGCGAAAAAATATCAATCAGCTTAACCAGAGGTCGCCATCCATATTCCAATGGTCAAAGCTAAATTTCTTTCCATGTCTTAGATTCGAGTTACAAAGTTAACTTAATGTAAAGTTAATTATCATGCCAATTTTAACACAGGCGGTGACAAAATGCTGCTAAATGCCTCGCTGCTTATTATGAACATAAAATCTAACACACTATTCATAGAAAATAAAATTTAAACAATTCTCTTCAACAATTCTTTTTTTTTTCATTAAATTGCATGTAAATGGTTTTAGAAAGATTTTGCCTGATCTGATTAATGTAATCATCTATATGAACTTAGACATGACTTGGTAACATAAAACTTGTCTTTTTTAACTGAAAATGAGTATAATGGCTTTTCAATTGGATATTTGCTTGGTCATCTTAGAAAGAAGGTCTAAAGCAACCATAAAAATTAAACTGCAACTGTTAATTTGCTTACTTTATCTTTTCCTTCGTGGAATTCAACATCAATTGTTGTTGACAGTTGTTGCTGTTTTTGTTTGGGTTTTTTGTTGTTGTTTTTTATATTCATTTTTAATTATTTTTTCTTATTTCTTTTCTCTCTCTTCAATTTCCCACGTAAGTAGGCCTAAATAAAAACATAACTGTAGACCTTTTTCTTATTTAAGCCTCAGTACATTACCCCCTTCCAACCAAAAGGCAGACCTCTGTGCATGGTACCTACGCCATTTAGTCTGATGAATATTTGCCATCTGTGGAGAAATTGGTATTTACTGGTATGTTATCTATCATCAAAGAAAGCTGGTTACACCGACCGCCAAAATATGGCAAAAATATGTGAGGCACGGAAAGCGGACATACAAATAAACAGGTTGGCTCTTTTATGAATTTGTTTACCTTTATAGAAAAAAAAACTCGGCGTAAAAACCTGACACGCAATTTAACCTATGTACAAATTGAAATAAGTTAAATCATGGTTAATGAATAATCCAGAGTATGACCTTGACATCATCGACTTCAAGGGTAAAACATTTGAAGGAGACTATACAAGGTAACCAAGGTGAACGGAAAGGATAATCAAAGCAGCTTTTATATTTACTTCCCGTATAAAAAATACATATCCTGCCTTTAATAAAGTTATGACACGATATTCTATACTGAGTACTGTTTAGATATATTTCAAAACTATCAGGCCAATGAAAATGATTAAAAAAATTCAGTTTGCAGTGAACAATTTGTCTTTTGTTGTTGCTGCTGTTGTTTTCTCGTAGTAAATTTATTGGTTCATAACAGACCGACATCACCTTTAAAGACTTGATGACGTTCCTTAAAATAATTATCTGAGTGAAAATCAATACCGTGCGTGTAGATCTACATGTATATAATAATCAGCTCATATAATCAGGTAAATAGTACATATAGTTTAAACTTTGTTAAACAATCAACATAATTATAAACCAAAGAATGTGCCTGATTTTTTTTTTCGTTTTTTTTTAGTTTAAGACTATTATAACTACTAATAATCTATATAAGATTGTACGGCTCACCGGATTTCGGGATTGGCTGATCACTTCACTTCTTCGGTATATAAATAGCTAAATCGGCTATTTCACGAAGATCTATTCTATAGATTATCTATATCATAAATTAAAAAAACTATAATTGAGAGGGAAAATATAATTATAAACTGACATTATTTATTTTTATTTCATACACATTGAGAAATTAAATGTAATTGTCTAACCTTACTCCTTCGCTGAAGGCCATTTTCCGTGTTTATCAACAAATGACGGTGCAAATGGCGCTATGATATTAAAGGGAGGTAAAATTTACGAATCGGTATTACAGTAAAAAAAGAGCTTAATTTTGTCTGTTTGAGTAACTCTGAATATTAGGTCAAAGCGGATCTGTATCACTTACCCGTGCCGCTTTTGCGACTCCGTAAAAATGGTATTGCACGGTCGTGCATAAGTTTTTTCCTAAACTAGATTCTGGGTAATGTTGGAATAAGCAATAAGTCGAATTCTTAAGGTCAACGTGACATGGTCGTTTTTTTGGACCGGCAATTTGTTTGATTTCACATATGAAGTTTTAAAACTTTCACTATGAGGACCGAAGCCATGTCCAGGACATTTTCGCGTGTTCTTTCCGCATATAAATGTCTATAACCATAAAAATTACCATTTTCTCGACGAGCCACCGTTAAAACACCATTTGTCTGATTTCATTGCGGATTCGTTAAAGAGGACAAAAGCCCTATAATTTAAGTCCGGGAGATTTCTGAGTGGCATGGTCCTTCTTTATTGCCGACTTTTTCTTTCTGTATAGAAATTTATAAATCTAATATTTAGTAAAAAGAACCATTTTCTCGAGCCAATCGTTATTAAGTTTGGAGGGTCTTATTTGCACAATATGAGGACCAAAGCCCTTAGCCAAGCAATATGACAGGGAGATCCCGCGTTGTATGGCCGTGTTTTTTGGACCAGCAGTTTGTTTTTTCTGTATATAGTGAATAAATTTTCGTAAAAAAAAAACATTTTCACGAGCTAACCGTTAAAACTTCATTTGTCTGATAATGTGGCGGATTTGTTTTTGTATTAGTTTTGAGGGTCTTCTTTGCACAATCTTAGGACCGAAGCCCTAATCTAAGCAATATGTCCGAGAGATGTCCGCGTGCCTTGCTCGTTTTTTTCACCGGCGATTTCTCTCTGTATATAAAGTGTATAATTTTTTGTAAAAATCACCATTTTCATGAGTCATCTGTGAACAGTCCATTTGTCTGATTCCGTTGCGGATCGTTTTCGTATTAGTTTGGACGCCCTTCTTTGCTCATTTTGCAAACCGAAACCTGAAATTCCAGCAATATGTCCGAACTATTTCCGCGTGACATGCTCGTATTTTTTTTGTATTTTTTTTATTTTTTTTTTTTGGGGGGGGGGGGGTTGGGGGCGGGGCCTTTCTGTATTATGTGTATAATTTTTCATAAAAAGCACCATTTACTGCAGCCAACCGTTAAAACAGCATTTTCCCGATTCCATTGCGGATTCGTTTTTGTATTAGATTGGAAGTTTTCTTTGCACAGCATGACGACCGAAGAAACCCTGACCCAAGCAATATGTCCGGGAGACTTCCGAGTGGCTTGTCGTATTTTGGGTCGGCGATTTGTTCTTTCTGTATATGAAGTGAGTGTATAAATTTTCGTAAAAAGCACCTTTTACTCGAGCCAACCTTTCTAGCACCACTTGTGTAATTCCATTTCGGATTGGAAATTCCATAAGCTTTACAGCACTTTAATGCACATAGCACTAGGCCTCCAGATATTCTACACGGTTGTGTTTCCACCGGCGATATGTTTTTTTTTTCTATATGAAAGGTTTTCGTAAAACACCATTTTCTGAGGCCAAGCATCAATTATTTTTTAGTCTGTTCCGGGTTGGAAATTCCATGATTTTGCATGTTCTTCTTGACAGCAATATAGGGTATACAAAGCTCTAAGTATATGTTATAGTGTTCATCCGTGCTGTTCTACAGAAATTAGAAACTTCGACGGGAGCGATAGCGACCGGAGAATGTTTCTAATTTCTGTAGAACAGCTATATACGGATGAATACTAATTATATGTTAGTGTTCATCCGTGCTGTTCTACAGAAATTAGAAACTTCGACGGGAGCGATAGTGAATTAGAAGAAAGCACACTTTTTCCATGAAATTAAAAAAAAACCACTACACTGTCCAATGTAAGAATGCAGCATGTAGTAACCTTTTAAAGGTTTAATGCAGACATGTATATAGAGGCTGCAATTTACAATGTAAGAACGCTGGATGTAATTTTGGCAGCGATTATCTTCCATTAACAGAGTTGGTTACAGCAATATCAGAATTGTGGTTCTATAAAATAGAACATGACTTTTCTAATATGTTTTTATTGCCTATTAACAGTCCTATTTATTTACTTTCCGTACTCGTTTGTGGCTAGTCCTTTATCATAGCCCCTCGAGCAAGGACACGAATGTCAGCCATTGTAAAACACTATGGATTAAAAGTTACATTAACTATTTAGGTGTGAAAATTCAATTGTATTACTCAATTTCTTGTTTACTAATGTGATAAAGGGACAACAAAATAGTTATAAATCAGAGCGGGCGCTGTGGTGCAGTGGTAACACTGTCTGACTACAAGTCTAGGGGTTGCGAGTTAGATCCCCCGCTACTCCACTAAAAATTCTAATACTAATAATAAAACGTAATTCACACAATTCATAACTTTCACAATAAACGTAACTAACAGAGCACCATTCACGAACTGACAGTCAGGACACTTCTCACACAAAGACAGACAGACAGGACACTACTAACAGACAGTACACTACTCACACACAAGACACTACTCACACACTGACAGACAGGACACTACTCACAGACAGGACATTACTCACACACTGACAGACAGGAAACGAGTCACACACTGACAGACAGGACACTACTCAGAGACAGGACACTACTCACACCCTGTCAGACAGAACACTTCTCACACACTGACAGACAGGAAACAACTCACACACTGATAGACAGGAAATGACTCACACACTGACAGACAGGACATTACTCACAAACAGAACACTACGCACACACTGACAGACAGAACACTACTCACATACTGACAGACATGAAACGACTCATACACTAACAGACAGAACACTACTCACATACTGACAGACAGAACACTACTCACACACTGACAGACAGGTCACTACTCACACACTGACAGACAGAACACTACTCACATACTGACAGACAGGAAACGGCTCACACACTGACACTGACAGACAGGAAACGACTCACATACTGACAGAACAAGACATTACTCACACACTGACAGACAGGAAACGGCTCACACACGGACAGACAGAAAACGACTCACACACTGACAGACAGGACATTTCTCACATACTAACAGACAGGAACGACTCACACACTGACAGGAAACGACTCACATACTGATAGACAGGAAACGACTCACACACTGACCGACAGCTGACAGACAGGACACTATTCACATACTGACAGACAGGAAACACTGACAGGACAGTATTCACATTCTTACAGCACATTATTCACACACTGACAGGAAACGACTCACACACTGACAAACAGGACACGACTCACACACTGACAGACAGGACACGACTCACATACTGACACACAGGAAACGACTCACAAACTGACAGACAGGACACTACTCACACACTGACACACAGGACACTACTCACATACTGACATACAGGACACTACTCACACATTGACAGACAAGACACTACTCACACACTGACAGACAGGACACTACTCACACACTGACAAACAGGACACTACTCACATACTGACACACAGGACACGACTCACACACTGACAAACAGGACACGACTCACACACTGACAGACAGGACACGACTCACACACTGACAGACAGGACACGACTCACACACTGACAGACAGGACACGACTCACACACTGACAGACAGGACACTACTCACACACTGACAGACAGGGACACGACTCACACACTGACAGACAGACACGACTCACACACTGACAGACAGGACACGACTCACACACTGACAGACAGGACACGACTCACACACTGACAGACAGGACACGGCTCACAAACTGACAGACAGGAAACGACTCACACACTGACAGACAGGACACGGCTCACACACTGACAGACAGACCACTACTCACACACTGACAGACAGGACACTACTCACACACTGACAGACAGGACACGACTCACACACTGACAGACAGGACACGACTCACACACTGACAGACAGGACACTACTCACACACTGACAGACAGGACACTATTCACACACTGACAGACAGGAAACGACTCACACACTGACAGACAGGACACTACTCACACACTGACAGACAGGACACTACTCACACACTGACAGACAGGACACTATTCACATACTGACAGACAGGACACTACTGACTCACAGGACACTACTCACACACTGACAGACAGAACACTCATCACACATTGAGAGACAGGACACTACTTATAGACTGACAGACAGAAAACGTCTGATACAACTCACACAATAACACACAGGACAGTAGTGTAACACCTACAGGTCAATACTCACACATGCACTACACTACGCGACACACTGGACGCTTCAGACACACAGTAAACGACTATCACAATAACACACACAGCATAGAACGAACGCACTGTCACACATTCAAACACAAAACAGTACTTACACACACTGTTCACTATTCAAACACAGACATATTACTAATAACACACAAGACACCATTCACACACTGACACATATGGCACAACTGATACACACTAACACATAGGGTGCTACTGACACACCATATATTATTCAATCACATACATGGACTGACACAATAACACACGACACTACTCATACACTGGCAAACAGGACACAACTCAAACACTGACCTTACACACAGTCAACTACTACTTACATTATGACATGGCACAATGCAGACTGACCACAATGATGCAGACAGCGAACTAGTCACACATAACACTACGCAAGCACTGACACACAAAGCACTACCTACACACTGTCACAAACGTGATTTTCCTCTTAGTTATAAATTAATTCAAATTTTTTCCTACATTCTCAATAAAAAAAAATATTAATTGACATTTTGTATTGGTTTTTACTGTTACACGTGCAGTATATTTTTCGCCAAGACATGGATTTAAATCTGAACTGCATGTATATCCTTTAACCATAAATAAAAAAATTCATGTAGGTTGACCTTTTGACGTCATTTTTAGTTAATTAATATTCAAAAGCGGCCCATGAATGCACATATGCAAATTTATGCAAATGACTATTTTAACAAACACGGTTCTACGAAGCACTATGAAAAATAGAAGGTGACTATGAACAGAATTTGATATAGTATCGACATTTGTTCTTCTGTGAAAATTAACACTCATTATTTTGAAGAAATACAGCGTTTTCATTGGATGACAAAGTTGGACACTAACAAACGAATTCCGTTCATAGTCGCCTTCTATTTTTCATAGTACTTCATAGAACCGTAAAAGGTAAAAAATTTGGTAAAAAAACACCATTTTCTGGAGCAAAACTTTCAAACAACATTTGTGTGATTCCATTCCGGACTGGAAATTATGTATATGTTAGTGTTCATCCGTGCTGTTCTACAGAAATTAGAAATTTCGACGGGAGCGATAGCGACAGGAGAATGTTTATAATTTCTGTAGAACAGCTACGGATGAATACTAACATACTTAGTGTCAAGCTTTATTTGGCCTCATTATTATTCACTTAATTACGTCACTACGCGGTTCTATGAAGTACTATGAAAAATAGAAGGCGACTATGAACGGAATTCGATAAAGTATCGACCTTTCAAACATGGATTCAGAAATATTTTATGTAACAAGGTAACTTACGAAAATCCATGCCCCTGGAACTTGAAGTTTCTATCATGATTCCAAAGAAATGAATTGAGTTTCAAATGAAAACCATCAGTAGTTTGAGGATTGATATTGTAGCAAAACATAAACAAGAGGGCCATGATGGCCCTGAAGTCGCTCACCTGTATATAGGCCTACAGAGCGAGGCCAGTTTAAACCCCAGGGCTTTTATTTGAACAAAATTGGTAGACACCCATTAGAAGATGTTTCATGCTAAACATCTAAGGTCTAGCTCGTTGAGTTTTTAAAAAAGAGATTTTTTAAGTTTTAAATATACACATATAGTTAAAAGCAATGACATCCCTAGGGCGGAGGGCTTTTATTTGAACAAACTTTGAAGACACTCACTAGAAGGTGTTTCATGCTTAATATCTAAACTCTAGCTATTTGTTTTTATTCAAAGAAGGTTTTTAAGTTTTTGCTATACACATATAAGGAAAATTAATGTCCCCCGGGACAGGGCCAATTTTGACCCTAGGGCTTTTATTTGAACAAACTTTGAAGACACTAACTGGAAGATGTTTCATGCTTAATATCTAAACTCTAGCTATTTGGGTTTTTTCAAAGAAGATTTTTTTAAAAAGCTTTTGCAATACACATAAGGAAAATCAATGACCCCCCGGACAGGGCAAATTTTAACCCCTGGGCTCTTATTTGAACAAATTTGGTAGACACCCATTAGAACATCTTTCATGCTAAGTATCTTAGCTCTAGCTCTTTGGGTTCTCTAAAAGAAGTTTTTTTAAGTTTTTACTATATGCATATAGGGAAAATCAATGACCCCCTGGGGCGGGGCCAATTTTGACCCCAGGGCTTGTATTTGAACAAACTTGATAGACACTCATTAGAAGATGTTTCATGCTAAATATCTTAGCTCTAGCTCTTTGGGTTCTTTAAAAGAAGATTTTTTAAGTTTTTACTATATGCATATAGAGAAAATCAATGACCCCCTGGGGCGGGGCCAATTTTGACCCCAGGGCTTTTATTTGAACAAACTTGATAGACACTCACTAGAAGATGTTTCATGCCAAATATCTAAGCTCTACCTCTTTGGGTTTTTTAAAAGAAGATATTTTAAGTTTTTTCTACTTTCTGCATGGAATTAAATTCTTTGAACAATTTTTAAAGGTGACCACCAAAGGAACATTCCTGTGAAGTTTAGATGAAATTGGCTCAGCGGTTTATGAGGAGATGTCATTTAAAGTAAAAGTTTACGGACGACCGACGTACGGACGGACGAAAAGTGATCACAAAAGCTCACCCTGTCACTTTGTGACAGGTGAGCTAAAAAGGTATTTACTTAGTTTACAAAGATTGGTAATTCAGTCAAATTCCAGATCAGAGTTATAGACCCTCGAAGGTGTCCTCTAATCATGATCCTACAGAGATGTATAAAGCATCTTTATTGATGTTGTATGGAGAAAAAAATACAATGATAAAAGGAACAAAATGTGATCCATGTTGATGATATTTTATTTGTGAAATATACATAAAAAAAGAATCAAAAATACAATGAACTGGTCAAATAGCACTTGTAACTTATTCAAACTGTCCATGAACAGATTTTTTTTTATTTCAACACTGTTAACATTACAGCATTTACATGTATTCATTAACAGTAGAGAAACCTTTTAACATTTCATCTAGGCATCTAAAATTATTTTACCTTTAGCTATTATAGACAATTATTATACAAGAGTTCAAAAAAAGTGTTTGTGTTATGAAAAACCAATTTCATACTGAAACTTGCGATTTTTTTCTTAAGACACTGTCTACTACATATTGTAAATATTTGTTTAGAACACTTTTAAAATCACAGTTCTAACACAGACTTTGCACATTTTGAACAGATTTATTCTGAACAGGCCAATCTAACTAGTAATTTTGCTAAATGGCATTTACTTTGTATATATGCATCTCTTAAATCAAAATAAGTCTACTTTTGCGGCCCATTTTGAAAATTTATTAAATAAAGAATGAAAACAACAGTCATTAAAAAGTTCATTTATATGTCTTTGATCACTTCTTCCAGTTCTTGTTTACTAAACACATGGAACTTCTTTTCTGGTGTTACTGTGGACATCTGGAAAAGAAAACAAAACATATAATAAACCACTGACCTATTTAACTTACATAATAAACCACTGACCTATTTAACATATATAATAAACCACTGACCTTTTCAATATATTATATTAAACCACTGACCTATCTAACTTGTGCAATAAACAACTGACGTATTTAACTTATATAATAAACCACTGACCTTTTTAATATATTATATTAAACCACTGACCTATTTAACTTGTGTAATAAACTACTGACCTTTCTAACATATATAATAAACCACTGACCTATTTAACTTATATAATAAACCACTGACCTTTCTAACATATATAATAAACAACTGACATATTTAACTTGTGTAATAAACAACTGACATCTAATATATATAATAAACCACTGACCTATTTAACTTGTGTAATAAACTACTGACCTTTTTAACTTATATAATAAACCACTGACCTATTTAACTTACATAATGAATTTGACCTGCTTTGAATTTGGGTTACTCGATTCAAAGTTTATGTCAAAATACAAAACTTAGCTATTAACAATGCACAGCCTGGTTTGACCACATAGACATGCAGGCTAACCTGGCTTAGACTGGTGGCCAAGACTGATCACATTCACTTGCAGCAGGATAAGGCTTTAAGAGGAAGACCTTAGGTGTTCTGTGAATTATTTCGTGTACCTTAGTGGACACACCAACATTCCGTAGGCTAGCTGGATAGCATCCATGCAAGAAAGAATTAAAAGTTCTTGACAGGATCCGAACCCACAGCAGTGAAGGCCAAATAGTTTGAAGTAATCAAGCTTAACTCCTACCCATCTTCAGTCACTCTGACATGATACTGCCACATAGCCCCTATTCCAACCCCCGAATGGTGGAGAAAGACCCATAATGCCCCTGCCATGACCTGAGGTTAAGAGCATCTTATATCAATAAACTTACCTCTACATTTGTTGAATTCAATTTTTCCTCCATGACCTGCTTGAGAATGGTAAGAGCACTTTTACAAGCTTCCTTTAGAGTCATAGACTGTAAGGAAAAAAGAGTATAATATATGCTTGTTACTGAAAATGAAGTATTATAAAAATAAGAAATTTTAATGAGGGATTAAATTTTATGTTAAAATCTTTAAAATTTTTGAAAGGACTGTTAAATAGTTAAAGCAAGGAAAAAACATTACACTTATCCAGTAAATTAAAGGTCAAACACACTAAAAATCTAATGCTATATTTCCTTATAAGTATTTTTTGTGGTAAAATACTTTAATTTTAATTTTGTGAATTAGATTTTGTATAGGGATGTTTTAAAAGGCACATCATGCCTCAGAAACACATATCTATTAAATTCTTTAGAAATGTCAAACATGAGTTCAATAAAATTTCAAAAATTGATTTAGAGCCTGTAAGGTATTTAATAGCTGAAGAAAGAAGCGTTGAATCTGCATTAATGTGTCGTAAAGGTAGCAAAATGTAAACAAAGTTGTATTTTGACTTCCATACAAAATACATTTCACTATTATTATACCAATTTCTAACAGAGCAAAAGAAGTGAACATAGTTCATCTATTTGGCAAATGAGTATTTTTTTTGAAACTGTAACAGGATACCAAAAATAAAAAGTTTTTGAGGCATAATGGGCCTTTAATTATGTATATTACAAAACATATTCTTTAAATTAAAAATTACTGGTAAAGCAAACCTTATGGTAAACGTCTTGAAGTGCTTGTTGGGCACCCTCTGATCCTGATCCTATAGCTTTAGCTTCATATTTGATAAAAGTTCCTGAAGGGTCCATATGATACCTGAAATTATATCATAATATAGGCATACCATTATACAGATAACAGTAAATAGTACTCTAGTTATAACTATAATTTTAAAGGGGTTCCACTGAAGTTCAAAACTCTGAATAACATAAAATTCTAACATAGATCAACTGGGACACTTTAAATGAAAAAAAAACAACAACAAAAAAACGGCAAGAAAGAAAGAAATCTACTCAGAATTAAATTGAAAATTGAGTTTAGTGCAACTCTTAGACTGATTTTAGTTAATGCTTTTGATTGTTTTTCATTTTGGGTCATTTTGCAAAAAAAATCAAACATAATTATTTGGAAAAAATGGAGTGAGTGCATGACAGAAGTTATTGATTCACACCTATATCAAATAGTACACAAATCCTGAAAAATTTATACGCTCCCATCATGTCAAAAAATCTCAATGGGGTCCCTTTAAAATCATTTCCCCTTAAAAACAAGATTGCATTTCAGAAAAATGCTATGCCACCGCATTAATAGAACACTAAATAGTAGTGTAGGAACGGATTTTTTTTGTTTCTATACAATTTTGAAGATTGTCATAATGCATAGATCCCTGACCTATCTAATTCTTATTATCAGATTAGTGGTTAAATCTGTTGTTAACTCAATAAAAGATCAGAGTAGGAATATATCAATGCACTTGAGTCTAGTGAATTTAGTGGTGAAGGTCATATTTCACACAGCCTAAATTTCATGACTACATCAAAGGACAACACAGTAAGACACTTTGTCAAAATCTAGGTCAGCTGAAATCAAAGTTCACTTTACATATTAATCTGTGCACATGGTTCAAATTTCATAGCTGTACATCAAAGGACAAGAAAGTAGGTCACATCATCAAAATCTAGGTCACCTGATATCAAAGTTCAATTTTACAACTAAAACTGTGCACATGGTCAAAATTTCATTGCTGTACATCAAAGGAAAAGAAGTAGGTCACTGTCCCCTTGGGCAGATTTTGGACCCAAGGGTTTAATTCAAAACAATCTTGATACAGGTCCACCAAACAACATTTCAAGTCAAATATCTAAGCTGTAACTTTCTCCCATTCAGAAAACATTTGTTTTATTTTCTGTTTTTACTATGTGTACATAATGAGAATCACTGCCCCCGGGCAGGGCCAATTTTGACACCAGGGGAAAAATTTGAACAACTTTGGTAGAGGACCTATCGATGATATTATATAGCAAACATCAAAGCTCTATGCCTTGTACCTTCAGACAAGAAGATTTTTTAATTTTTTACTTTATATGTACATAGTGAAAATCAATGACCCCTGGGGGTGGGGCCAATTTTGACCCTAGGGCTATAATTTGTACAATCTTGCTAGAGGTTCACTACATAATGTGTCATGCAAAATATCTTAACTCTAGCCATTGTAAATTTAGAGAAGATAATTTTTTAAGTTTTTACTATATACATATAAGGAAAACCTATGGCCCCCGGGGCGGGGCTAATTTTGACACTAAAGGCAAAATTTGAACAACTTTGGTACCTATAGATGATATCATTTAACAAATATCAAAGCTCTAAGCCTTGTACCTTCAGACAATAAGATTTTTTGATTTTTTACTATATGTATATATTGAAAAATCAATGACCCCCGGGGCGGGGGCAATTTTGACCCCAGGGCTATAATTGAACAATCTTGCTAGAAGTTCACTTCACAATGTCTCATGCAAAATATCTTACCTCTAGCATTTGTCAATTGCTAGAAATTTTTTTTTAAAGTTTTTACTATAAGTTTTTACTATATACATATAAGGAAAACCAATGATCCCTGGGGCGTGGCCGATTTTGACCCCGGGGCTATAATTTGAACAATCTGGGTAGAGGTCTACCAGACAATGCCTTATGCAAAATATCTAAGCTCTAGGCCTTTTGGGTCTTTAAAAGAAGGTATTTTAAGTTTTTACTATATGTACATATAGTGAAAATCAATGACCCCCCGGGTTGGGGCCGATTTTGACCCCAGGGCTATAATTTGAACAATCTTGGTAAGGGTCTACCAAACAATGCCTTATGCAAAATATCTAAGCTCTAGGCCTTTTTGGTTTTTACAAGAAGGTATTTTAAGTTTTTACTATATGTACATATAGTGAAAATCAATGACCCCCGGGGCGGGGCCGATTTTGACCCCAGGGCTATAATTTGAACAATCTTGGTAGAGGTCTACTAGACAATGCCTTATGCAAAATATCTAAGCTCTAGGCCTTTTGAGTCTTTACAAGAAGATTTTTTAAATTTTTTCTTAGAATATAAATCCTTTTGGTTGCCATGGCAACCAGATTTCTGCATGGAATGAAATTCTTTGAACAACTTTGGAAGCCCTTCACCCAAGGATCAATCCTGCCAAGTTTGGTTGAAATTGGACTAGTATTTTTTCACAAGAAGATTTTTTAAGTTCACTATATAATCAATATAACACACACACACACACAAACAAACAAACAAACACACACACACACACACACAGGTGAATCGCTATATGCCACCGCATCGCAGATGCTGCGGTGGCATAAAAAACCTGTATCTTTATCAAGTGTCTGTCTAACTACCATAAAATGTTCAATATCACAAATATAATCTTAAACCATATGCAAAAAGATAACTCATACTTTTTCAAGTTTAAACTTGATTATCACTATAAAATTTTAGGGAAATATACTTACAACTGTGGTCCATCTTTATCAATACCAGCAAATAATAATGCCACACCAAATGGACGGCTCTGGAATAAAATGTCAAAGAGCCAATTAAATGTTTTTCATTAATTTTACAAAAAAAGTTAATGAAAAACTAGCCCTTTAAATAGGACTTTCTAGAAAATATTCTGCAACTGTTTAGTAAACAAGAGGGCAGCATGCAATGTAAAAGCTCATTTGTAACGGGCAACAATATCAACTAGAACTATCGCTGAATGCGATTCATACCCCCACCAATGTCCTTGACAGAAGACCACTTTGAAAAGTGGTTAAGGGAATAACTTATGTGGCACAAATACATAAAAAGAAATTATCTCTGGTGAAAAAAAGACTAATTGTACAGGTAATAGTATAAATATATATTATCAAATCATGTTCGAAACAGTTACAAATAACCTTTCATTTTCCCAAAATATTAAACATTTTATTTATAAGTCAATTTTTGACCTTCAAGTGTGGCCTTGACCTTAATCTGGCACAAGGGTAAGATGGGTTTTGCACATCACCCAGTTTGGTTGAACATTTGAGTAAAGTTTGAAGAAAATCCTTCCATTAGTATAGAATTTATAGAGTATACACAATATATTGTCTAGTATTGGTTGTATGTAAATTTGAAGACTTAAAAAGGGGCATAACTTTGTCAAAATGCAATACAGAGTAATGAAACTTGACCTGCATATCTTATTTGCCACACCTCATATCTTTTAAGTTTCAAGCAAATGCCTGCGCTAGTTTCAGAATTATTCAAGTACATGTTAAAATTTAAGAACATTTTCTAAGTTAATTTTTGACTTTCAAGAGTGACCTTGACCTTTAGCTGGCACAAAGGTGACATGGATTCTGCACATAACCTTGTTGAGGTGAAAATTTGAGTAACGTTTGAAGAAAATTCTTCCATTAGTATAGGATTTATAGAGCGGACACAACATATTGTCTAATATTTGATTGTATGTAAATTTGAAGACTTAAAAAGGGGCATAACTTTGTTAAAATGCAATACAGAGTTATGAAACTTAAACGAACAGCATATCGGAATTGTGACCCTTCAAAAATATTTTAAGTTTCAAGCAAATACCTTTTCTAGATTTAGAAATATTCAAATGAATGTTAAAATTTAAGAATATTTTCGAAGTCAATTTTTGACCTTCAAGTGTGACCTTAACCTTAAGCCAGCAAAAGAGTGACATAAGTTCTGCACATCCCCTGGTTGAGATGAACATTTGAGCCAAGATTGAAGAAAATCTTTCAATTAGTGTAGGACTTACAGAGCGGACATGACATACTGTGTATTATTAGATTGTTTGATATTTGACCTTCAATTGTGACCTTGACCTTGAGCTGACACATGGGCAACATGGGTTCTGCACATCCCCTGGTTGAGGTGAATATTTGAGTCAAATTTGAAGAAAGTCTTTCAATTAGTGTAGGACTTACAGAGCGGACACAGCATACTGTGTAATATTTGATTGTTTGATATTTGACCTTCAATTGTGACCTTGACCTTGAGCTGACACATGGGTAACATGGGTTCTGCACATCCCCTTATTGAGGTGAACATTTGAGCCAAGTTTGAAGAAAATCTTTCAAGTAGTGTAGGACTTACAGAGCGGACACGACATACTGTGTAATATTTAATTGTTTGATAGTTGACCTTCAATTGTGACCTTGACCTTGAGCTGACACATGGGTAACATGGGTTCTGCACATCCCCTGGTTAAGGTGAACATTTGAGCCAAGTTTGAAGAAAATCTTTCAAGTAGTGTAGGACTTACAGAGCGGACACGACATACTATGTAATATTTGATAGTGTTTGATATTTGACCTTCAATTGTGACCTTGACCTTGAGCTGACACATGGGCGACATGGGTTCTGCACATCCCCTTGTTGAGGTGAATATTTGAGCCAAGTTTGAAGAAAATCTTTCAATTAGTGTAGGACTTACAGAGCGGACACAACATACTGTGTAATATTTAATTGTTTGATATTTGACCTTCAATTGTGACCTTGACCTTGAGCTGACACATGTGCGACATGGGTTCTGCACATCCCCTGGTTGAGGTGAACATTTGAGCCAAGTTTGAAGAAAATCTTTCAAGTAGTGTAGGACTTACAGAGCGGACACGACATACTATGTAATATTTGATAGTGTTTGATATTTGACCTTCAATTGTGACCTTGACCTTGAGCTGACACATGGGCGACATGGGTTCTGCACATCCCCTTGTTGAGGTGAATATTTGAGCCAAGTTTGAAGAAAATCTTTCAATTAGTGTAGGACTTATAGAGCAGACACAACATACTGTGTAATATTTGATTGTTTGATATTTGACCTTCAATTGTGACCTTGACCTTGAGCTGGCACATGGGCAACATGGGTTCTGCACATCCCCTTGTTGAGGTGAACATTTGAGCCAAGTTTGAAGAAAATCTTTCAAGTAGTGTAGGACTTACAGAGCGGACACGACATACTATGTAATATTTAATTGTTTGATATTTGACCTTCAATTGTGACCTTGACCTTGAGCTGACACATGGGCGACATGGGTTCTGCACATCCCCTGGTTGAGGTGAACATTTTAGCCAAGTTTGAAAAAAATCTTTCAAGTAGTGTAGGACTTACAGAGCGGACAGGACATACTGTGTAATATTTGATAGTGTTTGATATTTGACCTTCAATTGTGACCTTGACCTTGAGGTGACACATGGTCAATATGGGTTCTGCACATCCCCTTGTTGAGGTGAACATTTGAGCCAAGTTTAAAGAAAATCCTTCAATTAGTATAGGAGTTATAGAGCGGACACGAAAATGGAGACGGACCGACCGACCGACGGACGGACCGACCGACGCGACAAAGCGAATCCATTATAGCCCCCCCCACATTTTGTGGTGGGGGTATAATAACAAATTTTGACTACAAAAAATCATTAAAAGAAAGGGGCAATACTAAAAAAATATATAGCTTTCAGAATAATGCTGAAATACACCTTGTCATGAAATTAAAGCAAGTATTCTAAGTTTTGTGTTGACAACTATTAAAAAGTTTGAATAATGGGTTACATTAACCCTTTCGCTGCCAGAGGGTTATTGTTTTATTGTTCACCTAATTGCCAGAGGATTTTCTAAGAAATTACTATATTATTAATTAAAATAATTATTATTATTTGTTATTAGTATTATAATTATTATATATGTTTCCAAATCTCTTAGTATAATACTAATTATTGTCGATGGTATAATTTTCTTTATATTTATTATTATTTTTATTATTATTATTATTAATTTATTATTATAACTATTATTATTATAGAAACGGCTAAAGCCGTCCATATGGCAAATACGCCAAAAAATAACAGGGACGGCTTAAGCCGTCCCTATGGCAGTGAAAGGGTTAAAGGTTTTGCACAAAGACCACGCAGCGATCTTAATTGTTTGACTGTTTTTGTTCAAAACAGACAAGCTAAAAAACATAGTGTTTACAGTTACTTATACCTAGCATCATAAAATGGAAACAGTTACATGTATCTCTGTATGGTAGAAATCATGCAACTAATTCTATTAATATTTTTTCTTTGTTCTATGAAAAATTTGTATGTTTGATTAGATTTTATGTCACAGCAACACAGTATAGGTCATATGGCGACGTTCCAGCTTTAATGGTGGAGGAAGACCTCATGAGCCCTTCCATGCATTATTTCAGGCACGAACGGGCACCTGAGTAGAATGACCGACATTCCATACACTAGCTGGAAAGCTTCCTCACATGAAAGAATCCAAAGTCCCTGTCGGGATTCGAACCCAAAGCAGTGAGGCCCAAGTGGTTTAAAGTCAACAACCTTAACCAATCTAAAATGTGATACCACTAAATGACTATAAAGCTCTGTTAACAAAGAACATACCATAACTGCCTGTTCAGAATCATCATCTCCGAAGGCTAGAGCCAGGTTACTGACTGCTTGTGTAACACTCTCAACAGACATCTTCTCATTATATGTAAACCAATGATTCTGTAATATTATAATCATATAATTATTCAGCAATTTAACTATTTTTTTTTTTGAAATTTTTAAACATTCCTGAGACTTTTTTCAAGAGGAAAGTTTTTGGTACCAATTTTTAAAAAGGGGGGGAAAAATGATTTTCAAAAATCTTTTGAATGATAATTTAACATTTTTTACCCCATTTAAAGGGGAAAAAGTCTAAAAAAGCTATAAATTTTTTTATTTTTTCCCAAAAAAATAATAATTTTTTGATCTTAAAAAAAAAGGGTTAAAAAATTAAAATTAAAAAAAATGTTGATTTTTTTTAAAAAATTTTACATTTATTTTAAAGAAATTTACTTTTAAACAATTTGTCTTTTAGATAAAAAATGGGTTCCTTAGCAATGCCTGTATCTACACTAGACATGGAAGCAGAAGGCAGTGGATAACAAAAAGGTCATGTTTTTCATTTTATCAAACCTCAGATCGCTTAATACTCTATTTCTGAGGTATTCCCGGCAGGTACAAGTGAAATCTGATTTAGGTGTGACAGGTTTAATACTACTAAATTCAAATGCTAGTCTAAGACTTTGCACAGCAGACTTGTATTTACAGAGCAAGGAATAAATTTAGCTATATGAAGATCTACATACCTGTGCTTCCACTCTTGCTCTATCTACCAGTGTCCTAGAATCAGCTATCAGACCACTCATGGCACAACCTAATAAAATCATGATATCTTTATTAGTAAATAATACTACTGCAAAACCAAATTTGTAAATTCTCAGAATTCGAAAATTAACTTAATTTTACTTATAGTTAACATTGACATTATCATGATAAAACTCTATTGGTTGGGGTTTTTTTTATTTTTTGTTTGTTTGGAATATATTTCGCACCAAGACTTTACAAGTTAAAAGGCGGTTTTAGAGCTTTACTAGAAGACCTCAGGTGCCGCTCCATGCATTATTTCAGTCACAAACGGACACCCGAGTAGAACCATCAATATTCTAAAAGCTAGCTAGTTAACTTCCTAACATGAAAGAATGGCTGCATTATAAACTGCACCAGTAAGGAACAAGTGATTTGAAGTCAACGGTATTAACCACTCAGCCACGGACACCCCTCCTCTTTTGGTAGGTACTGAATTAGACTAGAATATCTCCTGATTTTATATAACACAATAAATTACCAATATGGTCATCAACTTCAAGAATTTTTTCAATACTGGTGGGTTCGATCAAGGGCGATGTGACTCTTTTCTCTACAGCCAGGACCACTCCTTCATTTGTTTGGATTCCAATGGCTGTTGAACCAAGCTAAAATACAAAAACAGAAACGTTTATAGGTATACAAAAATATGATAGAAATTTTATAAGATTATTCTAATATTTTTATGTTAGATGTCATCATGATAAGAGATTCCAAAGGAATTTAAGAGGAGTGAATATTCAATCATGAACCTATAAGCAGGGTACATTTTTCTTCTCAATCTGCTGCAAAACCTCTCAAATTGAACATGTCAATATGAACAGATTAAGTGGATTTTTTATTCCTGATATTTAGTATTTAGACTTACAAACTACTCATATTAATATGAATATAACTTTTATGCAACTTAAACTTTTATTATTTTTTCTGTTTATTTAAGATATTTTCAGACTCCATTTACAAATCAACTGATATGAAGAACTAACTACAATCAAATAATGAAGGTTTAACATTTAACAATATTTATTCACATTTTTTATGATTAACTATAAATTAATATTAATTCACAACCACAACATTTAATGCAACAAAACAATAAATTTTATACAGCTTAATATGTAATTAATTTTAAGGAGAGACAGTATTAACAAAACAGAACATTAAGCCCAAGATTTTCACTGATAATTATTATTATATACCAACCTTTATTGCCTCTATTGCATATTCCACTTGAAAAAGTCTTCCCTCTGGTGAAAATGTGTTGACACCCCTGTCATATTCAGATCTTGTGAGAAACATAGTTACTGGAAAAAAAATATGAATGACATAAAAAACAACACCTTCTTTAATATATCTTAATATAAATTGTATAAAAGATTCAAATTGTCCTGCTATGAATCTTGAACTGTCCATTGTTTGCATTTTGATATAAAAATTAGCAACTCAACAATAAACAGCATTATTGTTTATGTCAGAGGAACTTTGATACTATCTTAATACTACATGTATAAAGTAAGATACCACACTAGCAGGACTCAATACTGGTATTTGATAACTCATCATTCTCTTATAATATCTGGTTATTAACTTGATATATAAGAGTATAAAGACTAAAGAGTCAGATCCAATTTCAAATTTTTATTTAATCTGATATTGATTACAGACACTAAGGGTTCAGCACTTGTCAACTCTAAAGTAACTTTTTAATACAAGTGGGACACCTGGCTTATTCTAAATTTGTTTTTAAAACAATCTCCTGATTGATTTTAAAAAAAGTCATAAACAATAAAGGCTCAATAAAATAATTAAGGCACAGAATCTACAAATATTTCATTTACTTTCAAATGCATTTTATAATTAACATTTTGTTTTTTATCCTAGCAATAAGAATAGATTCTGTCATTCCATTGAGCGTCTAATCAGCCAGTACACAGTGTACAACTTATGGCCAAGCTTAGAATTTTAAATGACAGTGCAAACCTAGCCAGGGTCATTTTGCCCATTTCTTAGCCATGTATAGGGTGCCACCCTAAGGTATCTCGGTACTTATCAGAGCTCCAGATAATTTTTTTGGCCAAGGGGTTTTTACCCCTCAAAATTTAGAGTGAGGGGTAAAATGCAAATTCTGAAAAACTTAGGGGGTAAAATCTGTCAAAAAAGCATTTTGCATTTTTTATAAACAAATTAAACTTATTGTTGTGTTTGTTTGTTTGTTTATTTTCTTTTTTTAGATAAACCTTTACAAATTAAATACTGATTTAATGTGAAACAATACAAAACATGCCATGTAAAGTCAGACTTCCAGAGTATACTGGAACTCAAGTTTAGGATACACAGCAAAATTATCAGGGCTTCCATTTTCAAAATTTGGAAGTCAAAGACTTCAAAATCTCTGATATTGGAAGTCACATAATATAGGTAAAGAAGGAAAGTATTGAATTTTGGAAGTCACAGGCCAATTGAAGGAGTAAAAGACTCCCAAACTTCCACTAGTGGAAGCCCTAAAGTTATTTTATTTTCTATGAGTCAATATTTTTCTTTCTTTATTTTTGTTGGCATGTACCTTATCATGTACTCCAGTTTGAACAATTATAGTTGAAATTAGAATTAAAGAAACATAAACAAGATTTTTTTATCTTTCCTTAAAAAAAAATATTGGTCTGAGAGAAAATTGTCCGTAACTGTAGACTGGGTACGAAAATATTGAGTACAAAACTGCAGGTGAATAACATGTTATTTTGTCCCAACAACTAAAGTTAAAGAAATTAAAATATATTTTTGTTTATATTGAGGCATAAGTATGTCAATAGATGCCTAAACAATCTTAATACTGTGTTAACTCCTACGATGATTATCTGGCACAAATTTCATCAATAATTTCACAGGTTGATAGATCTACGGGAGTAACCTCCCTTCTGTATTTCCTGCTACTTTCGTTTTTTACATGCGTTGTTGACAACAGAATTTTTAGTTTTCAATGCAATTAAATGGAAATATATTGTATTTTAGGCTCAAAACATTTTCTTTCTACATATCAAATGTTTACACTTCTATTCTTTTACGCATAAATTTTGACATACGAGCGTATTTTCATTTTGTTGTGCGTAACTGTGACGCACGGATTTTGAAAGTGATGCGTATTTTAGATTTTCTATGCGTATTTTACGCTTATACGCACGCTATCTGGAGCTCTGCTTATTATTTCTTTCAAATTTTCATAAGTGAAAGGATGGCGTATGTCCTTGTAGAAGTATTTTTACCAGACATTTATTTAGTCCACGAATTGATGGTTAGTCAAATCAATGAGAATAAGGCATATACTCCTGAGGTTTATTCCAGGATATAGTCCAATCTCAATGTTTATAGGTGGTACTATACAGTATACTAATTATGAAAATTTAGGATTATTGTGTACTGGTAAGGTTGCACTTTGGAGTTGACATAGTTCTGGCTTCCATAACTTTATATGTCGCTTTTATTTTGACGTTGTTCGACAGTAAAGTTATGGGTCAACCTTATTTGCAAAGGCTACCAGAATTTTACCAATTTGTGTGCCGTACATAAAACCTATTAAATTAACCCTTATTATTCAAATTTGGGTCAAATAAAAATACGATTTGATAAACAAATCAATTTTGAATCAATTTATGTTTTGTTTATGAATTAAACTTCAATGACATTGTGCCCCCAACTATTTGTTACGGAAATATGTAGAGAATGTTTACCAATATGGAGTCTGCTTTCAATTGAAATCTCGCAGGACTTCAAGTTTTGGGAATTCTAGCATCTATTTTTAGTAACGGACCATACACTAGTTTTAGTATGTGTATGATTTTAAATAAAAACAAACAAATTATTCATGAATCATCACTCAAAACAATATAAATCCAACATGTTTTAGTACAATGTCTGTTATTGAATAAATACATTGCAAAGCCATTTTTTCAATTAAAAATAACATTTGGGTCACGGGTCACCAAATGTCATGCAAAGGTATCCGAACCTAAATTCTCGCTAGTCACGTGATAATTAGGGCAGCAATGGCGACGAATTTTATATAATTTGAACCCACTGATAAACTTTGATGCATTATTTCATCAATCTAACGCTCTGTGTTCAAAAATATAGACTGAAGTGTCCAAAATATAATTAACTTCCTGTGTTAAAATAGCTTTTGTCCAGATCACGCAAATTTATTGAATTACAGCATGACATAAATATGTCATGGTTCTGGTTGACTTTCAATTGGCTTCAGCGAACAGGTCTAGCAGTACTATAGTATAAAACCTGTTCGCTGAAGTCTCTTTAGCTAGAGTTGACAAGGCTAGAGCAGTGTAGAAGAGTTATTTCTTGAAAACTGCACCTTTGAGTTAATAATATTAACTAACACACCAAAGAGTATTATATAAAACAAACCAAAGAGTATTTTAGACAACAGTTTCTCAAACATTTATTAAACTTTGTTTAAAAAGGGGGGAATAACATTTGACGTACAAATGAAGATGAAAGCAATTATTCACTTTCTTTATACAAAAAAACAGTATTTCATTCTTTCACCGTGTTTTTCTTCATCAAAATTTCATTAAAATATTTGCCAAATCACGTTTGCCTCACCCCACCCACTTAATAATAAACGTTCATAATTTATTCCAGCGTTCTTTCCCACAAAAATATAAATTCAGAGATATTCAATTTATTTCCAAATAACTAAAATAAAATAAAATTAGACTTTAACCTTTCCTTTCGACCTTATTATGATTAAACTATCTTAAAAAATACAAACCCAAACTTTTGTTTTGACGCGAAAACTAAGTACTTGCCGGTGCGGAAGTATATCTAATATCGAACAAATATTCATATCGTTGTCGTCATCATAGTTGGTCTAGGCGTTGTTTGCTTCTGTGTTGATTCACGCAGATTAACTGTACAAAAGTTCATTATGATAAAAAATAATCAATAAACAACTGTCGTTTTAAAGCAGTATAGCTGTCAAGGATAGAAATTTATCGCATTATTACGGGAGGAAATGTGTAAGTTTGGATTTTAACAGTAATCCAGTCACAGGTTTTGGTCCTGGTTAGGCTGCACTTTTTCTTACCGTGGGACATTTGGCTCCTATTGTGGGGCCATAATAGTATTGGTTCCAGAGTAAATGCTAAGTGCTCACTGTATGAAAATCGAGGATTTATTTCAATATACATGTATAAAAGGAGTTTGTCATAGTTAGTGATGTTCCGATTGTCGCAAGTCGCTGATAATCAGTTACTGTTATGTAAAGCGACAATAATCGATTCACAAAAAATTGTTCCGCGACGTCGTCAAAAATGTTTAAAGTATCAAAACGAATTAATTCTGACGGTAATTTTCTTTTAGGAACACCTCGCCGATCGCAAAAAAATTATCTCAGAGACAATTTGGAGTTGAATAGGATCAATACGTGATGTAAACAATAGAAATATAATGTGATGTGAATGTTATTATTTGACATCCATTGGAAAATTAAATCTATTTCGTAAAATAATAACTAAATAGGGTTAAAACTGTGTTGAAAAGTGCTAAATGAAGTTCATGTTACTGAATATAATCAAGTGCCTTGGGAAAAAATGCTTCTTCCCTATTTATTTTTAACGCGACTTTAATCGGAAAGTTATCGATTATGTCCCATCCGATTGAACCGATGATCGATTGGGACAAATTTCATCCGATTTCCACCACTAGTCATAGTACTGTTCAATACTTAGAGAGCAGGCAGATAGATCAGTCTGTAAAACCAGGGAACCTTTTTCCTAAAGTCCAGGGTTCAAGTCCTTGTCAGACTGCATGGCTTTATCACCCTGTGACATATGAGCCGCGTCACGACAAAACCAACATAATGGGTTTGCGACCAGCATGGATCCAGACCAGCCTGCGCATCCGCGCAGTCTGATCAGGATCCATGCTGTTTGCTGACAAACACTATTACAAATAGAGAAACTGATAGCGAACAGCATGGATCCTGATCAGACTGCGCGGATGCGCAGGCTGGTCTGGATCCATGCTGGTCGCAAACCCATTATGTTGGTTTGTCATGACGCGACTCATATCTTAAATGTGAATATGACCTTTTACAGGGTTTCTAGAAGTGAAAAATTTAGCCCCCATACCCCCCTCCAGCCTTTTTCTATTCATTGTTTGTAAACACAGGGTATACCTGTATATTGCAACTTTTGTTATCAATTTTCTTTAAATTTCTTCAGCACAGTGTATTTAATCTGGGTGCAGTCATTATATACTTAGATGCAAAAAAAAATATCATAAACTGGATTGAACAAAAATGAGCTTTTCAAGAATTGATATCGTACATGTATTTGTGGATGACACAGAACATTCCATGTTCATGGATGGCACTGAACATGTTCAGATGCATTAGCTTTGTGTAAACTGTGACTCTGAAAATAAAGAACTGATCTGATATGGTAAAGTAAAAGAATTAAGAAAAGCCAAATGTTTTGCCAATTATTTTTAATGATCATAAAACTATTTTTACACTATACAAAAAATGTACATGTATATATAAACTTCATATACAAAAAAGTCAACATTTTTTTCTCTTTGTTGGTACCTATGAACAAAATTATCTTAAACTTTGACTGATGCTCTCCAGTGATGCTTCAACTCTAGACCTGCTAAATATCTTAAATGAACTTGTCCATTATTCATTCTGGACAAAACCATTCATCATTTTTAGGGGAAATTTTAAAAAATATATTGAAAAACTAGTGAACAGTGCAGCAATGTGCCTGTAAATCTTGGTCTACACTGGTCACCTAGGTAAAATATGTTGCTGCCAGCAGACTAAAGGTTAAAAAAAGATAAAGCATGGCAATACTTGAGAGGAAAAGTTGAAAAATCTATTTTAAGCTCCTGACAGTGACATAGACTCAAGCTGCCTTATATCAAAACCAAAGGTGAAAGTCTGAACACAAAAAATATGAAAGACATCAGTCTACAACTGAAAAATGAAAGGACAAACTGTCGACTAAATCAAAAACTGACATAAAATTATAACTATGGACTTATGGATAGTTATTTTTTCTTCAGAATTAACATTTTTTCAAACTTTTAATTTGTTAAATGATATTTTTTTCTATACAAAATATATCTGGTTTTCCCTTCCCTTGTAATATGGTTGATTATTTTAAGTTAAACTTTGTTAACTTTCTAGAATAACCCAATACAGTGCAACTTATGCAAAGAAGCCCTCTTTAAACCAACAAGTATCAAATCTTCCCCAACAAAGATTTTACACTACATTTAACCTCTTGAGAGCAAAAGAAACTCTTCTCATTAACAGCAAAAATCTTTGTTGCCAAAGGGTATTACTCAGCTCTACTGAGGTTGATGGAGAATTAAACAAAATTCATAACAACTTATAAACTTTTAAAGCAGCACTTCTCCAGGTACATACAATATTTAAAAATGTTGAAGGTAACAAGATATGTTTGTAAAACATGTATGCCCCCTATCAGCAGCCAATTAGTCATGTGATCAGGTTATTATGCATGACTTCTGACCCAGTAAAATAATAATAATAAAATAATATATGCATAAATTTTATGAATCATGTAGGCCTCATTAATGACAGCCAAGTTGTTTTATTACATAAGACCTTCAAATGTGTATACCAAAAGCATTTTTAGTTAAATATAAAAATATCAACCAAGGCAACTTGAGTTGTTGAGTTATTAGTCAGAAACCGTCATTAAGTACAAGGTAAATATGACATTGACCCCTTGACCCCAAAATCAATAGGGGTCATCTACTGGTCATGACCAATCATCATACCAAGTTTGAAGTTCCTAGGCCTAAGCGTTCTTTAGTTATTGATCGGAAACCGTTTTTACCTACAAGGTCAATGTGACCTTGACCTTGCACCCCTTGACCCCAAAATCAATAGGGGTCATCTGCTGGCCATTACCAATCATCATACCAAGTTTGAAGTTTCTAGGCCTAAGCGTTCTTTAGTTATTGATTTGAAACTGTTTTTACCTACAAGGTCAATGTGACCTTGATCCATGACCCCTTGACCCAAAATCAATAGGGTCATCTTCTGGTCATGACCAATCACCATAGCAATTTTGAAGTTCCTAGGCCTAAGCGTTCTTTAGCTATGGATCAGAAACCGTTTTTACCTAAGAGGTCAATGTGACCTTGACCTTTGACCCCTTGACACAAAATTCAATAGGGGTCATCTGCTGGTCATGACCAATCATCATACAAAGTTTGAAGGTCCCAGGCCTAAGCGTTCTTTAGTTATTGATCGGAAACCGTTTTTACCTAAGAGGTCAATGTGACCTTGACCTTTGACCCCTTGACCCCAAAATCAATAGGGGTCATCTACTGATCATGACCAATCACCATACCAAGTTTGAAGTTCCTAGGCCTAAGGGTTCTTAAGTTATCGATCGGAAACTGTTTTTACCTACAAGGTCAATGTGACCTTGACCTTTGACCCCTTGACCCCAAAATCAATAGGGGTCATCTGCTGGTCATGACCAATCACCATACCAAGTTTGAAGTTCCTAGGCCTAAAAGTTCTTTAGTTATTGATCGGAAACCGTTTTTACCTACAAGGTCAATGTGACCTTGACCTTTGACCCCTTAACCCCAAAATCAATAGGGGTCATCTGCTGGTCATGACCAATCACCATACCAAGTTTGAAGTTCCTAGGCCTAAGGGTTCTTTAGTTATTGATCGGAAACCGTTTTTACCTAAGAGGTCAATGTGACCTTGACCTTTGACCCCTTGACCCCAAAATCAATAGGGGTCATCTACTGATCATGACCAATCACCATACCAAGTTTGAAGTTCCTAGGCCTAAGGGTTCTTTAGTTATTGATCGGAAACCGTTTTTACCTAAGAGGTCAATGTGACCTTGACCTTTGACCCCAAAATCAATAGGGGTCATCTACTGGTCATGACCAATCACCATACCAAGTTTGAAGTTCCTATGCCTAAGGGTTCTTTAGTTATCACTCGGAAACCATTTGGTCTACGGACCGACGGACCAACGGACCGACAAGTGCAAAGAAATATACCCCCTCTTCTTCGAAGTGGGGGCATAATAAATATATTGTCATGTGAACAAATAAAGTTATTCAAGCTAGCATAATGCACATTTTTAGAAAAAAAAATGAGTAAAAAAATATGTGAATAATCCATTAGCAACAAGGTACAGTTTACAAAGGCCGACCAAAGAGAAGATAAAATCTTTAAAGACTGGTGGTCTTTATTTGGTGGTAACTCTGTTCTCTTTGATAAATGAAGAGTTGTTCAAGAGTGGCTTTTTATTTACAGGGTTATCTTTATTTGAAGGTGGTGTTTAAACACAGGTATTTGCTGGAAGGGTGCAACTTAAAAAATATACAAAGCATGATGATCAAATACAAAATGACAAATTCAAGACAAAAAAGACACAAAAAACATGCAAAGCTAAAAATATATATCTTTCTATATTGTAACATACAATAGTGTATAACAACTGAGCCCAGCTCTGAAACAATAACTTTTTTCTTCATGAAAGAAAAAAAAAACTGCATATCAAAATGTGAACATCACCTAGTAGTTTGTACAATATTGTTAGAACTGCCAAATTTGTGAAATGGAACTATCATGCTATCAATCTGGGAACAGTCCAAAATTAGTTTAAGTAAATCCTACTATTAAAGGGATACTCTGGCAAATTAATGACAAAAATATTAAAATAATCTTATGAACTCAAATCACGCTAAAATGACATTGTTTAAAATCCCAGCATGAATTTCTGTAATAAATTCTATATATTTTAGGTTTGAAGCAAAAATATATCTATATATGTTGAACGAAAATCAGAAGCCAGGAAAATCACGGAGTAATTTTAAAACAAGTTATGTGACTTGAACAAATCCTGGAAGTTACAATAACAGATATTGTGGTTATTGTAAGATTCAAACAAGTCTAAGTCATTCATTTGACATGTTCCAAAGTTTCCAGAGTTTTCTGTGACAACTATTGTAAAATCTAAATGCTCTAACCTGACCCATGTGGAACTTTTTATTCTGTTACATAAAATTTTCATGTGTGTTAAATAACAGAGACATTCTATGTCACAACTTTTTAGAGAATTGACCATATGTAAACAATATAATTTTACTATTATAAAATTTTATGAATATATTTTTATTGTATACAGCTTAATAACCTTATTAGCATAATGTCAAATTGTTTAGCACCTTTGTTTTGAACACAAAACCCAGACTGCTTCTAGAATTACAAACACCCGTTTCCTGATAAAACAGATAGTAAAGAAAGGATATTTTCAATACTGTACAAAAACACAAGAAATACTGAGCCAGTACATAGCCTTTGGTGAAAAATTTGAAATCTTACTAATTATTAAATGAAAGGCATACAATAATCATGTCACTGTTTTATCAAAAAAGAATTTTATTAAGGTTAATGAAATTAAGAAATAATATATCCTAAACAGTGATTTCATTTAGCGATAAAATCACTGTTCGGGATATATTATTTTTTGATTACATTAACCTTAATAAAACTCTCTTGTGACATGACTATTGTTTAGCGATAAAATCATTGGAGTTTGGACGAAAGGAATTATATCACGGATATATTATTTTTATTTTTAAACACATCAACAAATAAATGAGCCTATATATGATATCAAGCTAAATTGCACCTGACCTGTTTCCATACTTATTTTCAGCGTGTTGCATTTTTTAAGGATTATGTCACATATCTGACTGTTACGTAACATGTCTAAATAAAGAACATCAGCAGTGAATTTATTGCACAATAACACACACTTTCTGTCCTATTCTGTTCAACCGGGAAAAATGCGGGTTGTGTTAGAATTGGTCATTATCCATGTTACACCTATAGTCATGTCACTGTTTTATCAAGGTTATTTTAATGGGTAACTGTCATATAAAAGTCTATGTTACATAATACTATATCATAATGTTGAAGTATTATTGTAGGAACATGGGACATTATCAATTCACATCACATCAAACTACCTTATCACATTATCACTGCAGATCATGTCACAATGAAACATTTTGTCTATGTCACAATATATCCTTCTGATCATATCACATTATCAACACTTTTTATTAAAATATAGTATTACTTTTAATGATATCACACAAACATTTAGTTCTTTCCATTTTCACCTTTATGTATATGATTCACTTTAACCTTAGATCATGTCACAAGAAATTCTGCAGATCATGTTACATGTAATACTTTACCCTTACATCATATCACAAGCATTTCTGTAGATCATAGTAGACTTTAACCTTAGATCATGTCAAATACTTCCACCTTAGATCATGTCACGAATAATTTTTTTAGAAGATCTTTATTTTTCAAAGGCTTAGAATCAGGTTTACAATAATATCTGCAGAATTCATGTACCAACTTTAACCTTTAAATCATGGTCCAAGAAAATTCTTAGGAGTTATGTTACACTATCAGTCGGTGCATCAAAATTTTTTTATAGGCTGGTTCCACAGAAGCATTTTCTTTCTTTTTTTCTTCAATTAGTTTTTTACTTGTCAATCCAAGAAGAGAGGCAAAACTGTGGAAATCTTCTGTTAAAAAGGCTGGGCTATACAATCCACCTGCTTTCTGTTGACTATCACCCTGTCAAAGAAAAAAACATTGATACTTTTATATGATCTTTTTTTTTTAGTTTTCTTTAATAAAACAGCACATTTTGATTGTATCAGCCTCCAAATTCATGCTAATTTTCATGAAAAATTTCAAAATGTATTAAAAAATAAAATACCGTCCAAATGAACAAAGAAAGTAATTAACACATTGCAAACAGCACTTAAAATCTACGAAAATTACCAAAAAGTCAGAATATGCAAAAGTACCCCTTACTGCATTAGTCATGCAGTAGAAATATGGTGATGAATACTGCAAAATCAGTTATAAACGGCATATTAATTAAATTGTGAATATTTTTACTTAAATAAAATCTTAGAACAAATTACGTCAAGGTTAAGTTTCATTTTGCTACTCAGTCAGTTCATATTTTGAAATTCTCAGAAATGATAAATGGTTTAATCCCTATTGAAAGATGGACAAGTCCATTTATGATATTTAGGGTGGTAAGGGTTAATGTATTTTATGATTCTTCTTATTCAAAATGAGATGTCCATGTCTGTTGTCAAACCAAAGTGAAGGTACATGTAGATACATGTATGTATTCTTATATAAGATATTATTTATTATAGATACAGGCAAAAAGTATCAAACTACCTGTTTATTAAGTACATATGTGATTGACAAAACCTCTTTATGAATACAAATTAGAATTTGAGTATTATACGCACAATATCCCAAAAATATGTTCAAATACTGCTTAACGATAAAGTGCACTTCTTCAAAAAAATATATGATTCACCAAAGTATTTGGCTACTTACTATATAAGTACTGGTAATAATCATGGGATTGTTGTTTTTGACACATTTTCCAATCTAAATCAATTCATATCGGACTGAGTACAAACTACTAATGTTTTTCTTCAGTTTTGTATAACATAGGAAGATTTACCTTTTAAATGCTGTTTCATTACTGAATCTATTTTCATTTTTCTTTTGTCATTTAATCAACACTTACTGCAAATATACTAGTAGTTTGTCTCATTTTTACAACCATTAAATGAAATATAATAATCTATGTCTGGCCGTCATCCCTTTTACAATATTCAAAAATTACTTATTTACTATGATGACCATTCTCTAACCCGCAGCATGTGGGGAGCAACTGTTGGTTTAAACATATTTTTCTCGTCACATGAGAACATATTTATATACATGACTTTTATAATGAATACAAAAAACAGGATTAGACTGGAAGCAATCTAATGCTTAATGAAGTCTTAGTATAAAGTATTAGTACAAGATAAGGTGAAAAATTTGTCGTTCCTTGACCAAGAAAGCTGTTGTGTTTCATCTAACATCGAGCAACTATTTTTACCCTGCCGACCAGTACAGACCAAGATCAGTCCCGTGCAGTCTGATCATCATGTGCACTGTTCCCTAATTAAGTCTGTACTTATTTAAAATTTCTCTAAACAAGAAAAATAGTTTAGTCCAGAATGAGAGCTGGACAAGTCCATTTTCAATATTTAGCCTGCTATAGGTAAAACAGACTTATTCATAATCTACCTATACTCACCAAAACGATTGTTTTCTTCTCCAACGTTAAACAATATGGCGTGAACTCAGCATCAGTCTTACTGCATCTGAATGCCTTACCAGAGTCCTTCAGGTCCTTACTATATACAGGAAACTGAAAATCTTCCTGTAAATATCAAATAAACATACTATGATACAAAACAAGAGCTATCAGTGATCACATGTGTGGCCTCATGATATCCTATTGCCTGTTGCAGTTTCTGTGCAGCAGGAGACACAAAAATCATTAACGAGGCAAAATGCAGTTTCTGTTCAATAGCCATAACTTTAGCTAAAAAATCAATCCTGAAAAGTTTCATTGAAATAGCATCAGTGTTATCACAGGAGGAGTACTGACAAAATTTAAAATAAAAATCATTAAAGGGCCATAACTCTGACAAAAATCAATGAACCAAAAAATGCCAACAATATGCACAACTAGACTTTTATGTCGCCATTTTTCTGTAGAGGTGACACATAAAAGCCTTAGTAAGACATAAGTATGCCCATTTCTTTTTTTAAATAAGGATATATAAAAAATTCTGTTATTCTGCTATGAAGAATTTAAAGTGTTGCTAAGAGACAGACCATTAGTCATCTTAACAAAGTACAATCCATCCTATGTTACTTGTTTGTTCAAGTTTTCATTGCTTTTAAGTAAACAGGAAAGAAACAAAACTGGTAATTCTCCTGCAAAGTGTGTGTAACAAGAGTTGAAAAATAAGAAACAAATAAACTTGTTGAAAATACATGTATTTTTATTTCAAATCAACATTGCATTGTGTTGTTAAGTTTTATCAGCTGTAAATTTACACCCGCATTTTATTCTTCAAAACAAAATAGATGTGGAATAAAATACAATGTTTGCTCAAGTATACAATATACATTCATTTACTTTGATAATGAAGCATTAATGCACATTTTTTGTGGGGGGGGGGGGGGGGGCAATGTTTTAATAAGTTCCAGGGACTTCTGCAGATGATAAATGCACGAAAAAAGTGCATCATCATTATTCTTGCATAAAGTTATCAATCTAATTCGGAACTTCAATGTTTCATTAAAAAGAAACCATTGCTTGCACCATGCTTTCTACATGCTAGTGTGATGTCAATTGAAAGTTATGTTTTGATAATAAAACTACCAGGGCCATCATTGCATTAAACTGTTTTTACATTGGGCCCTGAGTCAGGCATATCAAAAAATGTGCAACAACTGCCTCTTGTTGTCATGTTTCACTTCCTGTTCATGCAAGTTTTCATGTTCAATAATGTTTATCTTTGTGCGTAGTTATATATCTTATTGCAATAATATGTTGTAATGTATGTTCATGTTTGTTTCAACTCTTACCCTGCACACAGCAGCCGATTCTACCCATGCAAGCAGACAGGAAAATTCTACCCATGCAAGCAGACAGGCAGATTCTACCCATGCAAGCAGATGGGCAGATTCTACCCATGCAAGCAGACAGGCAGATTCTACCCATGCAAGCAGACAGGCGGATTCTAATCATGCAAGCAGACAGGCAGATTCTACCCATGCAAGCAGACAGGCAGATTCTACCAATGCAAGCAGATGGGCAGATTCTACCCATGCAAGCAGACGGGCAGATTTTAATCATGCAAGCAGACAGGCAGATTCTACCCATGCAAGCAGACGGGCAGATTCTAACCATGCAAGCAGACGGGCAGATTCTACCCATGCAAGCAGACAGGCAGACTCTACCCATGCAAGCAGACAAGCAGATTCTACCCATGCAAGCAGACAGGAAGATTCTACTCATGCAAGCAGACAGGCAGATTCTACCCATGCAAGCAGACGGGCAGATTCTACCTATGCAAGCAGACGGGCAGATTCTACCCATGCAAGCAGACAGGCAGATTCTACCCATGCAAGCAGATGGGCAGATTCTACCCATGCAAGCAGACAGGAAGATTCTACTCATGCTAGCAGACGGGCAGATTCTACCCATGCAAGCAGACGGGCAGATTTTACCCATGCAAGCAGACTGGCAGATTCTAATCATGCAAGCAGACGGGCATATTCTAATCATGCAAGCAGACTGGCAGATTCTACCTATGCAAGCAGATATGCAGATTCTACCCATGCAAGCAGATGGTCAGATTCTTATCATGCAAGCAGACGGGCAGATTCTAATTATTCAAGCAGAAATGATCAAGGTCAGACAGCACATCCATGATGAACTATTTATTAAAGTACATACCCCAGCTCTTTTGATGACAGACAGAAGAGTTGGTGACATCTGTAGAGCATTTTTTGCCCTTGTTACAGCCACATACAATAAGTTTTCTTCGTCATCCTTTTTGTCTGCGTCTGTAACATAAACATCCACACAATAATTTCATCTCTTTTACAGAGTTATCTTTCTAAATGCATTTCAGATTTATGTCCTTTTTGACAATGACTACTACTGTTTATTAAAAAAAAAAGTTTTTCTTTTCATAGCCTATTTCCTGTTTACATCTGTTAACATAACATTCATGTAAAACATGATTTTCTTTAAAGTTGACAAAGTTATCTTCTTATAGTAAGATGGCTTTCAGGAGTATCTGCCCCTTAAAAACAAATTTCAAATTTGGTAGTGAACAAGTAATTCAAGTTTAAAGTTGTGGTTCTTGTATGTTGCATTTCCTTTCACTGTGGTTGACCATTGATGAAGTTTTATTGGATTACTCTGTAATAAGTCCAGATAGAGTTATGGTTCTTGTGCACTGCACTTCCTCCCATTGTGCTTGACCATTGTATGAAGTTGTATTTAATTCCAGCTGGTGGCTTTCAAGTTATGGTCTGGACAAGAAAAAAGCAATGAAAAAGTAACAAATTACTCTGGATAGAGTTATGGTTCTTGTGCACTGCACCTTTGACCATTATATGAAGTTGTTTTGAATTCTAACAAGTAGTTTTCAAGTTACGCTCCAGACAAGGAAAAGTAACAAAGGGCAATAACTCTGTAATTAGTCAAGATGGAGTTATGGTTCTTGTGCACTGCACTTCCTCTTAATGTCCTTGGCCATTGTATGAAGTTGTTTTGAATTCCAACCATTAGCCATGGACATGGAAAATGTAGCGGACTGGACCAACTGACCGATCAACCTGACAGAGTGACTCCTATATACCCCCCCCCCAAACTTCGTTTCGCGGGTATAAATATTGTTTAAAGAGTCAGATTTACCATTATTTGATGCTCTAGCATTCATCCCCATCCCCATGATAGCTCTATCCATGTCTCTACCCAAAATGTCCTCCAACACATCCTCATCATCTTCCAGCATGTCTGCTGGAACCCCTGCCACCATTATTCCTCGGCTGGGGTCCATAAGAAAGTCATCTGTCACACGGACAGAGCTGAACTCTAGTCCTTTAGATTTGTGGGCCGTACTGAACACAAAATCTATCAAATATTAACATTAAATAATAACAAGAGCTTCAGTAAGACAGTGTGCTCCACTCTTCTAAGTGTTTGATAGTAAAACAAGAGCCTGGATAATGTAGAATTTTCCAGATAGTTCAAAAAGGGCCATAATACAATCAAATTCCATTTTAGAGTCTGTAACAATGACATCTTATTAAACAAATTATCAAAAAATGTGTTTTGTTTCTAAACATTATTTTAAGTAGTTCTGGAGATACAAACGTGCATGCAAAAACTCAACCAAAGTGTGAAGGTGATGCTGAAGCCAGGTTGAGTACAATAGCTCTCCCTATTCTTTGAATAGTCAGGCTAAAAGTAATTTAAGTCATCTTTAGGTGTTAAGTTTATTTGTATAAATTTTCAGCTAGATTCTGATGGAAGCTTTAAAATTAGAAACAGTCATATGACAGAGTCATGACCTTTTGTTATTGTGAAAAATACATATATAAGACGGTTTATCATTGCTTTTTGATAAAGTTGAAAAATATTCAACTTACCAATTATATAAACATAAGACCTTGACCTTGAACCCAGTGACCCCAAACTTAAAGAACCACCGGAGGTTATTTGAAACATACCCGAAACTCACCATTACCCGTGTCACAAGAAGAATACATAGACATGAACCAGTAAGTATTTAAGGGTTTAATATGGGAAAACATTTTTCTGTTAATGACATTATTTGTAAAATGTTTTTTTCTAGTAAAGGGTGTAACAATGCATATTTTTCTTTTCCTTCCAATGGCAAATGAAAGCATTTTTTTCCTGTTAAGTGCAAATACATTATACAGCTGAATTTGCAACATGGCAAAACCTTACAATCTGAACAAGTGCTTTACAAGTTTAAAAACATTTTTCTGATAAGGGTATAATTTATTTTCTTCTGATTATGGTGTGGTGGTGTTGGTAGTTCAGCGTAAGGATCACGGCTGTAAGCCATATTACAGTTCAGCCACTGCATCGTTCCTGGGCAGACTGTCAAACAGTTTACCAGTACTAGCTACTTCACTGTCTCAAGGAACTGATTACTTATGCACATGCCAGAGCAGAGGTAAAGTGCAAATGACTATAGACAGGATTTTATGACCAATCACAACAATTGTTACATGAACTGTCCGGAATCGAACCCTGGTTGCCCAATTCAGCAAACGGAATGGTACAGATCATGGTGTTATTAAAAAAAATACACATTTGGCAATGGGGTAGGGGTATAGGAGGATGTATAAAAAGTTTTACCTGCTCGTCTTTCATCGGAGACACATTTGCTCTCTATCATACGGATATGTGACGGCAGGTTGTGATGGTACGTCTTCACAATCTTAATCTTGCCAAGGAGTTCATTGTCCATAGACTTAGTAGCAAAATTGTCGAGATCTTGAAATTTTCTAAACATTTTGATCAGAGGGTTCTGAATATCATAACCTTCTACAAATAATAAAAGTATATGTACTGATCACTGGAATGAACATAGAATATTTTTTTATTTTATTTAATTCTATACTTGACAGGAAATGATGGGAATAATAATAAGACAATATGAAAGACAACTATGTCCCTTGCACCAGAAGACATAAATGTTGACCTTTTAACCTTTGACTGACCTTGACCTTTCAGGTAAAACCTGGCTGTTGTGCTATGCACACAATAAGGACATGGTTTCACAGTGTTGAATATTTGGTCCAAAGTAATCTAAAATCTTCTTTTTTGCAAAAAAGTTATAGACCAACATATAGCTTTTGACCTGTCAGAAAATTATTTGGATGGTCAATGCCAAATTTGTATCTCTCCATATTTGCCAAGGGATAAATATATGACTGAATGTAAACAAGAGCTGTCTGTAAGACAGTGCACTCAACTATTGATTGTCAGTAAGAAAAGGGGCATAACTCTTTAAAACAAGGGTGCCATAGTCACAAAATACGCCCGTTTACGAAAGCTTTAGATGGAGAAGGGGGCATTATGGATAAGTGTTATCTAGCATGCAAGTTTTTATTCTTGGCACTGTGTTGTTAAATGAACCTTAAAACAAATCAGTAGGGAAGATATGCACAGGATGTGTGACCTTGACCTTGGACGCAGGGACCTGAATTTTATGCACGGCACTCAGCCTCACAATGATGAACATTTGTGCCAAATTATATTGTAATCCCTCTATGCATGTAGAAGTTTTGCTCAAGACAAGCGTTTTTCTATGAGCTCTAACTGTGACCTTCACCTTTGACCTTAAGAGACTTGGTTCATGTGCAGGGCACTACGTCTCATGGTGGTGAACAATTCTATAAAGTAACATTAAAATTCCTCCATGCATGTAGAAAATATGGTCCGGACAACATCTGGATATTTAATCATCTCCAGTGACCTTGACCTTGCAAATATTAACCTAAACTAAATGTGTCACACCTGTAGTCATGATAGTTACCATTTGTGCTTCATCCATCAATAAATGATGACTAAATGGTCCCTATACACATCTTCAAATTTTTATCTGAACTTTGACCTCTATGTGTAACCTTGACTTTGGTCGCAGGGATCTGAATTTTGCGTGCGACACTCAGCCTCACAATGGTGAACATTTGTGCCAAGTTATATTGAAATCCCCCTATGAATGTAGAAGTTTCGCTTCGGACAAGCGTTTTTCAATGAGCTCTAAGTGTGACCTTGACCTTTGACCTTGAGACCTGGATCATGCATGGAGCAATACATATCATGGTGGTGAACATTTCCATAAAGTATAATAAAAATTCTTCCATACATGTAGGAGATATGCTCCAGACAAAATCTGGATATTTCACCTTCTTTAGTGACCTTGACCTTGCATATATTGACCTAAAGTACATGTGTCACAGCCGTAGTCATGATAATGACCATTTGTGTTACAATCCCTCAATAAATGATGATTAAATCGTCCCTATACACATCTTCATATTTTTATCTAAACTTTGACCTCTATGTGTGACCTTGACCTTGGCTGCAGGGACCTGAATTTTGTGCGAGACACTCCGCCTTACAATGGTGAACATTTGTGCCAAGTTATATTGAAATCCCCCTATGCATGTGGAAGTTTTGCTCCGGACAAGCGTTTTTCAATGAGCTCTAAGTGTGACCTTGACCTTTGACCTAGAGACCTAGTTCATGTGCGTGACATGGCTTCTTATAATGGTGAACATTTCTATGAAATTTCATTAAAATCCCTCCATGCGTGTAGGAGATATGCTCTGGACAAAATCTGGATATTTCATCATCTTTAGTGACCTTGACCTTGTATATATTGACCTAAATTATATGTATCACAGCCATAGTCTTGATAATGACCAGTTGTGTTACAATCCCCCAATAAATGATGACTAAATGGTCCATATACACATCTTCATAGTTTTATCTGAACTTTGACCTCTATGTGTGACCTTGACCTTAGCCGCAAGGACCTGAATTTTGAGCGTGACACTCCGCCTCACAATGGTGAACATTTGTGCCAAGTAATATTGAAATCCCTCTATACATGTGGAAGTTCTGCTCCAGACAAGCATTTTTCAATGACCTCTAAGTGTGACCTTGACCTTTGACCTAGAGACCTGGTTCATGTGCGCGACACTGCTCCTCATAGTGGTGAACATTTCTATGAAGTTTCATTAAAATCCCTCCATACATGTAGGAGATATGCTCCGGACAAAATTGGACGCCGCCCGCCCATACGCCCGCCCGCCAGGGGCGTTCCCATAATACGTCCCGTTTTTCAAACGGGCGTATAAAAAGTAACTCGTATATAAGCCCATCAAATTAGATAATCATAGTGTACAAGTGTGTTTAGTTTCAACCCATTTCCTTCAGCAGTTTTGGAGATAACAACTTGCACACAAAAACAAAACCTATAACCAAAATGTGATGTTGACACCTGGGTGAATACAATAGCTAACATATATATATACATGTACTATATAATACCTTTATGCCTTTCATTTTCTGACAGTGTTAAAGCATACATTTCCATCAGCATTTTAAACCCGAAATTTTGTGTGCCCTGGAAAAAAATGGAGATTATTCATTTAGCATATTATACCCCGGTCACATATTCACGGAATACGCCCACGGAAGAGCCACGGATTAATTCCGGCATCGTCCGTAGCTACCCATACTGGTCAGTAGCTCTCCGTATTGTAACCGTAATCAATCGTAGTAGTCCTTGTATATCCGTAGCGATCCTTGACAATTTTTGAACATGCACAAAAATTTGCTACGGAAAAATCAACCGTAGCATATCCCTACTAGTCCGTATTAATCCGTACTGATACGTACTGGTCCGTACCAAAACCGTAATACTCCGTACTGATTCGTAGTCCACCAACTTGTCAAGGATTTCCACGGTTTGGTACGGAGAACTACGTATTTGTACTGTTACCCTACGTATAAGCCACGGTTTTGATACGGATTAATACGGCATTGTTACGGAAAGCCACGATCGTAATACGTTGTACTACGGAGAGGCAAGGATAAGCACGGTCTTATACGGTTTATTGCGTTGCAACACGAAACGGTACGGAATGGTACGGCCCACCACTGATTAGTACGAATGAATTAAGTATTATGTACTTTTTCAAAGGTATAAATACTACATTCTTGTTAAAAATAGACATATATATTTGCAGGAACATTTAATAAATGGTAATTGCCATTTACTGGCTGCAACTTTATATTGAAATGGCTCAGAATGCGGAGGCACTGGTCGATCTTCTTGATGACATGCAAAGAAGTAAATTCATATTAATATCCTACTACAATTCATAAGAAATAGAATAACATTTAATGTTACATATTTTACAAACATTAGATCGTGAAATTGGAGTAAATATGCACATAAAACGAAGTGTCTCATAAGCCTTGGACACTGGCCCTTGATGATAATAAGATTAATTAACAAGCTTTTTACATATTTTTAAAACATAAACATCACGATAATTAATGTAATTGTAAGATGAACAGCAAATCTTAAAATTTAAAGAGAAGCAGTATTGATCAACATTTTTCATTAATGATTACTAGTCCATATCTAAGACAGACGAGATGGTGGACTAGAGATGGGCTTTTACGAAGACCGCTTCATATTTAGTATGAGGCTCTCATGGCCGAACTTGTTGAGGATCCGGCGTCCTACAAGAAATTCACTTTAATTGGACCTGATGTGTCTCGGGGTTCGGACGCGATTAGGCTGAATCCTCTCCGCCAAAATCATTGAACGCTGCAATTCGTTTTCTAGGTGTTCTTTTCTTTTGAGGCATTTTGAAAGTGAGCAAGCAAGAGGTTGTGGACGGATGTATTAGGTCCGTATAGATACGTGGCAATTCGTTCTTCTCCGTATCAATACGTTCTTCTCCGTATCAGACCGTACTTATTCGTACTAACCCGTGCTTATACCGTAGCAGACCGTAGTGTATCCCTAGTGCGTCCGTCCTGATTCGTGTCGCTCCGTATCAAACCGTGTCGGTCCGTAACAATCTGTGTCTCTCCGGGGGCTTTTGGTGGTAAATCCGTCGGACTCCGTACTCATACCGTTGTGTGTCCGTACTGGAACCGTAGCGGACTACACATTTCCGTAGTAATCCGTGAACGATTAGACCGTAGCTCTTCCGTGGCATTATCCGTGAATATGTGACCGGGGCATTAGTTTATTCAAAACATTTGGAAAACTCTTCTATCAATGTTAATCCTCTTTTGATGTTTGGTTCTGCATGTGTTATTTCAAAAGAGGAATTTTTTTTCCTTGTAGAAAATGTTGTGTCTGCCCCTTAAACCATTTAAATGCTGATGCTAATTATTACAGAAAATCTTGGCCTCCTGATCTGACTTGGTTCTTTTGGCTGATTTTTTAAGGTTTGATATCCTTATTTGTTTAAACTAATAATGAAAATTTAATCCTTAACCTGCTGCAACTTGAAGTGATTAGCCTTTGCCACCAGTATAGAGCCAAGCATCCTTGCAGTCTGACCAGGCCCTATATCATTTTTATCATTTATCATTTTAATCATTTTTATATCACTTTTTATAAGGATATAAACCTATTTGTTATAAAATATTTCTATAGAATTTATATATGATAGAATTAAATTGTTTCCATAATCTTATGGCTGATTCCAAGAAGAGTTGAAACGTACAATGTCCCTGTTACTTAACATATGGCCCTATATAAATGGCTTTTTGCACACCAGCATATAACCCGAGCTATTAGTCAAAGGTTATATTGCAAACTTTTATATACAACCATAAAAACCAATCAAGAAGCTTTATAATTAATTTATAATAATATAGCAAACTTTCTTCTTTTTTCATGGATTTACTTCATAAAAATTGACAGTTACCATGTCGTTACCTTAGTACAGTAACAGGATAAGTCCTTCAAACTTTAATAGTAGTTAGTTAGTTATTGCAGTAAAATGACAATGTAAATATAGTATACTAAAGCATTATGATTATCCAATGAAATTATTCCACACATGCAGTATTATAAAGCTTTATATGTGCGCACAATATGTCTTCCTGGTCACATGCTTTAATGCATGTGACTTTTAAATATAAGCTCCCAATCCCAACTTATTTCATAACCTGTTAGGAAAAATAAATTCTTGTTTATTACAACAAAATCATCTCATTGTCACCACAATTTTCAACCAATTACTTGCCTGAATATATCAAATCTATATATATAAACATGGTAATGAAAATTTACAACCGAAGACATTAAACCTTTCCATTCCTATACACAAAAAAGAAAAACATAAATATACATGCTTATATAATACTGTAGAACACGTCAAAATTTCATGTGTGATGTAATTTTTTTTTATCAAAAAGTGAATTTTCCTTTATACAAATATTTCATGAATTGGCATTATTTTCACATTTGAGCTGTGTCACGACAAAACCAACATAGTGGGTTTGCGACAAGCATGGATCCAGACCAGCCTTTGCATCCGCGCAGTCTGATCAGGATCCATGCTGGTCGCTTACAAACACTATTACAAGTAGAGAAACTGATAGCGAACAGCATGGATCCTGATCAGACTGTGCGGATGCGCAGGTTGGTCTGGATCCATGCTGGTCGTAAACGCATTACGTTGGTTTTGTCGTGACGCGGCTCATTTAAAGCTGTAAGTGTTGCAATATGAAATGAGATGCATGTATTTGCAAGTTTGGGATGACATATTTATTCAAGATAACTGTGAATTTAGTTTTTATAAGCGAACAGCATGGTGTTTGTAAACGAACAGCATGGATCCTGATCAGACTACGTGGATGCGCAGGCTGGTCTGGATCTATGCTGGTTGCAAACCCATTATGTTGGTTTTGTCGTGACGCGGCTCATTTTTAAGGACCGTCCCTACCTTTAAATTCTTTTCAATATAAAAAATATATGAGTCATACCCCAACAAAGGCTACTTTGCACTGCTGATCTGAATAGCAACATTTCTTCACTGCCTCACTGAATACTGTAAAGTTACATCTACTAATGATAGCAAGCTGTCCAACTTTCTCTCCATTCACACAACCTGTTGATGAACAATATGACATCAGATTAATTTTCTATATATATAAATAGTTCCTGATCTTTTACAATATTTACCTCCCTTCCTCTCCATTAAGATATAGCTCTGTGCCCCATGTTTTTCATTGAGTGACACGATATCACATGACATATGAGAAGAACAAGAAAGTCTTAGCTTAGAAACTTGACAGACTCCTTACAAATATATTCCTACATGTAAATCACCATTCTAGACTAACTACATGTAATAGCACTGGTGAAATACCTAAATATTTATTCACTATTATATCTAAACCCACAAGAAAAATACTTGCTACAAATGATAGCTTTTCAATTCCTATTGGTAAAACTATTCAACATTTTTCAAAGTCGAAAAAAAAAAATTATATTAAAAATTATATACATAACGTTATGTTCTAAAATAAAATTTACTTTTATTAGGTTTATAACTGAAGTCAGTACACATTTGAACTAAATCAAAATGCATTCTTTTTTTACAAAAAAAAAAAAAATCAAAATGAAATACAGGTAAAGAATGTCAATGGAAAGTTCTTGAAAAATTTCATAATTAATATGATAACATACTCTTTTTGCCACTCCCAACTAAAGTCTTCTTCTTTTCTTTCTTAAGTACTTCTAGACAGGACATGGCCACCTGTGCAATCTCTGGCCCAAATCTGAAAGACTAAAATGAAACAAGAATTGTTGGTACCATATGACAATATGCAAAATTTGATGTCTACGATTTCAAAAAGTTTTTTTTTCTTTTATAAAATAAAATGAAATACAAATGTATATTCAGTCATGGTACTTACATTTACAAAATAAATTAAAGTAAACAAATATTGAAACTATTGAGGAAACAAAGTCATCACGGGCAAGTTCTACAACTTATACTATACACTAAAATAAAAAAAAAACTTTAAAAATTTGAACCTGTGTGAGATAGAAAATGGTGTCGGCATTAATCCGGTTCATAGCATTAACGGCACCGCGGAATGAGTAGATCTGCTGGTGCGGGTCTCCAACCAGGATCTTGCCCTGTCTCTGACGCAGTAAAATATCTGTTATAGCTGAAATAAACAAGAACCGGTTGAACCGGGTGATGCTCCCCGAGAAGGTTCTGGACACAGGAAAGTATAAAAACAAGAGGGCCATGATGGCCCTAGATCGCTCACCTGAATTATCAAACTCATCCAAACAATTACCTAGACAAGCATTCTGACCAAGTCTCATGACAGGTGAGTCAAAAATGTGACCACTACAGTGTTAAGCAAGGATTATCCATATTTGAGCAGTGCGACCTAGTTTTTTTTACCCAGGTTGGACACATATTCAAACTTGACACCTAGAAATCATCAAAACAAAACTTTCAGACCAATTTCCAGGATACTTGGATCAAAACAGTAGCAACTAGAGTGTTAACAAGATTTTTTCTATTTTTAGCTCCGGTGACCTAGTTTCACATGCGATTTCGAACTCATCCAAGCAATTACCTAGACAAGCATTCTGACCAAGTTTGATGATAATGGAGTCGAAAATGTGACCACTAGAATGTTAACAAGGTTTTTCCATATTTGGGCGGTGTGACCTAGTTTTTCATCCAAGATGACCCATGTTCGATCTTGACTTAGAAATCATCAAAACAAACTTTCAGACCAATTAACAGAATATTTGGATCACAACAGTGAGCCACTAGAGTGTTAACAATATTTTTCTATTTTTAGCTCCTGTGACCTAGTTTTTTCATCCGAGATGTCCCATGTTCGATTTATTCCCAGCAATGACCTAGACAAGTTTCCTGACCAAGTTTGATGACAATTGAGTCAAAATTGTGACCACTAGAGTGTTAACAAGGTTTTTCTATTTTTAGCTCCTGTGACCTAGTTTTTCATCCGAGATGACCCATGTTCGAACTCATCCGAGTTATTACCTAGACAAGCATCTTGATCAAGTTTGATGATGATTGATGCAAAAATGTGACCGCTAAAGTGTTAACAAGGTTTTCTATTTTTAGCTCCGGTGACCTACTTTTTCATCCGAGATGACCCATGTTCGAACTCATCCAAGCTATCAACTAGATAAGCATCCTGACCAAGTTTGATGATGATTGATGCAAAAATGTGACCGCTAGAGTGTTAACAAGGTTTTTCTATTTATAGCTCCGGTGACCTAGTTTTTCATCCGAGATGACCCATATTCAACTCTCATCCGAGCTATTATCTAAACAAGCATCCTGACAAAGTTTGATGATGATTGGGTCAAAAATGTGACCACTAGAGTGGTCACAAGGTTTTTTCTATTTTTAGCTCCTGTGACCTAGTTTTTCATCAGAGATGACCCATGTTCGAACTCATCCAAGCAATTGAGTAGACAAGCATTCTGACCAAGTTTGATGATGATTGGTTCAAAAATGTGACCACTAGAGTGTTCACAAGGTTTTTCTATTTATAGCTCCTGTGACCTACTTTTTCATCCGAGATGACCCATGTTCAAACTCATCCGAGCTATCACCTAGACAAACATCCTGACCAAGTTTGATGAAGATTGGGTCAAAAATGTGACCTCTAGAGTGTTCACAAGGTTTTTCTATTTTTAGCTCTTGTGACCTAGTTTTTTCATCTGAGATGACCCATGTTCGAACTCATCCGAGCTTTCAACTAGATAAGCATCCTGACCAAGTTTGATGATGATTGAGGCAAAAATGCGACCGCTAGAGTGTTCACAAGCAATTGTGGACGGCCGGACGGACGACGGACGACGGACATTCATCGATCCTAAAAGCTCACCCTGAGCAAGCTCAGGTGAGCTAAAAATGAACAAAGGGCAAAGACTCCAAAGTTAGGCAAAGCGGAGTTATATTTTTTTGCACTGCACTTCTATTCAATGAGATCTATCTATCTATAAAGTTTCCTGATGATATCAGAGTTATGTCCCGGGTAAAAGTCAAAGTGTAAAAATGAACAAATGGCAATAACTCCAAAATTAGACCAGGCTTTGTTTAGGTTCTTTAAGCATTGCAGTTCTATCCAATTATATCTAGCTACCTACAAAGTTTCATGTTGATATCTCTAATAGTTTTAAAGTAATGTCCAGGACAAAAGTCAAAAAGTAAAAATAAACAAAGGGCAATTTCTTCAAAATAAGGCAAGGCAGAGTAATGATTCTTAAGCACTGCAATTCCACCCAATGAGACCTATCTATCTACAAAGTTTCATGTTGATATCTCTTATAATTTTAGAGTAATGTCCCAGACAAAGTTCAAAGTGTCAAAATGAACAAAGGGCAATAATTCCAAAAGTAGGCAAGACAGTGTTACAGTTCTTGTACACTGCAAATTTACTCAATGAGATCTATCTACCTACAGTTTCATGTTGATATCTCTTATATATTAAGAGTTATGTCCCGGACAAAGTTTAAAGTGTAAAAATAAACAAAGGGGGATAATTCAAAAATAAGGCAAGGCAGAGTTAAGGTTCTTGTTCACTGCACACCTACTCAATGAGATCTATCTACCTACAAAGTTTTATGTTGATACCTCTTATACTTTTAGAGTTATATCCCGGACAAAGTTCAAAGTGTAAAATAAACAAAGGGGGATAATTCAAAAATTAGACAAGGCAGAGTTACGGTTCTTGTGCACTGCACACCTACTCAATGAGATCTATCTACCTACAAAGTTTCATGTTGATGCCTCTTATACTTTTAGAGTTATGTCCCGGACATAGTTCAAAGTGTAAAATAATCAAAGGAGAATAATTCAAAAATTAGGCAAGGCAGAGTTACGGTTCTTGTGCACTGCACACCTTCTCAATGAGATCTATTTACCTCCAAAGTTTCATGTTGATACCTCTTATACTTTTAGAGTTATGCCCAGGACAAATTTCAAAGTGTAAAATAAACAAAGGGGGATAATTCAAAAATTAGGCAAGGCAGAGTTACGGTTCTTGTTCACTGCACACCTACTCAATGAGATCTATCTACCTACAAAGTTTCATGTTGATACCTCTTATACTTTTAGAGTTATGTCCCGGACAAAGTTCAAAGAGTAAAATAAACAAAGGGGGATAATTCACAAATTAGGCAAGGCAGAGTTACGGTTCTTGTGCACTGCACACTTACTCAATGAGATCTATCTACCTACAAAGTTTCATGTTGATACCTCTTATACATTTAGAGTTATGTCCCGGACAAATTTCAAAGTGTAAAATAAACAAAGGGGGGTAATTAAAAAATTAGGCAAGGCAGAGTTACGATTCTTGTGCACTGCACACCTACTCAATGAGATCTATCTACCTACAAAGTTTCATGTTGATACCTCTTATACTTTTAGAGTTATGTCCCAGACAAAGTTCAAAGTGTAAAATAAACAAAGGGGGATAATTCAAAAATAAGGCAAGGCAGAGTTACGGTTCTTGTGCACTGCACACCTACTCAATGAGATCTATCTACCTACAAAGTTTCATGTTGATACCTCTTGTTGTTTCAAAGTTATGTCCCGGACAAGAAAAGGGGACGGACGGACGGACGGACGGACGGACGTACCAAAATTTGATGTTTATGAGGCAAATGAGCTCATAAACACCACCTGGACCAACGTCCATAAGCAAAATAAGCTCATAAAAACAAAAAAAAACTCTTAATTTTAAATTTTATGAGTTTATGTTCTTTATTTAACTACGGAATGAAGCTCATAATAATCAAATGTTGGCTCGGACGGACGGAAAGACGGATGGACGGACGGACAAGGCGGCGACTATATGCTCCCCCGAAATTTTTTCGGGGAGCATAAAAAGGAGCAACATATGCAGTGTTAACACTTCTCTGTTTAAAATCTTAAGTTAAAAAGGGACATAACTCCTTATGCCCTTTATCTCTACAACTGAATCTTGTCATAATAAGTAAGTATTCAAATTTGATGTTGATTAAAGATGTTTGAATAATGGGCTATATTAAAATTTTTGCATGACAACAATGACGTTGACAAAATTGTCACAATGATCAAAATTGCTCAACTTTTTCTTTAAAGCAGACAAAAAAAATAATTCTATCTAATTAAGGTGAAGACTGTTATCAATTCAATTGTAGTTCTGTGCCAATAATAAGGCCTTTGATTAAAGTATTTCAAAGTGATATTCAATTCAATCCAAATGTTTATCACACATGTACATGAAGTCCATGTTGCAAGAATAGTAATCAATTCATTGCAACATCACATATGTTCTCAGATAAGATATTCATACACCTATAGCCTCACAAATGAATGTTTATAATGTACATTGCACACTAAATACAGAAAAATCATTATCCAAACAAGCTAACATTTCATAAAACAATTTGATTCAAACATAAAATGTATATACTGTAAGAATCTTATATCAATTGCAAGGTACAGATAGTGTATTTAGCTTATAACTGTTTATGGCAGTAATGAGGCTCTGTTGAGTTTCTGCTAGACAGTTGCCCCAGAGCTAGATATTCCCTTTTGTGACGACAGTCGACGTTTGATTCTTTGTTTTAAATATTTCGTATTAATCATATTTGGGAAAGAAATTTTCAAAATTAATATTTTCATGATTAAGCACTGTTTTTGTTATAATATCAACTTTAGAACAGCACCATTAGCAGGCAATAATATATAAAAGGCATGCTGGAATGATTTAAATCAAGTGACTTCGGGCATTAGTCATATTTTTTCTAGCACCGGCGTAAACAATAGTACATCCTGTCTGATATGCAAGAAATATCATTCACACTTGGATAAATTCAACAAACCTGGTGTGAGATCCTGGGCTTCATCTATTAGTAAACAGTCATACCCTTTCAGTACTGGTTGAGATAACTGGTACAGTTTCAAATAGCCGTCATGTGTCATACCAATTTTCTTATCATTCGGGTCTTGCATTTTCTGCCAAATGAACAAGGCATCCCTCACATATAACTGAAATAAAGAAAGAAAATAGACATGTTAAGAAACAAAACAATCTTTCACCCCTCATAAAGAGTTTTTTATTTAAATTTGATGTTAAAGGTTAATTACATTTCATAAGGTCAAGGTCAAATACAAGATATCAATATGAGCCACTCATAAAGAGTTATATTGTGTGTATATACTCTGGAGACATAAAAAAACAACATTGTCCTGTATGTCATAAAGCTAAATTCATACTATTTACTTTATACATATTATTTGAAGTTTCTCTTTTTTTTTCATATAAATCACATATCAATTATAATAATAATATAATAATCTATGCCGTAAGTTCATAGTGTGCACTGTTTGCTATTCAGTCACTACATATCACCAAATTTTTCTCTAAAATGATGTATGCTTTTGTCCAGATTTTAAGATGGAAAAGAGCATTTGAAATATTTCAATTTTGCCGGGTTAAGAGTTAAAATATGCTTTTTACTTTTCCAAAGACTTATCTGTACAAACTGGTTTGACCCTATATTATCAGATTAGTCTTTTCTAATGGTATTTCAAAATAACTCATTTTACAAAACTGATCAAATTAACAATAATGAATTCAATTAATAGTAAATTAAGACTTTGAACATATTTACCCTTTTTGTAGGTAGATCTATGGTCTCCTTAAAACCTGTTTTCTCGTTAAATCGAGTATCTGGGACATGATGAATATCTATAGTAGCATCGTCCGATGCTAGGAAGTTTTCAATGGTTGTCATGGTGAATTTGGCCTGCAGAAACAGGTTCTCTCCCTTCCTGGCTTGTAGTGTTTGTGTTAGTGTATAAACTTTTAGCTGGAAAAGTTTGTGCCGATACCTATGTGAATAAACATTTGAATAATGTAGCTGGAAAAGTTTGTGCCGATACCTGTATCAATAAACATTTGAATAATGTAGCTGAAAAAGTTTGTGCCGATACCTGTATCAATAAACATTTGAATAATGTAGCTGGAAAAGTTTGTGCCGATACCTGTATCAATAAACATTTGATTAATGTAGCTGAAAAAGTTTGTGCCGATACCTGTATCAATAAACATTTGAATAATGTAGCTGGAAAAGTTTGTGCCGATATCTATGTGAATACAAATTTTTGAATGTGGCTAGAAATGTTTGTGCCAATATCTATGTGAATAAGCATTTGAATAACGTAGCTGGAAAAGTTTGTGCCGATACCTATGTGAATAAACATTTAAATAATGTAGTGCATCAGGTAATATAGCAAAGACAGCATGATGCCTTTCAACCTTGGATTTAGAAAATCTGATTTTACAGTCCTGATATCCCTAAATGGATCATTTCCCATGACAATTCAGGTAAATTTCCACTTTTGGTCTGTTTGGATTTTTTACCACATGTTTGGTCATATTTTGGCTGTCAATCCACATAACAAACTTTGCTTGAAAACTGACAAGTAATTGCCTCCACAAGTGACCAACTACTTATCCTGATTTCAAAATCAGCAGTGAGACCATTAGACTGAATTTACAAGATCAAATGTCACAGAGAAATTCTGCCTCACCTGTTTATGGAACCCAGGACCTGAGGATTACAAATTCATTGTTTTATTGCAGGAGAAAGACCTCAAGTGTCCCCACATTCATTATTTTCATACACATGTCAGCACCAAAGTAGAACTACAGACCTTAAGTAAACTTGATTTCTTACATTTCATATTATCCCTTGAGAGATTACAATTTATTTCATCAAAGGACATTAATGTCATAATGAAGTATGCAACAAACATTTGTACTTCCTTCGATATAACTTGACTATGTGAATAACTGATCTTACAAAATACATATATTGTACTTTCTCTTCCAGCAAAACATCTGAGAAGAAAAGGAGTTAAAAAGTTTAAAATTTCTTAAGAACAGATAATGCTTTGCAGGTGTTTCTATTTTGACCATAAGTTATAAGTTATAACCATGACTTTTATGGTTATGACAATAATCATATTAAAATTATTATCAAAGTGGATAAAAATAGAAATATTTCAAAGCACAAACCTTCTGCCAAAGCTCTGGAAAGCGAGAGAATGTCCAGTCCTGCATTCAACATTTCTAGGGAACTTTGTTTTTGCATATTCACAGACTGACCTAAAAGACACAAAGAAAACAAAATCTGTCAACTTTTAGCAATATCATAAAATTTTTAACTTGGTTTTAACATTTCTTATTTCAAGTTGCTGTTTTTTTGCTGTTTTTTTGTTGTTTTTTTTTTCAAAAAGAATTTTAAGATTTCACCCTTCTTTACCTTATTAATAGTAAACCTTTCGTGTGACCCATATGTGCCTGATCTCCATAGTAAATCTTTCGTGTGATCCATATAAGGCTGATCACCATAGAATACCTTTCATGTGATCCATATGAGGGTGATTTCAAAAAAACTTACTTGTTATAGACTACAAGAAGAAATTTTTTGTCAGGTCTAAGTTGTGTGTACCTCACTAAAGTTGTTGTTTTCCCTGTTCCTGAAATACAATATTTTCCCCCTTCTTAATTTCATATATTAATTGGTAACCTCAAAAGAAGCTAATGTCAGATTCCAGATAAATGATGTTTTATACAATTTAATTTTGTGCAATTTTTATCAACATTAATGGCATCTTATAGACAAAAAATTTGAAAATGGACAGTTCCAAAAATTGAAACTGAACAAGTTCATTTAACAAAAACAGCAGTTATTGGGTTTATTACTGATGCTAATTTCTTTAAATATTTCCCTTTTGCTGATTCATGGTATATGCATTGGAAACAGCTGACAATAACTTGAGTATTAAATTACAAAACTAAACACTTACCTTCTTACCTTTAAATAAAATACTGAATGAAATATTAGGACTGAAGTAAAACAAAATAAGCCATGCCTAGCTGAATTTGGAAAATAATAAAATCATTGATAAAAATATTATCACTTTATTAATCAATTAATTATTTAACCTGCAAATGCTACAATTTTGATGATTTCGTATTTGCCTGCAGGGTATTTTACAATTCGCAACTGCTCATGTGTAAGTCTGACACTGTCTGTTCCGGAGCTGAAAGTAAAATAATAGGCATCTTAAAACAACTTTCTGGCAAATTCTTTATTCTGTGATTTATAAACTTTTTTTGAATGCTTGTGGCCAAAAAGATATGCCCATGCCACTAGTACAGAACCTGGCTAGTGTACACATCTGTGTAGTCTTAGCATGTTCTACATGGATGACGGCTCAATGTTATCATTTTGAAATCAAAATCCCTCATATTATCACTTTTAAGTTCAACACAGGACAACTTCTGACTTAACTTCACAAACTGAGCATAGTAAGGGCAATATCATATTAACTATGTCAAGCTTTAATGGCAAGAGTTATTTCCCCTTTAACAACAAAAAATATGTTACAGAGAGAGTAATAGGTAAAATAAACAAATTCTTACGTTGATTTAAATTTTTTTCTTACTAATAGATTTATTATTTAACTAAAGGGCTGATTTAGGAATTCAGAGTCTGAGCACTCAAAAATGTCTGGTTTTCAGGTATACACAGAACTGCATTCAATATGCATGCATACACTCATCTACATTTAAACAAAAGAATTGTTACCTGTATTTAACCAAAGACTGTTGACCTCCCTTGCTCTCAGACATTATGGAATGAAGATCAGCGCAACTTGATGACGAGGCATTCTCAAACAAGTATATAGCATAGAATAATCTGTAATGCATTCTGAAAAATATGTTTAAGTATTTAGCCATACCTAAAATTTATTTAGTACTCTACAACCTTAACATTAAAATGCAGGTAAAACCCCATGTAAAGCAGAATTATTGTCTACAATTATGAAAAATGCAGCGGGCACTCAATTTTTGTTTTGATCTGATTTGGATTTGATAATTCTAATAATGATAAGAGGAAATTTTAAGGTAAATATAAATAGAATTTAGAGTATAAACAAGAAATAAAAAAATACTTTTATTTACATATATAATGGTCTGAGATCAATGAGTAGAACAGTGTACTTCATAAGATGGTCAAATCTACACAACAGACCGACTTACTGAATGTTGCTTAGGGGCTATTTCAGTCAAACAAAATAAAAACATATATTCCTAAGCATAACAACATGTTTTTAATTAAACATTGTTTACTTCCTTACCACAGTAAATTAGATAAGATAAGAATAGAACCCATACTTTTGTTTTTCTTTCATATTTTGATTTTGCTTTTAGATGTTTACTTAGTCAGCATGAAGTTTAAATTGCTGATTAAGTACAAACAAGTTATGAAATTGTCAAGATCATATCTAGTTTGAGAAATGGTTAGTAACAGAAGGATGGTCTGTTTATTTTGCTATGTGACATTGGTGATAATAGCATGTTAGTATCATAGGAAGCTGTTTAGTTAGTACTTAGTTTTAACATGATTTATAAAAGCACAATATTGCACTGAAAGCTTGTATTGGCCTATCTGTAAGTGCTTGATTATCTGTTTGTATCTCAGTGCACTAATAAGGGGCTTTATAAATCAATGCACTGCTTATAGGCAGGCTTTTCATTTTTATCTGAGGCCAACATGAACAGTCGATTTGGCCAATGGTCAAGGAAGATATTTCAATGTACAGGCTGAAAATACAACTGATTCTAACAGCATTTCAACCAATGATATAGATCACCAATCTATTAATAATGAAAACCCTGCATATACTTAATGAATCAATGCACTAATTCAGGATTTAGTAAAACAATGCACTAATAAGAGGATTAATTTCCAATCATATAATGTTTAAGAAATAAAGCTTAATCAAACAAATTTTCTGGACTATTTTCTTCAATATCTAACAGTAACTCAAAAAATACAAACCCATTCCAGACATCACAGGGTTTTGCCAATTTAAAAGCAAACAAGAACGTTGCAATGCAATACAGGCATTCAATGATTTCCTTGGACGTACACTGAGACGAACTGACGGAAAGACATTGTATAATCTCTTGTATATCATACACATTGTGAGCCACCAGAACTAGTATGGTTATCACAGACCATGGATTTGGTTCCTGAAGTAAATTGTAAATTCTATTTATATACATTTCTTAGTATGTGACTTGTCATATATAAAATATAATAATATCCAATACTAACAGTAGGTAGAATAAAAATATTTATCCTATTTCTAAAACATATTAATGTACCTTATTCTTTTTGACAGTGTTTTTTTTTTCTATTTTGAGACAGGGCCACTATATGTCTAATACACTAATTGATTCCTAATGAAAGAAATGACCTATTTCTCCATAAATGGAGTCAAAAATTATCTAGTTACTTTACAAATTTCTTTGCTGCATCTTATTTGCTTTTTCCCACATTTATCTAACTTTATTATCTTTTTTTACTCATAAAGGTACAAGACACACTCTGGAGCATCAACTTTCATGTACTTGGAATTTTGGAACTCTTCATTAATAGGCAGGATAGCCCAATTCATAGAGAACAGATTCCCAAGGTCCTGCATTTGAGTCCAGGTCAGGCTTCACATTTTCTCACCCAGTGACAATTACAGAAATTCCCTATTTCTTGACCAGTTCCCCAAACAAAAAAACTGTGCATGACTTTTTTGTCTGAACATGCATGATACAATAATCATATACCACAAGTTAAAAACATAATGTCATAAACATCAGTGAAATAATGTTAAGAAAGTGTGTAGAGACTGGAATCTTGTTTTTTGTTGAAATACAATAACATAATAAATTGTTACTTGTAAGTCTGCAAAAAAAGTAAGGAGGAATAAGAAATAATTTACTTCATGAGATTTGCAGTCCTGCAATCTTTCATCTATGAGATCTTTGGCCCAACAGTACTTCTTATGCTTCTGAAGGCACTGTAACATATTCCCAGCTGTGATTGGCTTAAAAGTTTTCATATACCTGGAATACATACAGTGTAGCATATGGCAAAGAGTGATTTTCACCTGTCTTAAACATTTGCATGTTATCTTCTATGGTTGCATTTCAATAGCAGAAAACTTTTCATAGCTAATTTTGTCATAAACTGTATCTTGCTGACGGTCCACCTAACAAGTTATTACAGATTTCTCTGCATGTCAACAACAACTATTTTTTGTAATCCCTGATTACTGATTGTGCAGTGAGACACTAATCACTTCCATTTTCTCAATGTCAGAGTTCAAGGACCTAACTAGCAACAATTGGATTACAAATCTGATGATCTCTATTTGCTAAATTGAGCTAAGCCAGATGGCTATTCTTGAAACTAATACATATTGAATATTATAACTAACATAAAATGGTATCCAGTTAACTGTGTACCTTAAGGGTTAAAATGTTACCTGATTAAAGACAACAAATACATAGGAGGATGCTTCATCTCATGCTTATTCATTGTACTCTGAATAAATTCTTTGCTGGCTTCATCTTCAGACTTCAATTTATGATACAACTTCTTCCATGGTACAAACTATGAATATACAAGCAGAAAATATTTGATCTTGTTAAAATGGGTTCAACCTTATAACATCAGAATTATAAGTTGAATATCAAATCCTTATAACTGAGAATCACATAACTAACAGAATTGTATACAAAATAATGAATAATTAACTTGCAAACATTTACAATCATTTAAAAAAAACTGTAAATTATACATAAAAAACATATACAGAATTATAATAAAAAAAAATACCTTTTTATCTGAAATAATATCATTCCATTGCAGACACACCCTGTTACTGTTCAAGCACAAGTCTAGTAAGGGTAGTTGACAAAAAATATTTTCAAGAACTTCAGGAGGAAGTCTCTCAAAGTAATTTATCTTTTCTTCTTTAGGATATGATCCTGTCCCAAGAAGTCCATATGTATCAGACTCAGTTTTCTTTCTTTTGCTTTCAGAAATACTATTCTTACTGTCTACAGAAGAACTATCATCCATATCTGAATCAAATGCAGTGTTAATGTCAAAACTATCACTTTCAAAATATTTCGCACCTTCACTTTTAGATGCATTTAAAAATGGAGAGCTGACTGGTTTAGATTTCTTGCCTTTAGTTTTAAGCTTTGGATCAAAGTCTTTAGCTGCTTGAAACAACTGTTTGATCACAGGATTTTCAGACATGTTTGATTTCTGGCTACTAAACTCCTGTGATGAGCAGGGACTGTCATCACTGATATATATGCATGACATGCTATCTTTTGGTGAGAGTTTCTTAATTGGCGAGTACATCACAGTCCTTGAAGGAGATTCTTGACCATTAACTAATGTTTCTTCTTTAATTTTTTTTGAAGGCTGGTGTGAACATGATGGTGCTGATGGAGTGCTAGAAGACACAAAACTTCTTAAACTGCCTTGATTTGGTATTTGTTTGATTTTTCCTTTCTTTTCAGACTGAGATCTTTGAAGAAACATATCTAAATTGTTCTTTGGCTTGACTACAGACTGAACATTTTTTTTATGATTTATATCATACATTTTTGATGCAGACACAAAACCTTGGGAGGAATTAACAGTAACAGTATTGAATTGCATTATTTCTTTTTTGTTACTATTGGATTTATCATTTGTAAGGTCTTCTTCATGAAAACTTTCAAATTTACGTTTTCTGTTTCGAACTACAGGGTGCAATCCTCTACTCACATCTATGTTGGCTCCCTTTTGGGAAACCAAATGGGGACTGGACAAGGGTAATGCTCCCTTGTCCGTATTAACATGATCCAAGCAGGCTTCTGAATCCATGTGTAATCTTTTGCGTTTGGATGTCTGTGATCTCTCTAAACTCATATCATCTAACACACTAATGGTACTCTTTTATCTGCTCTTTACGTTAGGCTTGGGCTTATCACCATCGACATTTTCATCAGTTTCCGCGAGGTACGAAGTTCCACTCTGTTCTTCCTTCATTAAAGAATAAGAATGTGTATTCTTACAAAATTGAGAGATGTTGCGTTGAGCTTTCTCTCTGTATTATTAAGGATTATATAGTAATGTTTACTTTATTGATTTATTTTAACAAAAATCCGACTTTCAGTTTCATTTTAATTTTCAAAACAATCGCTTCTATCATATAAAATTATGTAATGAAAAAAATATTAACACATTGTACGTTTCCTACAGTAAGGCTATTTTTTCTTTAATTTCAATCACTGTTATAATTATTTTGAAGCAAAGGCAATGAAAAAAGGAGAAATTACGATTTTTAAAAAAAATATATTAACTATGTAAGCGACCACCAAAACAACAACAACAAGAAATCTGTCAGATTTTTTTTTTTCAATACTGTAGTGATGAAACTTCTATAATCACATGATGGGAGATGTAACAAACAAAAAGTCTTTGCTTTGCGAGCTGAACAAAAACCCTTTAGAAGTTTTCAAATCGAAGGTAATAATTTTTTTTAAAAAATCATCTCAGATCCTAGGCCACGACCAAGGCCCCTTAAAGTAAATTTTTCAAATGAAACTGAAAAACACAGATTTGTCACAAATGGTAAAATTGTCAAAAGAAATACTGAATTTAAAAATGTTATCATAACTCCAGACTATACCATGCGTCAGAGGGAACAGAATAATTTAATGAAGGCCGAAGTTGCTAAACGACGAGAGATAGATCCCTCTTTCACCTTTCGCAAACTTAAAGATGAACTCTTTAAAAGAAACACAGATATGACAGGAAGTCTTAATAACAATTCCTATACATCTGAAACCCAAACATCAATGCATAGTCCCCCTTTAGGGGAAGGCTCCAGCAGGAGTGTAATTGCATAGACAGTAATAAAAATAGTTCGTGTTTACATAGTTCAAGTTTTGTTAATGTTAATTTTTCTTCTTCTTTGAAACAAGTTTCTAGTACCTCAAGTAATGAGGTTGTATATAGTAAAAATGACTTTATCTTGAAGCATTCTGATTGCACTAATCATGATGTATCATTTGTTGTTAACAGTGTAAGTGCTATACATGACACTTCTTCAAACATTTTATTAGATCATAAAATAGATTTAGATTTGTCTTCTGAAGTGGATACAGATTATAGTGGTAATAGTATGGACTCTTTTTCTTCAGATAGTGATATAACAGATTCTTCAAATTCATCACAAACTACTGTTAACTTTAGTGTAGAAAATATTGATGGTTTAAAATGCTTATATACCAATGCTGACAGTATAGCTAATAAATGGACAGAAATGGAAGCTCTTGTGTTTATACATCAGCCAGATGTTATTGGTTTAACGGAAGCTTTTTCTAAAACAGCAGATGTTATTGACTTGTTGAGTTATAATATTAAAGGATATCAGTTATTTTGCAATCCTAAATTTACTGACAAAGGTAACAGAGGAACCTTATTATTTATTCGCTTAGGTATAGGGGCATCTCTCTATGAAAGACTAAATAGCATTTCTTGTAAAGAAGCAGTATGGTGTGAAGTTGAAATTAATAAACATGAAAATATCTTAATTGGTATAGTATATAGATCTCCAAATTCATGTGATATAAATAACAAAGAATTAAATACTATGTTTAGCTGTATAAAAGACAGTTTTCACAGTAGAATAGTTGTGATGGGTGACTTTAATTATCGTGAGATTGATTGGATCAACTGGATTTCTAATATGCCTGAAAATCATAGTAGTCATGAATTCATCGAAGCAGTACGTGATAGTTTTTTATATCAAATAGTGAATTTTCACACAAGATTTCGAAATGGCCAGAATCCTAGCACCTTGGACCTCATATTTACTAATGAAGAGTTTTTAATTGAAAAATTGGAACACTTTCCACCAGTTGGTAAAAGTGATCATATACTGTTGACTTTTAACATTATATGTAATGTAGAGCAAATTGAAGAACCAAATAAATTGAACTTTATGTATGATAGAGGTGATTACGCTTCCATAAATTTTGAAATGAGTTCAATCAATTGGAGTATTGAATTTCAGCACAAAAGTCTGGAGGATAAATGGTTAATTTTTAAAGAAAAAATTCAAAATAGTGTAAATAAACACATACCAAGAAGAAATTTTAAACGTGTGTTAAATAAACGGAGGCCCTTGTGGATGACAAATACAGCCTTGAAAGCTGTAAAGAGAAAACATAAATCATGGAATAGATATCAACAAACAAAAGAACTTAGATACTATTTGAACTATTGTAACAATAGAAATATTGCAACAAAGGAATGTAGAAAAGCAAGGTCAGATTTTGAAAAGAAAATATCAGAAGAAGATAATCAAAAGGCTTTTTATAAATATGCTAACTCCAAGAAGAAAGTAAAAAGTGGTATTTCTCATTTAAAATGTGAAAATGGCACTTATACAGAAAGTGACCTAGATAAAGCTAATGAACTTAATAAATTCTTCAAAAGTGTATTTCAAATTGAAGATAACAACAATCTTCCAGATATTACAAATCGCAGTGGTGGAAATACATTAAATGACATTTATTTCAGTGAAGAAGTATTGACTAAGCTACTTGAGAATTTAAATGTTAATAAATCTTGTGGTCCAGATTTGCTTCACCCAAGGGTTTTAAAAGAGTTGAGAACATCAATTGTTTCTCCTTTAACACTTATATTTACTGAATCTGTAGAAACTGGAATATTGCCTATGGATTGGAAGACTGCGAACATCAAAGCTTTATTTAAAAAAGGAAGTAAAGATTCACCAGGAAATTATAGACCAATTAGTTTGACATGTATACCCTGTAAATTGTTGGAAAAAATAGTAAGGAATATTATTGTAGACTATATGAATGTTAACAACTTTTTCTCTGCAGCCCAATATGGTTTTAGATCGCTTAGATCATGTGCCCTTCAGTTACTAGAAGTCATGGAAAAGTGGACAGATTGGTTAGATGAAGGCAGAAATTTTGATTGTTTGTATTATGACTTTAAAAAAGCATTTGATATGGTTCCACATTCTAGACTAATACTTAAATTGCAATCTTATGGTATTGGTGGTGCACTTTTATCATGGATCAAAGCATTCCTTACAAACAGAACTCAGTGTGTTGTTGTTAATAATAGTAAATCTGACTATTGTAGTGTAACAAGTGGTGTTCCACAGGGAAGTGTTTTAGGACCAATATTGTTTCTTATATTCATTAATGACATTGAAAGTCAAATTAAAAGTACCATTGCGTCTCTTTGCGGATGACACCAAATTATTTAACCTGGCAAATGTAAATGAAGACTTTAACCAAATACAAAAGGACAATGATAGTTTAATACAATGGAGTGAAAAGTGGTTAATGCAATTTAATGTAGACAAATGCTGTGTTATTCATTATGGACACAATAACACGGAACATCAATATTTTATGAAAAGTGACTTTACAACTAAACAATTGAGGTCTAGTGAGGAAGAAAGAGATTTAGGTATATTATATGATAAGGATTTGAAATTTCGACATCACATAAGTAATTGTATCAATAAAGCAAATAAAATAACTGGATTGGTCAGAAATACCTTCTTACATGTTAATATCAAGCAATTTCGGAAACTTTATAAAACTCTTATAAGACCACACCTTGAATATGGAAATATTATTTGGAGTCCAAGATTTAAAAAAGATATTGAAGCAATCGAAAGAGTTCAAAAAAGAGCAACAAAAATGGTTAAATGTATTAGAAATTTATCGTATGTAGAAAGATTAAAAATTCTGGAAATTCCTACTTTGGCTTACAGAAGATTTAGAGGTGATATCATACAAGCATGGAAATTATTAAATGGGAAGGAAGATATTGATTATAATGTATTTTTTGAAAAAGCACAACTTGATAATCATCACATCAGAGGAAATTCCATGAAGTTGAAAATAAAATCATGTAAAAAGGAATTAAGAAAACATTTTTTCTCATTAAGAGTAATACCAGAGTGGAATAAATTACCAGATTATGTAGTATGTTCACCAACGCTGAATTCGCTAAAAAACAGACTCGATAAGGTTATGAAAAACAAATTATATACTGTTATACCGGATAATAATCATTGGGTGTCAGACCTCGAGGGGGTTATAAGAGATTTCTGATCTCGCGACCCTAAGCTGGATAAAGTAAAGTAAAGAGTCAGAGACAGAGATCTACTGTCTTTTGCATAGAAAATATTTCATACTAAACAGTGCTGTAACTAAATGACTTACCCAACTCTATCTGGCCCCAAAAATTTCCACACCCTCAAACCATAATGTTTACAATTTGTACACCAGTTACCCACACCTGTCTAACATCCTGTCGACAAAGGTGCTTTGTAGGGGATACTAGCGAGAGCAGTGCTAGGTAATAAGGTATAATGGGACTGGGAATGACCAAAGTTCAGCCACAATGAAAGTGACTTCTGTTAAACTTAGATAGGGAAAGTATCAGATCAGTAATCCAGGTGTAACCAGTTTGATCCCCTGGCAAACTGATTTATTTTTGTCCCCCGCCTTTTCGAAGAAAAAAGGGGATTTATTAATAGGCTCCGTCCGTCTGTCCATCACACTTTGGTGTCCAGTCCATAACTTTGTCATTTATCAAAGGAATCTGAAATAACTAATTGGCACAAATGTTTGTAACTATAATAAGACGATGTGTCATGCGCCAGAACCAGACACCTACCTCCTGGTTCAAGGAAGCACTTGCTCATTCAAGGTCAACATTGTCTATTTGAGGGTATATGTTGTGTCTGATCCATAACTTTCTTAATCTTAAGGGATTTTGTAAATACTTGCCACAATTGTTCACAATAATGAGACGATGTGTCCTGCGCAACAACCGGTCACCTACCTCCAAGGTAATGGTCACCCTTGGAGGTCGAAGATTAACATAGTCTGTTACAGGGTAAATTTTGTGTCTGGTCCATAACTTTTTCATAGATCAAAGGATTTTGTAAATACTTGCCACAAAAACTCACAATAATAAGACAATATGTCAAGTACAACACCTGCACCCTACCTTCAAAGTCAATGTCACACTTATAGAGGTCAAAGATTTACATAGTCTGTTATAGGGTATATTTTGTGTCCAGTCCATAACTTTTTCATAGATCAAGAGATTTTAAAAATACTTTGCACAAATAATCACAATAATATTATGAGATGATATATCAGGCACAAAACATGGGTCCCTACCTCCAAGGTCACACTTAGAGGTCAAAGATTAATCGACAAACAGTTGTGTTATCAAGCGATAAAATCACAGATTTGGTTAAAATATTATTTCGATTCTAACATGACTTCAACAAATAAATGCTATGACTCTTGCATTAAGACACACTTTCCGTTCTTCTATATTCATTTGTGAAAATTGCGGGTCGTGTTAGAATGATATTTACCACACCTTTCTTGGATGAAAGTTGCATCAGCATGATATCCTCATGAGAACTCGATATCCATTGAAAAGTCACCTCTATCCCTTTCACTTTCTGGTGGCACATGGTCACTGATGTCCTGTGTTGTGCATGGTGCGTCACTATCTACGGTGTCATTGTCTTTATTAAGAGCAATTGTATATGTTACATTCATAGGATGACTGACAGACTCACTTTCAGTTTCATCAATACTCTCTGACTCTAGTTCAAAATTTAAGTTAAAATGCCCCTGCGGAAAAATCGAGGAACTAGCGTTACTTTGGGTGACATTTATGCACATGGAATTTAACAAAGGTTCAGGATGTGGAATTACAAATGAACATCCTTTACAAGTGAATTCTAGATCTGTTTTCTGACTTATAGTATCTAGATAGTCTTAATGTGTAATGCCTATCAAAGAGTGAGAAAAAAAGAATAAAAACGAAGGAAAGAAAAACAGAACGCAATTTAACCATTATTTAACCCTGTTTCTTTTCTTCTTTTTTGGATTTTTTTTTTTATCATTCATTTATCATTCATTCATTCATTCAGATCCAACAAAAAATATTTCAAACAGGTTGTTTGTTTCTTTAAGTAATATACTGTTAATCCGAAGTGTGCTACTGATAATTTAATCACTTACCAATACGCCTGTCAAACATCACACTAGATATCAAATATCACAGGAAACTTCAAAGTTTTTTTAAACAGTTTGTTATAAATTGATCAATGCTCCAAATCATGAAATGGTCGTTTGTCTCTCACTGCTGCTTCAGTAATCATATGTGATTTAAGTTGCTGGGCACTTACGTGAAAAGACCTTGTCAATACCATGCGATATATATTGAGTTTTAATCTTTTATTTTCTATATGTAGGCCTACTAACATTGGCAAATAGAACCTTTTATATAAATGACAAAGTAATGCTTTGGCGACCAGCGTTTGCAACCAGCATAGATCCAGACCAGCCTGGGCATCCGCGCAGACTTATCAGGATCCATGCTGTTCGCTATCAGTTTCTCTACTTGTAATAGGTTTGGTAAGCAAACAGCATGGATCCTGATGAGACTGCGCGTCGCAAACGCATTATGTTGGTTTTTTTGTGACACCGCTCAAATGTTGTTAACAATTTCAGGTAGATGAACTGACAGAAATAGCAAGTCTTATGCCAGATATATACCGACCAGATGCTAAACGATACTTTCATCAAAATTGTGACGGTTTAATAGAACTTCTTGGATTAGAAAGAGATTTTGAAAATGTACATTCAGAAAGCAGCCTTGATACAGATACAGGTGGGGCTATAATTGAAATAAAGGATGGAAAAATATTATCCGAAGTTAGTGAGACAAGTATTTTCAAGGTAGATGCTCAAACTGATACACACACAAAATGTTCAGGTGTCAATAAAGAGAAAAATATTGTTTGTAGTGATGAACTTAAGACATGTAGTAATCCTGAGTTGAGTGATGTGCTGAGAATGGCTGAAGCAAAAAAGATTGACAAGGATACCACTGACTCTGAAGAAAATGTTAATATGATATTATCTCCAGAAAATAAGAAGAAAAGAACACTTTATAATGACGACCATTTGGAAATATTTTGTGAGTCAACTCAAGTGACAGAAAGAGAATTGAAAAGTAATGATGAAAAAAGAATAGAAATTAAATTGAAATCCTTTGATGAAGGAACTAATGAGAGCTTTAACGCTGCAATAGTAAATAGAAATATAGATAATCTGTCTGGAGACATTTTAGACAATACAGAGAAATTGGAAACAGGTATGTATATAATCTTAGGACTAAAAATTGTTTGCTAGAACCAAATTTAAACAGTCTTTGATACCATAAAAAAAGCTATAGCAGCTATTTAGTCAGTCATATTGGTTGAATTATGGACACTTTACAAAATCAGGAAACTAAATTATCAAATAACTGAAATATTTTTGTGTACTTCAGATTAACATATATTTAACTTTTTAAGCAATTTTTTTTCAGTCAATATTTATTATGTACATGTAGTTTAATTTAAACCTGTAGTGTAAGTTTATCAATAAATAGTATGTGGTGTCAATACCCTCATTGGAACCTTATTAAGCCTAGAATATACACACTCTAGGGGTGTGTTCTGTCTAAGGCCCCCACGATTAAACGGATTCGTTTCGATTTTCATTCATAAACGTTTAGGATATTGTTAAACGTTTAATCGAAATGACCATGTTGTCTTACAAAATTTCTTAATCATTGCCTGTAATCATGGATTTTATCAATTCTAATGGTTTATTCCTAAGTAAACAAACTGAAAATAGGTGTTTACAACCCTCCACACAGCATTACGGTGCAAAATTGCTTGTGACAAAATACATTTTTGGTAAAAAATGGGGTTACAATGCAAAAAATCTGTGCTGACTCAATCGTGATGGGCCCTTCGCATTCTTTATTTGTACATGTGTAAAAAATAGAAAGAAAGACAACATTTGGCGACTCAAATACATGGTGTGTATAGTACATAGAGGTACCACCGTTTAAACGGTATCGTTTCGGTTCTTAGCAATCGTGTAAACGTTTACAAAAAATTGTAAACGTGGGAGCCTTAGTTCTGTCAAATCTCTTAAGACCACATAATCAGTCAAATCAGTGACAGTCATAACATTGATATTTGGCAATATTTTATATTTCAGTACCTGATACCAAATGTGAAGTAACAGAGTTGATCAATTGCATTCCAAAACTCGCACAGTATATGGACATAGACCCTAAAAATGTGACACTACTTAAAGGTTAATATTTCTTACAGATTTAGCACTTTGAGCCCTGGTAACAAAAATTGATAGGCCTTGGAAATTCCTTGAATCTATGGTCTGGTGCAAAAATCTTATCTTAAAGTTTTATAATATGATCTTGGCATCACTTTTACTGCTGCATCGCTTTATATATTATCAACAATTCTTAGGTTGAAGCGAGACAAATTTTTACAAATTTTATCAATTAAGGGGGATATGGATTGATACACAAGTGACATCATTGTTTAGGAAAAGTTGGTTTCCACAACCTAGCGACAATTGTTACAAACTCTGAACCACTTGTTACAAACTCTGAACCACTTGTTCCTCACCTCTATTGTTACCAATCTAGTTAAAGAATCACATGTCTTCATTAGTTTTTTCACCCCAAGTTTCAGCTTTGCACCCATTTCTTGGTAAGTTTGTGTAACTTTATTATGGGTTTTAGCATAATTTTGTATTTTGATTCTGTAAATTTCAAATTGACTGTTCTATTGTCAAAGCTAGACATGTCTATTATACAAAGTTAGCAGGTTATAGGTTGATTTATATATTTGATCTGTGTTATTGCAGATGATGACCAAGATGAGGATGATGATAAATGTATACACATGTCTGTAGAGCTGTCTGACGGGACGGTGCAGAAATTTAAAATAGCGGGGTATACACCTGGAATGCTTAGCCATGCTGCTAGTGTTACATCAGAAAGTGCTGAAACAGGAATAGATAACTCAGGACTTGATAAGAAGGTAAAGTTTTCTGTTGTCCTGAACTTATTTTAGTTATCATTAGCATGTTGAAACTGGTATACAAACTTAAGTGTAACTGTGATGTTTTCCTTTTGAAATCATAACTTCTGATCAGATTTACAACAATACTGTTAAAAAGGTCAACAAAACTGTAAGAACATTTTTATCCCAACAGGCAACAGCAAAATTTTTTTAAACACATTTATAAACTGCAGCTTTAAGATAAATACAGACATAAGAGGAATGATATCGTACTAGATCACATCAAATGGAACATTAATCTTGAAAAATTATTTCTGGTCCCTTCAAGTAAAAAAACTTGTTGCTATGTGAAACTATGTTTAAACAGAAAAAAAAACCTTATGGTTCACTTTCCATTTGTCTATATTTAAGTTCTTTCTTGATTCTTTGATAATTCAAAAAGTACATTGAATATTTTCATGAAACTTAAAACATCAATGGTGACACTATGAAGACACATTCCATGTCCCATAAATCATCTTTGATTTCACATAGTTATCTCCCTTTTTCATGATAAATTTGTTTCAAAAGTCTACATTTCCTTTGATATTTCTACAACCTATTAATGAATTTGATTGAAACTTTGTACAGACTTTATTTGTATTAATTTTAGTTAACACTTAACATATTACATGTTTATTTTTCTGTTTACAAAACCGAAACATATTACTTGCTTATAACTTTTATTGACAAAATTGTGGCTCATTTATTCTTAGAAAAATATAGAAAATTGTTATTTCTTTTGATACATCAAGTTGCATTTATAAGTCTGTTTTTTTGTATAGAAAAGTTCAGATTTTTTTGTGAAGATTTGAGTTATAAAAACAGGGAATGAGGGATGTGATCTTTTGATTAACAGTTACTGGGGTGTGATCTTTTTATTATCAGTCCTATAAAGACATTCCTTCGCTTATCATTATCAACAGCCAACCCTGTATTGATTTCAGCTAAATTTATGTTGATATTAAGATTTTACTTGTTTTGAAGGGAACACCTCACAGTGGTGAGGAAAGGTGATAATGTAAATGATAATTCAAATTTCAATATTTGGGAGAAGTTTACTTTCAAGGCCATACAAGGCTTGAGGAATGGTGAATGTTTGTTTTTTTGCAAAGCAATATTAATTACCATTGTACTGATACATATATGTAACTAAAATATAGCTATGCCTTAAAGAGACTCTACCACAACACAAGACTTTGGCTCTTAGTCTTTATTTGCATTGATATGATAGCTTCTGTTGTTGTTGTTTTTTCTAAGGAAACACCTCAAAATGTGGTAACGAGAGATAGTAGGGAAAGAGATCGTTCAATATTGGGTAGAAGATTACGTACAAGGCCCCACAAGGCTCCCGTCATCCGTAGAGGGCCAGGTCGGCCAAAAAATATAAATATCCCTGCACCAGAGAAGAATGAGAATGGGGAGATGTTTTATCGATGTGAGGAATGTAAAGGAAAAGTGAAGACCTATAATGCTCTCATAGGTAAGATAAAGCTTCATAAATGCTGTCAGGTTTTGAAGCCCATTTAGCAATAAAATAAGTGTAATATTAAGTCATATTAATTTAGTTATGACCTTCACTTTAAAATGGTCTTGACCTTCATGGTCAAGTTATTGGAAATAAGTTAAGATTTTAATAACTTAAATTTAATAAATAATACTTTGATAAGACAACACCAAGATTTTGAATTATTAATATTTGACCCTAGTATATAAATTACCTTCACTGTCGGGTCAAATTTGAAATTTAAATTTAATTCTTTACTTAAGAAATGATGTTTTCTTTCAAAACCCTTTACTACAATGTTCTTCCTCTGATGTGTTTATTTTTAGAAATAAGAAAAAATTTGAGCATGGCTCACACACAGTGATGGCTCTTTTGATATTATAATAATGCTTGTAAGAAATAATGTAGCCAATCCAATTAATCCAAAGACCGCCTCCATGGTCGAGGGGCTAGAGTCGATGACTTCTAATCCAGTTGCCTCTCTGGCATGGGTTCGATCCCCGGGAGATGCTTTGGTAGTTTAGTGCGGAAGAATGTAGTCTAGTACTGGTGTAACTCTCCAGGAACGATGCTTAGGAAACTACCCGCCTGTATGACTGAAATACTGTTGGGATAAGACGTAAAATAAACAAACAAACAAACAAACAATTAATCCAAATTAAATGTTGCTTTTTCTATTTTTTAGTTCATATGAGAACTCACACAGGTTCTCGGCCGTTTCAATGTTCATTCTGCAATAAATCATTCACTACAAAGGGAAATATGAAGGCTCATGAGATGACCACACACAGTGACAATAAACCATGGAAATGTAAATATTGCAATAAATCATTCAAGGAGAAAAAAGTGTTGAAGGTACATGAAAGGATTCATACTGGGGAGAAACCATACAGGTACACCTATTGCCATTGCTCAATGTCTGAAATGGACTTGTCCAGTTTCCATTTTTGGATTTCTCCTTTATCAATTTTAGGGATATCAAGATGAAAATAAGTCAACCAAAACACAGTATAGGCCATTAAATGAAATGCACACAAATATCAAAGAAACTGTTATGCTTATAAAGCATATTTTGTTGGCCTATGACTTCTTTGATAATCGTTAGACTGCCCTGATGTACAGGCTGGCCTGTCTAAATACATGTTCTGGTGGCAAAGGATATTCAGTCTAGGTTCAGGCAGGGTATTCCGGTAATGTTGCATGCTTAACCAATAATGTCAGGCCAGCCTGCATAAAATGACTTAACTTTAAAAACTCTGGAATTCAAATTTGAAGGTCATAGACAATGCTACAACAAGTTCATGACATTCAGAAAGGTAAGAAGTAAAATCCAGTATTCCAACTTGAATACTATATAACCACCCTATGGATATGATCCCTTTTTTTGGGGTTTGTCTTTTGACCTCTTGTCTCCGATATGCAGGCTTCATAACCCTTAACCAAATTCGATTTTATTTCTTTCTGCCCATTGTTTCCTCGTTTAGGGCACACACATTCTTTTATTTGGGAACCATAAGCCGCTTTTCATGGAATGGCACAAACATGTCACATTGAAGATTCCATGATGACCGCTCTATGAACACATCTGCAGATATATATGGATTCAAGGCCATGGTATATCTTATACCAGAGTACAGTTCTGTCAGAAGTCATGTAAATGTGTAACCATTGACTGTGATAAAACAATGCATAATCATACAATCATTTACTATTTTTAAAATCTACTGTTATAATTTTTAGCTCGACTATTCGATAAGAATAAGTAGAGCTATTGCAGTCACCCAAGCATCGGCGTCCGCGTCGGCGTAACCACTTATGTTAAAGTTTTTGTAATAGTTCAAATATTTTCAAAGTCCATAGACATATGGCTTTGAAACTTTGCACACTTGTTCACCATCATGACCCCAACCTGTAGACAAGAGGAGGTAACTATATCAAGCATTTTGACAGAATTATTCCCCTTTTTCGACTAAGAATTTATGTTAAAGTTTTTGTAATAGTTCAAATATTTTCAAAGTCCATCGACATATGGCTTTGAAACTTTGCACACTTGTTCACCATCATAACCCCAACCTGTAGACAAGAGGAGGTAACTCTATCAAGCATTTTGACAGAATTATGCCCCTTTTTTGACTTAGAATTTACGTTAAAGATTTTGTAATACTTCAAATATTAATATCAAGCACTCAGAATAGTCGAGTGTTGCTGTCCTACCGACAGGTCTTGTTTAAGCCAAAAATGGTATGTAGAGTATTTTTTTGCAAACAACTTTTATGAATTGTTGTTTGCCAAAATTTAAAGTTACATGATAAAGCCATTGATGATTTGCTGAAACTGTTAAAATTGGTTTATTTTTTGTATACACAAAGTGAACTAACTTCACATGTTTAGCAGTGTGACCTGTGTAATTGTATAAGAGGGAAATAATTTTGTCTGTTTTTCAGATGCAGTATTTGTGATAAGGCTTTCTCACAGAGGTCTGTGATGTTAGAACATATGTTTACACATTCGAACAATAGACCTCACCTCTGTGATTTCTGTGGGCAGGGATTTAGAGGTGAGCATATTTCTGAGTGAAAGTTTAGGTAATTTAACATCAGTGGGTTGGTTAACAAGTTCCATCCATTGTTGGAAAAGGATGGGAGAAATGAGCTGTATTTTTTACATTTTGTCTGTCCCAGCACTAATATGTCAATTTTGTAGTTGTGATTTGGTGCCAAATTGGCTGGGAATATATCCAAATGGCAGAACTAGGCTTTTACCATGGGCAAACCATTCCCAGGTCAAAGTCTCTGCATATTGCAAGCCAAAATCAAAGTTCTTGCTTTTGCTTGTCAGTGATAGGGCGGTGGTTAAAATTGACTTGAGCATTTCTAAAAGTCACATTAAGCCTCGGAAATGAATATGATTACATGATTGTTTTCTCTAAAGAAAAACAAAACTGTTTTTAATGATTATTTTTATAATTGATTTAGAGCAACACATGGGCTTGCCATGTGAAAAGACCAATGTTTAATGTGGAGTACAGTGTAAATTGTCCTAAAAGTAGGTAAACGTAAACAAAGTGGTATTTAGACTTCCATACAAAATGCTACATCACTGTTACTAAAATTGCCAATCCAAATGATGATTTAGCTTTAATTCACATCAAATGTGTATCTATTGAACTCTACAGGAAAATAAATTTTGACAGCTATCACAAAGTTTTCTTTTAGTGAGATTGGTTGTCATTTTGTCAGCCCTGCATATTAATTAAGGAATACAAGTTTATAAATTATTCTTTTCCAAAATACAAAAAAAAATCACAGGTAGAATTGGTGACCCTATTCTCAACGGCTTAAAACATAATGTTTTTGGAAGAAATATTTTTGGATACGGCAATCAGAAGGAAATCAAACCTGATAATACAAAATTTCATGAGATAGACTTTAGTAAGGTCAAATCCATTACCAAAACTTCCCGCAGATTAAGGATGGGAACTTAGTACATGTTGTAATAATTTGATATGTATATTAAATTGTAATTATACATATATTCTCCAAATTTCAGGATTATCATCATTAAAATCTCATAAAAAGAGGCATATTGGTAAACGAGAATTTCAGTGCGAGTCTTGTGAAAGGGCATTTGTGTGTAAAAGTGTGTTCTTTCTTTTTCTTTATTTAAACCTGACTATTAACTAAGCATAAAGCTATTATAACTTTATAACTTTTATTATTATTATTATTATTATTATTAAAGTTTCTTTTACAGAAATGAATTTAGCAAATAAGTTGACCTAGCTTTGCTTAGTTCTGATTAGGATATATTTAGGTAAAACTTCAAATAATTTTGCTCTTAATCAAGGAAACAAATTGACCTGTCCTTAATTGTTCATGGAATGTCAGGTAGTTTAAGGTGGTTCTACATTGTCAGCTATGTTAGATTTTCACTGAGAGGGCCCAAAGTGAAAGTAAGCCTATTTCCACTAGAAATGTGTCATCATGCCACGGATGCCCCCGCATGCAGCCAAAATTTCAGATGGTGCTTTAATTATTTTTTTCATTTTAAGTTCAAAGCCCTTAAAACTTTTCAATGTTAACACAAACTATTTCCATACAATGTTCAAAGCACTGAAATTATTCAGTCTTAACCTTTTAGAAATAGCATATTGCATATTTGTAGCCAAAATAATGGCTAAAAGAATGAGTGGTGAAACTGAAAGTTCAAAATTTTTCCAACATTCAGGAAAGATAAGTTTGTCTAAAATCATTGAACCATGACCAAATTCAAACTTAAACTGCTTATTCCTAAGATGTATCTATATTATTTTCAAAGTGAAAGAGACATAACTCTGCCAAAAAATCATCAAACCATGACCAAATTCGAACTTGACCTGCCCATTCCTTTGACATATCCATATGTCAAATTAAAGTTGAATATGTGACACTGTTGGGTAGATAAGGAACAGAAACTGTCAATTTCATATTATTTTCAAAGTGAAAGGGGCATAACTCTGCCAAAAATCATTGAACCATGACCAAATTTGAACTTGACCTGCGCATTCCTTTGACGCATCCATATGTCACGTTTGAGTTGAATGTGTTGTACCTTGAGGGAGATAATGAACGGAAACTGAAAATTTCATATTATTTTCAAAGTAAAAGGGGCATAACTCTCCCAAAAAATCATCAAACCATGACCAAATTCGAACTTGACCTGTATTTTTTCATGACATATCAATATGTCAAGTTTGAGTTGATTGTGTTGTACCATTGGGGAGATAATGAACGGAAACTGAAAATTTCATATTATTTTCAAAGTAAAAGGGGCATAACTCTGCCAAAAATTATCGAACCATAACCAAATTCGAACTTGACCTGTATTTTCTCATGACATATCCATATGTCAAGTTTGAATTGAACGTGTCCAACCGTTCTTAAGATAATGAACGGAAACTGAAATTTCATATTATTTTCAAAGTAAAAGGGGCATAACTCTGCCAAAAATCATCGAACCATGACCAAATTCGAACTTGACCTGTATTTTCTCATGACATATCCATATGTCAAGTTTGAATTGAATGTGTCCAACTGTTCTTAAGATAATGAACGGAAACTGAAATTTCATATTATTTTCAAAGTAAAAGGGGCATAACTCTGCCAAAAATCATCGAACCATGACCAAATTCGAACTTGACCTGTATTTTCTCATGACATATCCATATGTCAAATTTGAGTTGAATATGTCTAACCGTTCTTAAGATAATGAACGGAAACTGATGATGACGGAATGACAGAATGACGGAAGGACGGAACAGGGTAACACTATATGCCCCGGCCATTACATGGCGGGGGCATAATAAAAAAGACAAAGCTCACAATTTAAAACGATAAACAGTTTGCAAAAGTTTTTTCAAAGGCTATGCATTAAGGACTGATATACAACTATATAAAACTGAATATATAACAAAAAAGAAAATTTACCTTGAAATTAATGCTAAATTTTTGAAGATCAAGTAAAATCTTTTGTAAGTTTTAATGCACATTACATGAATGGCAATATACTGTTTGAATTTTGTTGTGGTGCTGACAGATGCTATTTTAGCAACACACACAAAGAACTTGAAAACAATTTATCAAAATAAGCAATTTCTCTGACCTTAAAAAAATTGGCCTCATTTTATGAGTAAGAAGGCGGTACAAAATAAATGAACATCTTTTATCTGTTTATTGTATACATGGCAAACAAACTCACTTCACTGTTTGAAAAAATAAAGGTTGAATTTAAAAATTTGATTGCCGTTTTAATTACACTGGAAGTTTATAGATCAGAGGATTGCATTCTTGCACTAAATTTTACACACAATAATGGAGGCAATTTGCTTTGATGGACAATTATTTGGGCTCTCATAGTGAAAATCAAACATG